AGCCCGCGAATTAGGGATTTTTTGGGCCCGTTAAGTCGTTATAGCCGACCGAGCGAACTCCTGGCCGATTTACGGCAGTCAAATTTGAGTTTCAAGGAGATACCAACGGTCCTTGAAAGACGACATGTAAACAGATCGCCACATTCCAGCACGCAGTTAACTTGTTTCGCCTGTAAACAAACAGGGCATACAGCGCGTGCCTGTCCGAGGCCGAGACCGTTGCCAACGTGTTTCAAATGTGGCCAGAGCGGGCACATGTCACGGTCATGCCAGGCGAGTATCTCTCGAGATCAACAAAGAATGTCAACACGATCCACAGCAGCGACGACAACCACGGCAGCACGAGGCGAGACTGTCCAAGTTCTGCACGTTACTATCGACACGCATCAAAAATATTTCAAGGACGCTTTGCTGAACGGCCATCTGGTCAAGTGTTATCTCGATTTGGGGAGTAGTGTGGTGACATTGCGGCAAGACGTGGCTAACGAACTTGGTTTAACTTACCATGAGACATTTTTAAACAGTTTTATAGGGTACGGTGAAGGCAGAGTCCAACCGGTGGGCGTATTAACGGCAACCATCAGCATCGAAGGTGTTGCGGTACGAACTGAAATTCACGTGGTGCCAAAAGGAAGTCAAGCCGTGCCACTGTTGGTAGGACATCCTTACACCGAGCATCCCGAGGTTGTCATCGTGAGCCGCAGCGGCGAGTTGAGAGTGATGACCACTTTTGACAAACCAGGGGATGACGTAACACAGTTCAATGAAAAAACCACATTCCGAGCCGACAAACAGTATGTAATTCCAAATAATTATCTGGGTCATATTGTTGTAGCAGGTCATGTACCAAACGAGCAGATGTGTATCGAGGGTGGCCTACGGGAGGTAGGCCCCATAATACCTAGATGCGTCGTCGCCACGGACGAGAAAGGACAGACCGTTCTACCTGTCCTAAATGTGACCGGTCAGCGAGTAACGATCCAGCCAGGCGACATCATCACCCGTGGGGAAGTCTGCGAGGAGCGAGCTCTTGAGCGAGAGATCAACGACGAGCCGATTACCGAGGATCGAGTTGACACAGACTTAGAGGGAGAAGAGAAGGACGATCTACTGCGTGTGCTCAATAAGAACCGTGACCTTGTTGCGAATACGATGAAACAGCTAGGTAGAACAGATAGGGCGACAATGCGAATAGAACTTGCGACGGACAAACCTGTAGTTTATAGACCGCATCGTATGTCCTATCACGAAAGACAACAATTGAAAGACATGATTAATGATTTACAGACGGCGGATGTCATAGAAAATAGTAATTCCCCCTTTGCCAGTCCGGTTTTATTAGTACGAAAAAAGAACGGCGAAATGCGGATGTGCGTTGATTATCGTGCAATTAATAAGGCGACCGTTAAAGATAAGTATCCATTGCCGCGCGTGGATGATCAGTTGGATAGACTACACGGGCAAAAATATTATACGAGTATAGATCTTTTTAGCGGTTATTATCAAGTGCCGGTAGAACCAGGGTCGCGAGAAAAAACAGCTTTTATAACACCAGACGGACATTACCAATTTAAAAGGATGCCCTTCGGCCTATGTAACGCGCCCGCGGTATTTCAGCGGTTGATAAATACTATCCTAGGTTCTCTGCGTTATGATATAGCTATGGCTTACTTAGATGACGTCATTATACCGAGTATGACTGTAGAGGAGGGCTTGAATCGTCTAGTACAAATTTTCGAAGTTTTTAGAGACGCGGGATTAACCATAAACCTAAAAAAATGTCATTTCCTTAAATTAAGAGTAGAATATTTGGGGTTTGAAGTATCAGTTTTAGGTATACGACCAAGCGAACGAAAGGTGCAGAGTGTTAAATCATTCCCAATGCCAAAGACGATCCGCGACGTGAGAAGTTTCGTGGGGTTAGCAAGCTACTTCCGACGATTTGTCAAAAACTTTGCGCTTATAGTAAAACCTTTAACCGACTTATTAAGAAAGGAAACGAAATTTCATTGGGATGCAAAGCAAAATAACGCGTTCGAAACGATTAAAAATTTGTTAATGTCAAAACCCTTGCTTGTCATATATAACCATACCGCAGATACAGAAGTTCATACAGACGCGTGTGCTTTAGGACTAGGTGCAGTACTTTTACAAAGACAAAATGGAAAAATTTGGCAACCCGTGTGCTATTACAGTCGTAAAACAACGCCTGAAGAGGCAAAATACCATTCGTTTGAACTAGAAGCCTTAGCCATCGTTTGTGCGCTGGAAAGATTTCGCGTATATCTGATAGGAATCCACTTTGTAATAAAAACAGATTGCAATAGCCTTAAAATGCTAGGTACCAAAAGGGATTTAAACCCGCGAGTGGGAAGATGGTTTGTAAAATTGTCCGAGTTTGATTATGAGATCGAATATCACACCGCGAAACGGAATGAACTAGCAGACACGCTAAGTAGGAATCCGGTCGAAGAGAGCGAAGATATGGAAGTCACGGGACTTCCCGTTCTAGGAATAAAAATTGGCACAGATTGGGTAGCGGCGATGCAGAGAGCAGATCCGGAAATATTAAGTCTGCGCGATAGATTAGAAGCAGGGGAAGCGCAAGCTCACGAAAAATTCACAATGTACAATGCGCGCGTTTATAAAATTACCAAAGGCCGATGGCGATTATATGTACCGAGCGACCTACGTTATGAAATAATATCCGAAGCGCACCATTCAGTGGCACATTTAGGCATCGATAAGACTTTAGAAAAGGCCAAGGAAGAATATTATTTCCCGAAGATGCGTGATTTTGTTACCAAATACGTGAATCGATGCGTAACATGTTTATATTCTAAGGTCCCCACAGGGAAAAAGCCCGGATTTTTGCACCCGTTAGACAAAGGTAGTGCTCCGTTTCAAACTATCCATATCGACCATTTAGGGCCGTTACCGACGACGGAATGTGACAATAAATATGTAGCTGTGATTATATGCGGATACAGCAAGTATGTAGTGTTAAGGGCAACAAAAGATGTAGGGACGAGATCTACCTTGGCGTTCATCCGAGATTTTATGTCACACTACGGTAGGCCCAAACGTATCGTCAGTGATCGAGGGACAGCGTTTACCGCGAGGGAGTTTGAAAAATTTTGCCAGGATCACGGGATCCAACACATAAAGGTAGCTACAGGCACACCGCGTGCGAACGGGCAAGTCGAGCGGACGAACAGCGTTATACTAAATAGCCTAACTGCGATGACGCACGAAATCAATGGCGAAGACTGGGATAAAAAATTGTACGATGTGCAATGGGGCATCAATAGCAGTAGGCATAAAGTTACGCGAAAAACACCGTATGAAATTGTTTTTACCAATAAAGCCCCGGGATGGCACGAAAGCGAGCTCACCCAAGAGATTCGGGAGATTAACGCGCAATTTGGAGTAACAGAGACGAGCGAAGATGTTAGCGAATTATTAAAGAAAAACGAAAACGCGCTTAGCAGACAATTTAACAAAAAACGGGCCAAAGCGAGGGAATACCAAGTAAACGATCTAGTCCTTATAAGAAGCGAAACGCCAGCATCAGGTGAAAGTCGCAAATTGTCACCCAAATATCGAGGACCGTACGAAATCGAAAGGGTACTCGGAAACGACCGCTATGTTGTGCGAGACATTGAGGGCGAAAAACAGAGCGCCAGAAATTATCAGGGAGTGGTGGCGGTAGACCGACTAAAATTCATAGCGCGAGCGGGAGAATACGCGAATCGCGCGCAGACACGTTCGAGAAGAGCACCCGAAAAACAGATAGTCGTAGAACATGTAGATGAAATGTAATACCTTACTCGAAAAAAGTGTTGATCATGTATGCGTCTGATGTAACGAAGCGAGAGGAGAAGACTGTCGACGAGGACGTCGAACGAGCAGGATGGCCGAATTGTAGCAACGATTTGAATATTCGCGCAATTAGAAAAGAAATGCGTGCGCGCGCGTGAGAGAAGGAAAGAAAGAGAGAGCGTGTGCGCGAGGTGTATAAATAATCCGCGAGCGAGCGGGCTCGTTCTTCTTCTTCCTGTTTTCTCCTCGCTTCGGCAGTCGATTGTATCAATAAAATATTTTAGTATTTTGTTAAAACGTACCCCGACAGTATTAATAATATACATATGTGTGCTCATACATGGGAATAAAAAAAAATTTCTTTTTTTTCAATAATTAAAATATGATCAGGAGGTCTTAAAACGTGTATTTCCGTAAAATAAATTTTACAAAATTTTTTTTTCATTATGGGTACTTTGCTTATGTGCGCCTACATAGGTCGGAAAGTAAAAATGCCTGGTCAGTCGAGAATCTCGGCTCGAGAATCCAAATCGTATGCCGTTGACGGGAGGTCGGATTTCAGTTGTTTAGAGCGAGAAGGCAAATGTGAGCCTTTCTCTCTCGACTCCCACGAGGCGATCCGAAATTACTTCGGGCAGCTTCGGAGAATCGAGAAAGAGGGCATGCGTCAGTTTGCCTTTATCGTCTTTCCGAAACTCCACGAGCTCACGTACGCGTATCTGGCATGTGTGCGTGTGCACCCGGCGGTGCTTTTCTGGCATCTCTGGGTAGCACTATTCTTAGTGCACCTTTTTATTATGAATTTTGACTCGATAATATAAATTTTTTATTACTGTATAACTAGTTGACAAAGTAGCTAAAAATAACCATTTACGTAGAAATGTAGCTCAATAAATAAAAGGTTTTTTTAATATATGTAATAAGGATTGTAATATAGATTGCATGTTTTAAAATTGACTATGACTATCTACTATTTATGTAAAATATTTTTTCGTAACATCGGTTCTCAATGAATATTATTAAACGACGTATTTAGCAGTACATAGGCGATTCAAGATGTAAGCCATTTCAGGATTTGTTGATTCTAAACTTGATCATCATCCGTTCCCCTACTTTTCTCATTTGGACAAGTTTGGCACGTGATGTGAAGTAACTTAGTAGCTATATGTGTAGGTGTGACTTGTCAGCTGATGTACCGTGAAGTATCGTCGTTGCATTCAATAAAAGTGTTTTGCTAAATCTTTTCAATTATCCTTATTCTTTTCATTGTAATGGCTCTTCATTCTGCAGGAAAAGGTAAACTCCTTGCTGTGATCGGAGATGAGGTAAATAAACTATATAGCAAATTTAATCTTACATTTAACAGTTATTTATGAGTTTCATTTTAGGATACTTGTGTTGGATTCCTCTTGGGCGGAGTTGGCGAGATTAATAAGCATCGTCAACCCAATTTCTTGGTCGTAGATAAAAGTACGAAATGTCACGTATTTTGTTTTATATAAAAATTTATTTAATCCCAATGTCTTTGTGTGCCATCCCTTAATGTAAAACTGACGTGTGCTACAATCTTCAATGAATTTAAATGAGTTTCTAATGATTAATGGGATGAATTCATATTATGTATTATTTCTAGATATAGCAGTAAGTGACATAGAAGATACATTTAAACGATTCATTAAACGAGATGATATCGATATTATCCTTATCAACCAAAATGTAAGTATTATCTCTATGTTACAAGCAGTTAAGTTTAAGAAATGTACAATTGAGGATTCTTTTTCATCTGTTCCATAAAAATTGGAATATACAGGGTGTTCTGTCACCCCTGAGAAAAATTTTAATAGGAGATTCTAGAGGCCAAAATAAAATGAAAATTAAGATTACTAATTAGTTGATGAAGGCTTCGTTAAAAAGTTATTAACATTAAAAGTTCCACCCGTACTGAATTTTTTTCTAGAAAGTGGGTAGGAATTCGGGGGTAGGTCTAATCATCAAAAATTATTATAATTCATCCCCGCAATCGAAAATGATTTTTCCAGAACGATTTGAAATTTTGTTTTCTGCCAAAAAATTTAGGCACCTACCCATCCCTTGTCGATTTTTCTTAAAAAATTTGTTTTTTATTCTTAATAAATTTGTTTGACACTCTACAGAAAAGTTGTCTAATACTATTTTGTAGGCACCCATGGGCTCTGCTTCAGAAAAAAATTTCAATGAGATACCTTTACTATTGTAGGAGTTATGGTCGTTTGAAAATTGGACCAGTTTTAGGGGGTTTTTCTCACTTTACGGTGTCAAGGAACAACTTTTTCAATATTGTTAGAATTTCTACATATTCTCTACTAAAATACGCGTTGTTTGTTAGATTTTCATTAAAGAACTCACATTAGATTTTCGGTAAAGAATTTTTTTCTCGAAAGTGCGTAGGATTTTGGGGTATGTGTATTCACCAGAAATGCTTGTAATTTACCCCTGTAACTAAATATAATTTTTTTAGTATGATTTAAAATTTTTTAATTTCGTCTAAAAATTTCAGTACTTACTCGAATTTTTTTCTCGAAAGTAGGTAGAATTTCAGAGGTATGTGTATTCATCAGAAATGATTGTAATTGAGCCCAGCAACTAAAAATAATTTTTTCAGAATGATTTGAAATTTTTTAGTAACTTTTTAATGAAGCCTCAGCCAAGAAATTGATATTCTTGATTTTTGTTTTATTTTGGCCTCTAGAATCTCCCATTAAAATTTTTCCCAGTGGTAGCCAAACACTCTGTATAATTATGATATTTTTCCTTAGTCTGTTTTGTTATTTATGATCACATAGTTCAATTAAAAATTAATACCTATCTAAGATCACAATCTGTGTTCTTGTTTAAGGTGGCGGAAATGATTCGTCATGTAATTGATAGTCATACACAACCTATACCATCAGTCTTAGAAATTCCCAGTAAAGATCACCCGTACGATGCCACTAAAGATTCCATTTTAAGACGCGCCAAGGTAATGTTACATTATCTATTCATAAGTAATTAATATTTCTATATCACATTAAAAGCCCATTGGAAATATTACTTTTATACGAAGCAGTTGGTAGTTAATAGTAACAAAAGTATTTTGGAATGTTAAATTGTTTGCAATCAAAACTTTTTCAATAGTTCAATTAAATAGTCTTTCTAATTTTACTTTACAGGGAATGTTTAATCCAGAAGATATGCACTAATCCATGTACATAAAATGTTGAGCCATATGAAAATTATAAATATATATGATTTGTATGGCACCTATTAATCTTTGTATTTGATGTTACTATGTTGATATAGTACACTTGTAAAGAATAGAAATATGTACAACATTCCATTATTTATTTTACTTTTCAATAGCTTACTTCTTTCTTGTAAAATGTGTGTATAAATCTTGCCCTATATAAACAGGTGGTATCGCTTAAAATAATTTTAAATAAACATACTGTATGGTACTGTTACATATACAAAATTTAATAGCGTGAATAAATATAAATATATTATAAATATTATAAGAGGAAGTAACTTCTTGTTACAGAACAATACAAACAATTGCATTTAAAAATATAGCTGAAAATATAAAGTATGTGGGAAATTAATAAATGACATAAATGAAGTAAAAGTATTTAACCTATGTTAAAAATTATTATTTTATCAGAATTTTAAACAAAAATTAGGATTAAAAATGATATTAACAGTCACGTGTATATTTGTTTATACTTGCGTATTCAGAAGTCGAAACATTTTATTTACAATAATTAGAAATTTATTTTTTACTAATATGTATGTAACATTACGCAAATGTAATATATATTATTCGCATCACAGAAATTATGATTAATATTATTATATATTATTCTTTTAAATATATAACATTAACAATATAGTACAAATAACGAAGAACTAATTCTTCATTATATAATTTTGTTATCAGTAGCCTTGTTTAATTCTCAAAGTTTTGAATCTCCACTAAGACCAAAGACAAGTCAAAATAACTCAGAATATACATACAGTGGATCAAACAAGTATTGGCACATCCAAATTTTTGTAAATATCTTTATTTGTGACAGTATTTTATTAACATCATGTATATCATTTTATGTCTTTTAACATACACTACTTCCATACTAAAGCATATTACTCAATATTAATAACAACGGAAATTATAAAGAAATAACGAAAATTGCATAGTCCAAAAAGTATTGGCACGCGTAGAAAACAAAAAGTAAATGCTTAGTCTTTAACATTAATACAAACTAAATAGATTTTTAATATTTTGTATGCATTCCTTTCGCTTTAATAATACCTTCCAATCGAGTTGGCATCGATTCCACAAGTTTTCGGGTAGTTGTAGGTGGAATATTTGCCCATTCTTCTAATACGCCTTTTTTAAATCATTCTTATTTGAAATTTTTCTTTTACGAATTTTTAAATCTAAAATGTGCCATAAATTTTCAATAGGATTTACATCTGGCGATTGAGGAAGTGTTTGAAATTGTTTTGGCACATTGTACAGGAGTTTTTGTACACCTCGTTTTTCTTGCCGTATGCTTCGGATCATTATCCTGTTGGAATACAAATGTTCTTTCGATGCCGAATTTTGCAGCACTTGGTAATAAATTATCTCGCAATATGTCGGTATACTTTAAAGCATTCATATTTCCTTCGATAAAAGCCAAATTTCCCACCCCATTGTATGACATGCAACCCCAAACCATTACATGTCCGCCACCGTGTTTAACCATTGGTTGAATATTTCGCGACTCCAGTTCACTGTTGGGTCTCCTCCACACATATTTCTTCCCATCAGATCCGAATATGTTGAACTTACTTTCATCAGAAAATATTATATTTTTCCAAAATTCAGTATCCTTGTTTATATGCACTTCTGCAAATCCAAGCCGTCTGTTTATTGACATCGTTTATGAACGGCTTCTTTCTCGCGGTTCTACCGTAAATGTGAGCCGAATGGAAAACCTTTCGGATTGTTTGTGAACTAACTGTCTTTCCCCACTGTGTTGCGACATAAACAGATAAACTGAGAGCACTCACAAATGGGTTTCTTCTGACTTCTTTAACAATGTCGCGTCGCTCCCTCACTGTTAAAACTTTCGGTCGGCCTAATCGCGGTCTGTTTTCTGTTGTGGCAAACTCCTCATACATTTTAACAACATTTCTAACCGTAGAGAAACTAATTTTTAAGAAATCTCCGATTTTGCGATAACTTTTGCCCCGTTTACGGAGAAAGATAATTTCGCTTCGTACTGCAATCGACAGCTCTTTTGTTTTTTCAACCATTCTTCCTGTATGAGACGAATACTGAAACTAAATACCTCTATCGAACAGAGAGTCCAATGTTATATACATATTTGTTTACATTTGCGTCCTTGAAATCGTGTAAGAAGTGTCCTAAAGGAAGAAACTATAGAGCTACAATTGCAGACATGTCTGTGCCAGTACTTTCTTGACGATAAATTTTTCGCTATTTCTTTATAATTTCCGTTGTTATTGATATTGAGTAATGTGCTTCGGTATACAAGTAGTGTACGTTAAAAGATATAAAATGATATACATGGTGTTAATAAAATATTTCAACAAACAAAGATATTTATAAAAATTTGAGTGTGCCAATACTTGTTTGATCCACTGTATGTAGTTTGTAATATTTTAGTAATTAATTTTCCAAAATACGTTTTTGAAGAGTGTATATTAATCGGTAAGATGAAAATATACATATTTATTATCTATGACCAGAGTTTGATGCCTGAGGATTAATACTGTCTAAGAAATTTTGAAAACGTATCTTCCTTTTTTTCGTAATTTATATTTATGTATATTTTGTAATGTTTTCTTGGTAAAGTAAAATATATAGAATAGAAAATATATTAATTCTTATAAGAATAAATTTTCACTCATAAATACTCACATAAAGAGGAACACAATTATTAGAAGTAATACCAAATCACACTACATACAACCGAATAAAACACGGTTATAGTTTTTCAAAATAAATTATAATAGATGATGATAACTAATTTATGTAACACAGAGAGCAACCTTACTTACTTGTTTTACATGTACAACCTTTGTTTATAAAGAATGCAGTCTGTGGTACTTATCAGTAACACATGGGTCACATACATGATTAGCATTAAAGCAATAAAACATCACAAATTTTTTTTCAATTCGAATTGTTTTTAGCTTCATTATAATACTTGGATTTAAAAATCACGTTCTTCAGTGACAGACATAAATAATTTTTGTACGGCGTAAGTGATCTCAACTAAAAACAGAAAAGTCATAAAATTATTAAAGTACAAAAAAAAAAAATAATAATTAAAATTAATCATTAAATTACAATGGGCATGGAAGACTACAAAACAAAAGCGAATCATTACATACAATTAATTTGTTGAAACCACATGGGTTTATTTTTCCATTTGATGCCAACAAAATAAGCTGGAATACCAGATAAAGTTATCAGGGCTCCTATACCAACTTCATATGGTCTTTCATAGCAAGGAACAAACACTAAAAATGCACATATAGCGACAAATGTGATGGGAATCCATAAGGGCATCTGCAAAATATGTTAATTAAAATATAAAATTTTCAGCTTATAGTGAAATTTATTAAATTACCTTGATTGGTCGATTCATGTTTGGTCGTTTATAACGAAGCCATAGAACGCCAGCTACTGATAGCATAATGAAAAATGACTCAACTATGCTGCAATACGTGATCAATACAAGAATATCACTTGTACACAGCATAATTAGAGATAAAATACACTATAAACAATAGGAAAAACGTCTATATTAACGTTGTTTTAGAAATTTATACCGTACAATAAAATTTGTTCTCTTTGTATACATACAAGAAAAACTAAGGCAGGTGTAGGCGTAAATCTTGTAATATTAATATGACTTAACATTGAAGGAAAATGACCATTTCTAGCACCAACAAAACACATTCGAGATGATGTCATGATATGAACGCTCAATCCCCCAAATGCGGATATAGCTACCATTACAGGTATTATCCATGCCATGATACCAAGAACTTCGGCACCAAAATTCTAACAAAAATTTGTAACGTTACTTTTTTAAATATAATTATATGTACATGTTTCTTCTAACGACTTTTAATATAACAGATAAAGGAAATAGTACTAACCACAGCTATGGCACGAGAAGCAATCATAGCAGTTGGAGTTAAAACCGATAAGTAAGCTACATTTGCTAATACATAGATGAAAGTAACTAATGGCAGAGATATGTAGATAGCTCGCGGCAAATTTCTATAACATTAAAACATTTTTTTAGTATTCAAAAATATAAAGATAATAATTTTACATTAATTTGGCCACATACATATAAGGGTCTTTTAATTCTTCTGTCATAAAATTTAAATAATTCCATCCAGAATATGAAAATATTCCAGAATAGAAGGCAACTGCAATTTTACCGGGCTCCGTAATAGTGTTTTCAAAGGAATTCTCAAAATTTTCTGTATGACCTATATCAAATGATTAATGCATACGGAATTAATTAATCAAACAAGATTTTAAAATTTCATACAAAGATACATCAACTTGTATTTTTATGATAATTTCTGTTTATAATAATTTAGCTACCAGTAATACAAATTATAAAAAGAAAGAGTGCAATCTTAAAGAAGCCTTTATTTACATTCTGATTTTCTAGTTTAAGTTCATTTTGTAGAATATAAATATAAATATTATTAAAATCTGAAGATGATCTTAATCTAGGAAATCGAAATATGAAGCCTGTTTAAAACTGCAAAACTATCTTCCTCTTTATTATACATACAGGGTATTTGGCCAGCCCTGGAAAAAATTTCAAATCGTTCTGAAAAAATTATTTTCGTTTGCGGGGTCAATTGCAAGCATTTTTGGTTAACAGACGTACCCTCGAAATTCTATACAGTTTCGATAAAAAAATTCAGGAAGGTGGACAAATTTTTGGACGAAATTACAAAATTTCAAACCCTTCTGGAAAAATTATTTTTAATTGCAGGGGTCAATTACAATCATTTTTTGGTCAATAAACGTATCCTCGAAATCCTATGTACTTTCGAGAAAAAAATTCTTTACCAAAAATATACTGTGTGGCCGGAAATGTTTCTATAACTTTTTAACGAAGCCTCAATCAACAAATTAATATCCTTGATTTTCGTCTTATTTCAGGCTCTAGAATCTCCCATTAAAATTTTTCCCAGGGGTGGCCGAACACCTTGTATAAGTATCTCTATTAATATAAAAATTATACTTACCCAGTAATAACCAAACCATTCCAGCAACAATTATAATTACTAATGCACCAACTTTAGCAAACATAAATACATTTTGCATTTTCGATGTTTCTTTGACATCGTAACAGTTTGCAAATGTAAGTAAACCTATTAAAAAATTAAGACTATGTATTGTAGAAAACTAATCAGACCAGGTCTAAACCATGTGAGCAACTATTGATAAACAGTATTAAGACTAAGGTGTGTTTCTAACAGAAGAATATTAAATGTGGGCAGAGTTTATAAAGTTTACATCTAAAAAAAATATCTTACAAATAGTGACTGCTGCTATTAATCGTATACCATTGTCTGGGATAGTACAATTTGGAAAGAATGGTTGTAAAACATATTCAGCAAATGTTAATCCCATAATAGCATTTGTAGTTGGTCTGTAAATAAAAAGCATAGTAAAATTATGATTATTTCCCGGTCTAAACAGCATTTACTGTTTTAATCCCTTCACTTAAAAAAAGTAACTTACACAAAGATTAAATTAGCAGCCCATAAGTACAAAAAAGCAGGTAATGCTCCAAAAGCTTCATAAATATAAGCATAATCTCCACCACTACGAGGTATACAAGTTCCCAATTCCGCATAGCATAATGCCCCAATCATAGAAAGTAGACCACATAAAACCCAAACAATTAAAGATACCCCAACACTGCCTACTTCCTGAATTACACCTTTTGGAGAAATGAAAATACCTAAACAAGCATAATAATTGGTTTTAGTAATATATGTATATTCTTTTGGTGAAGTATAATATTAACTGTAATATGTTTATTATAAAAATCAATTACATATGAAAAACTATTTCGTTAATATTTACTTAGGGGGGAAATTACTGTGACGGATTGAAAAATCAAAAATTTTTTTTTATCTCTTTTCAATACTTGGAGTTTTAAGAATGCCTACCTAAAATATTAATGTAAAATTCGCAAAAATGACAAAATTATAGAAGATTTGGTAGATGTAGAAAATGTAATATGCGTAACACTTGAATTCATTTATTAATTTATTCATTTGAAACTCTTTTATTATTTCTGCTCTGATAAAGGTTTCATATTTAGTCTAGAGCGATAAGTGGTGTGAATGAAATGTACCGGTACACGACTAAAGAGGTCCAATTGGCAACTTATTTAGCCGTAATTCAATTTAACGATGGCTATTCAAGATTATTACAAATAATAAAGGTCCTTGATATTAAAATTGGACTTTGCCTTTTCGCTGCTCAGCAAAAACACAAAAAAGCGACACAGAACGTTCGCTTGAAGGAAAAAGGAGATGACAATGATCTTTCTACAGAGGATACATTTTAGAGTTCTGCAGTCGATGCCCTTTAGAAAGTTTAAAAACTCCAACGTTATTTCATAGATAATTTGGTTCAAAACTTTGGACGTGTTTTCCTCAAAACTAAATTATTCAAACTGGGCGGCCCAATAACTCAATCAATTTTCATTCGATTTACTTAAAATTTTGTATGGTGGTTCCTAATACTATTCTCTTCAGTTGCACGTACGGAGTTTTCGATTGAATACGTTTCGACGTGATGTTAAAAGAAATATTGATTTTGTCACAGTTTTTTGAGATTTTTCCTTTAAAGTTTCACCATTTTATAATAAATAATTATTTTTAAAAATCCGCATGTGCAACTAAAGCTACAGTCTTATAGTTTAAGAAAATTGCATGATTTCTTGTTTCACAACTTGCAATGAAAAATTACACGTCCACCTGTTTCCACTAAATTTTTGGAGGTTTCTCACACCTGCTGCTATTATATCTATAATAATTAATATTTTTGTACGAAATTTTTACATAAAGTAGTTCAAGAAATGTATTTTCGAAAACATTAAATATTTATTAGAAAAAGTTTGAGTTATCTCCAAAAAAATCTTGAAAATTGTTTTTATTTTCAGCCGGCATGGTGATTTCCCCCCTTAAATGTAAAAATAATTCTAGGTATAATAAATACCTTATGTAGAATATGTAAATTGTACGTGTTTTTAATAAGTACTAAAATTGTAAAATGGTGTTTACCTGAACCACATATGATTCCTAAAATAATTGCAACACCTTCCAAAAGACCAAGTTGTTTTTTCATTTGTACTTTTCCATCATTACCAATTTGTTTTTGGTTCTGTGACTCGTTATCCGAATTTATTAACTGCATTTCTTTAGGAGATTCATCAAATAATTGAGATATCATTTTGTCTAAATGAAATGAACACAAATATCATATTAATTATAATAAACAATATAAGAATGACATAGATAATTAATATATTAATTTTCTAATAATCTACAAGAAATAATTTGAATTCTTCAATTATATTTAACATATGGATAGTAAAAGTTTTTAATATTTTGAATAGTCCCTTTAATCTTTAGACAAAATATTTAAAAGTATAATTTTTAAATTGTTGTTTGAACTAGTAATTTTGGAATTAATAACATAAAATAAATATGAAGTAAGAGAACCATTATTTGTATTATTAATTAATTGTTGTTATAAAACATTATTCTCTCATTCATACTTGTTATTTTGAGTTTTATAAAGAAAATTTACATACCTTTATAACAGACAAATTTTTCGTAGATAAACTGTAATACTGAGTGTTTTTGGTACAAGAAATTAATAAAAGTACAAATCTACCTGTTGTACAAAATTCAAACGTGCAAGTATTATCTATGTACGTTGATTCTTTGCATTCTTTCTCGAATGTAGATCATCTAAAAATGAAAGTGCCTTAGTATTATTTTCGAAAACGCGAAATAAACTTAATTATAATTTACTGTAATACCTGAATTATAAAAATAATGAAATAAATGATTGATATCTTTCTTATACCGCAAAATCCTAGTTTAAATACTTCTACTAAAATATAAAACAGATCTAGGTTATACATATGAAAAACACGTGCTTTAAGTTTAAGACCGATTTAAGGGTTGGTTTGCATTGTCGTGTAACAAGAGGTTTAAAGTTTTTAATTTACGAGGGGTAATCATATAAAAAAATCAGTTTTTATTTAATATTATTAGTCACGTATTAATATCAACGACATATTTTTCAATAAATGTTATATATTTCAATGAAAATCAAATGTCTGACGTAATTTAAATTTAAAGTACATCATACCATAGACTGTGACAGCATATTCATTATTTATAGTGACACATTCTTCTATTGGATAGTAAGTCTATTGTATTATTGTATATTTGGTTTCCACCAAAAATAAGACATAAATAGATATATGCGATTACTTTAGAAATAAGTGATGTTTTGATCATCCTCTTTTATAGCATTGTTCTTTGTAAAATAATTTTAATCGTTTGAATTTAGTTTGTAAAACTATAATTTTTATGTAACAATTGACGATAAATTGTTGACGTAAAGAGTATTCTGCGAACAAGGAAGATGGCGCGTGTGTAAAGTTCTGTCAGTGGATCTGTTAGGCGTAAAAGGTTATGTCAGTTACGATCGCAAACCGTATAAAAAGATTGGTATTTTCACGTTTAAAGTAAGAACACTGCAAATAATTAAAAGTGGTGTAGATTGATATTGTTTGAGAAAAGAATGGTAATTGGTGGTTTATAAAACAAAGCATAATGTTTAAAAATCGATAAAAATATTATCTTGACACCTTATCGTTGCTTTGAAGAGGACGTTTGTTTCGTAAATAGAAAAATAATGGAAAAGTATACAGCGCATTCATTCTCCAGGCTCGCCACTTTCGCTTTTCTTCTTTATTTCGCGAAAGTGTCCAGAGGGTCAAGTGAATCAGTGCGGCAAAGTATTATAGATGTTATGAGAACTGATTCAGAACTACCCAAAATGCCACTATTTTTTAATGAGAGCAGTATTTTAAAAAGCTGCTTCGATGTAAAATATCCTGAAGAAAATGTGGCACCAAATATTATATCTACAAATACTTTGTTGTGTCTTACATTTTATGACACATGGTACAAAGTTTGTCATTTTAATCAGATAGAAATATTATCGTATAATTCGAGTACGTTTGATTCCGTTCTTCAGAAATTTATTCCTGGACCAGACGATACTGATAAAACTAAATTTTGTAATAATCTTGGCGGCTTAACTATTTCATATGAGAAATTAAAGCCATTGTTATCTAAACTTTTAGAATTCAATAAACCTTATGTATGTTTCCCTATTTGCTTTGATACAGAAGGACATTTTAATCCACTCTGTGCAATCGTAGCTTGGAGTAAAAGCATTAATGATAATGCAAAAAAATTAAACACTGTTAAAAAAATGCCTCCGCACGATGATGTATTAAAAGATGCACACAGCGAAGCAAAAAAACAGAAATCAATCAAGGTTTCGACATTTAACTCAGATATAGCAAAAACAACCAGGATTAACAATAATAGCGAAATGGTTAAAACTGTTCCTTCAAATAATGATAATCATAATGATAATCATAATGATAACTTACAAAATGTGTTAAATTCGCCAGATACGGTAAACTCACAAAATAAATCTGGAAATTTAACATCTAAACCACAAGAGGTGGCAGCATCATTGCCATTATTGAAATTAAAGTCAACATCAACATTAAATGTTAAAAATACTTCTTTGATATCAAAGATTGACAGTATGGATATCAAGGATCAGAAGACCAAAGGTAAATCCATTCCCCCTGAATTGAATCACAAGGAAAAGGTGTCAGACATGCAAACAGTTAATACTCCTGAGGATTTTGAAGCACCAAAGAATCTTGGTACAAGTAATAATGAACATGAAGAAAGCACAAAAGATGTTAACGATGATGACAAACCACCAGGAAAGATACAGGAAGAATACGAGTGGAATCCTGTGAATAATGGTAAATTGCCTTTTGGTAATGGTTCATAAATGTTTTGGTTTCTTTAGTTTTACGTATAGTGTACAATGCATTTAAGTTAAAATACTTTGTTAACAGAAGGAACCGATAGCCTTGATCAGTCTAATGAACCAGGTAAGTGATTGTGTACTATTTTGGATTAAAACATTTACTTTTACAATTGATCATTTTGTATCTTTTGGTGTAACATATTTCATTGCAATAGGTGATCAAAATCAACATGTAGCTGAACCTTTTGAACAAAGAGATACAATATCGCATCGTATTATAAGGCCTGACGAAGAATCCCACATTTTTACTTACTTTACCGTGATTACTCTGATTTCCATAGCTGCATATATTGGCTATCATAATAAACAAAAGGTGAGCAAATATTTTATACATTGTCTTATCTGTATGGTTTGGTAGAGGTAAGATTATTTAGAAGTATTGATAATAACCTCATATTTCAGATATTAGCTATTGTATTAGAAGGACGAAGATCACGAAATAGCCGTGATAGACGGCGTCCAAGCACAGTTAATTATCGTAAACTAGATTATACACTAGAAGAAGCGGTTACATCACAGTGTAATACAAATTTTACCCCTGTCATATATTAATGCATGTAATGTATCAGATACTTTAAAACAACGGTATAATAGCACTCCACGTGTAACATTTTGTATTCAAGTATATTTCCAGTATAATATGATTTTATTTTTAACAAGCTGATCGTTTGTTAGTGTTCCATTAATCGTTACCGTATTAGAATTGATCATCAGCAAATAATATAATACTTGATATTAGTTTAAAATAGTAAAATGTTTCACTATTTCTTAATTTGTGTTTAGTGGAGGAGGTGTGCGGATAGCTTGAAACTCGTGTTCGAACTGTCAAAAGTGTGATGGATCTAGACAGAGTTCGATAAATCTCGAGCAGCCAAACTATTTTGGGGCGATTTGGTCCAATTCGGCCTGAGATGTATCGGGTTCTGCCCCGATTCACTGATTTCGTAAAAGCACGAACCAGAATTTTGAGCAACCCGGACACCCTAGTGATCTTATCATTTCAAAACGAATTTTTGATATTAACAATAGCAATTTTTCATTTTAGTTCATTATTCGTCAATATACAATACAGCATGTTCTTATTAAGGATGGTATAAAATAATTTATATTCTTTTGTTTGTGCTGAAGACAGGTTTGTTTGCTACAGTATTAATACGTTCGTTGCGGTACGGAACATGTTTGTATGCCCCGTATTGCAGACTGTTCCATGCGTATCATACTTTATTGAATCTTCGTTGCATGATAATAGGATCTCTCATACCGGTAGTTATGAAAATTTAGAACGAGCTGTACCTGATCTATGTCGAGAAATGTGAAAGTTAAGAAAAAAGGTACCGTAATGAACGTGTTAAAATTTAATTGTAGTCGAGAAACAGACTAATATACGTTTTATTTATCATTTTATTATATGGGCAAAATTAATGTGTACTTAATCAATCGCTATTTTTCATAAACAGTTGTACATATATAAGTTTGTACTTGTTCATATTTCTGAATTAAAAAGTCAGAAATATTTTTTTATAATTATTTAATTTTTGTTGGTTTAAAATTAGGATCTATTTTATTAACACTTTTATATTTTATATGTATGTATTGCATTCTAAAATTTTCCTCACATTTTGGAATTCTTATTTGTGTTCAGTGACATTTATTACTTCAAATCTGAATTAAATTATTATAGGAAGATCCATGATAAATAAATATTGATAAATAAAGCGTTATTCATGCCGTATGTAGTTTTTCACAGAATAAATATAGAACACACTTTCGTGTTATTTCCATTTTCTAATTTTTCTATAAAAGAATATAGCAGTATAAAATGAGCAATGCAACAATTACATCATTCATTGTCACAGGCAGTTCCTTAAGTCAAGTTACAGTATTAGCATATATGTAGTAGTTAGAATTTTTATTTTTGACATAGTGTACACAGAAATGTTGCATTTGATAGTAAAATTCTAATTTTACATAACATTTGTTATTTATTACTTCGCTTGAATACATCGATGTTAATGTTGAAAATAATTAAACAATATACCTTTTTACGTATACTAGATTTAAGTAATTTCAGTGCACAAAGAATATTGGTACTTGTACATATTAATTACTTAATATCAAAAATTTTGGTTTAAATTACTTATTGTACGTACGTGAGAAACTACCAAATAAAATTTAACAGATGAAATGTCGTTCACTTCTACGCGGTTATGCCATAAAAATATTGTACCTTCTGGTAATAAATATTTAATAAATTTCATACAATAAAACGATCACGCGTCATTTTTATTCGTAATATAATTTTCATGTACGACAAGTGAATTCATTAAATTGTCCAAAACTTGTTCATTCATTCTTCTTTTACTGAATTACATTTAATGGAATATAATTAACGATTTAAGAATTCAAAATGTTCGGTACTAATAATATATAAATATCAGCTTTTACCAGGCATTTAAAAGTGATTGATAATAAACTTAACTGATTAGGCCAGTTTATGCAAAAGAACAATGAATAAGTGTTTCATAGATGTAAATGATTATTTTTATACGAAAAAAAACATTTTATGAGATCATTTTTTATTTGCAAATGATGTTCAAATTGTTGATTGTTTGTTTCGAAATAAATTCAAGTATTATATTATTTAAACTGATATTAATGATGTACTCATGTATGAACTCATGTATTCCAATTGGATAAATTACACATTCGTGTATTCGATTAAAAGAAAACGTTTACACTATTTAGTACAGTAGCACGCATCTTTGGTTTGTTGTAACAGCCAGTTCAAATGAGGACCCACTCTCGTGAAAATCGAAACTGCAGGGACGGTGCCGCATTCGTTTATATCCGAAATTATTCCTATTATAAAATGCAAATTGCTTTGTGAATAACAGCCTCGTCTGCCTCGAATATTATTTATGAGAATAATTGATGTTATCAGTATATCATACAGATCGATTGAATACGATTATTTGATTCAATCATAGATTCGAGAGAATAATTTTATTGTGTAGATTAAAAATAAATTAATATAATTGAAAAATGTATTACTTAACGATTAACTTTATTCTTTAATGAATTATAGAGTCGGGAAACACGTAATGTGATCACTCGTTTATGATTATGATTTCAAAAGGGTCACACAACAATTACATGGTACGTATCGTAAATAAGAGCATAAAAATGAATTAAATTACAATACACTGTGAGAGATCTTTTAGAAATATGCTCAGGCTGCATATTCATACGAAACCGAGCTATCGAATAATACATTTTTGCAACTATTTAATTTTTTTATAATTATTTTGTAGATATACGTACCAACGAGATCATAAACTCCTGCATACGAACGATATTGCACCGAAGAACCTACGTCGTTCTGAAAAACACGAAGCATTATCAACGTAAATTTGGAAATATACAGGATAATTCACGCTAAACAATTACCTGGAGGAATTCCTAATCTGTTGGGTTAAACAAAAAACTATAATTTAAACGTAGTACTAAAATCTTTGAAAGGGTTTATAGAATTTCGAAGCTTTGTGTTTGTAAAATCTTACTCTAAGGGAAATAGAAAAATAATTATATTTCTAATGAGTTGTCTATAATTCATATTATAGAAATAATGAAATAATATACCTCGCATACGATGGAACTCCCGCCCAAAACACCAGCGCAGCCGGAGTCATTGTGAAAATTCGTGGGATTTAATCCGGACCTTATACATTCATTGTAACCCAAAATTGGAAGGCCTAATTTTCGCGGTCGACAGGTTTGATTGTTGTTGCTGTCCTCTGTTTTACTTATTGTCCATCCAGCCAAGGTTCCTACTTGTCCAAGGTAAGTCGAACCTCGAAATTTAAGTTTTGATAATAAATTTTCAGTAGAAGATCTTCTAGACAAGCTATTCTTTATATTACAGGGTGTTCGGCCACCCGTGGGAAAAATTTTAATGGGAGATTCTAGGAGCTAAAATAAGACGAAAATCAAGAATACCAATTTGTTGATTGAGGCTTTGTTAAAACGTTATTAACGTTTAAAGTTCCGCCTGTAGAACGCCTGTGCGCGTGATAGTGGTTCTCATTCAGTATGAGAAACTCTACTTACTGACGTATCGACAGTCTTACAGTTTTGTGAATGAGAATCACTATCACGCGTACGCAGCTGTTCGCAGACTGCCGTTTTGCAGGCGGAACTTTAAACGTTAATAACTTTTTAACGAAGCCTCGATCAACCAATTGGTATTCTTGATTTTCGTCTTATTTTGGTCTCCAGAATCTGCAATTAAAATTTTTCTCAGGGGTGGCCGAACACTCTGTATAATGTACACCGTAAATGGTGGAATGTGGTAATTTGATGAACGTACTTTATTTGTCATCATGTGGGGAAAGTGTAGAATATTAGTAACAACAGTAATTCTCGCTGTCAAGTAATTAATTGTAAATCGGGACCGCCAGTTTAAAGCGCGTTTGGTAGTGATTTTTATCTCTAGCTAAGGTTGATACCAGATAACGGAGATAAGTATAAATTAAATTTTGCCAGAGTAGTATAACTATTATTCACTTTTTTACATATGATACACTTTTATGATACATAGATTATTTAACGTATAACTGAAATTAATATTTACACTTGTGTTGAAATAAGGTATATTTAACGAAAATGTTGGTGAATTGCCGAAGGACAAAAATTAGTAGACGGGTAATAAAATATACAAAAGTATAAAATCAATATGTAGTATGACCACCTGTTGCTGCAATAATTGCTTTTAAACATCGTGGGATATTATTTAGCAGATTTTCAATGTAATTTTTATCAATATTTTCAAATGCCAATCGTAAATATTTAAAGCAATTGTTCCTGTTCTGCCGTTTTTCGAATCACATATTTGAATTCAGTATGCTCCATAGGTTTTCGATTAGATTCAAACCTGGACTTTGTGCCGGCTATTCCAATAATTTAATATTGGGATTCTCAAAAATTATTTTGTTTTTCTTTTAGCAGTGTGTCTCGGGTCGTTGTCTTATTGCAAAATAAATTTTTCTTCGAGTCTGTAGCGACCGGTCGTGCGCACATGGGAAAGTTTTTCTCTCGTGCAAACGGCCCACGTAATTTACGACTCTCGTTCGTCGAAGCTGTTTTTGAGGAAGATATTTTCCAGACTCGCGTATCGAATGCGTTTAGTAAATTCTTTTCCTAAGCCCCTCAACAGCAAATAGAGACCGTTGTAAATTAGGGATTTCCAGAGGACACTCGACGCGTAGCCATCGGAGTTTCGCCAAGTGGGCCCAGCGCGGGTGGTCCGAAGGAAATCTTGCAGTGAGGGCGCAACGTCGTCCCCCTCAATCACCACGCCGTTTCGAAAACAAGCACGCCGTGGGCGTAAGAAATAGGCGGTGATTTGGGAAAAATAAACGGCCCTGATTGGAAAGGCCCAACGCGTGGGGTTAACCAATCAGGGTTGTTTAACAATTTTGCCAGTGCGACCGAGGGGTCGACATGGAGACGAGCGAAGAATAACGACACTTGGTTTTGCGCGCTCTAACCGAAAACAACGGAAAAATAAAGAAAGTCTTGTCACCCCACAAAAAGTGTTTTCCTACAACAACCTATCCCAACAAGTCCCATTTTCGTAACTGCCTCTTCTAAATTTTCGTTTATTATTTCAATACATATACTTGTTTGCATTCATTATTTCGCCAATCTCTACCAAATTGCCAACTCAAATCTACGAAAATATCCCCACAACATTAATGACCTTCCACCAAATTTAACAGTAATGATACAAAACAGCTTTTTGTATGCTTTGTTTCTTATTGCAAAATAAATTTTTCTTCGAGTCCCATTTTCGTAACTGCCTCTTCTAAATTTTCGTTTATTATTTCAATATACTTGTTTGCATTCATTATTCCGCCAATCTCTACCAAATTGCCAACTCCAATCCACGAAAATACCCCCAAAACATTAATGACCTTCCACCAAATTTAATAATACAAAACAGTTTTTTGTATGCTTTGTTTCTTTCCCTCCATGCATGATGCTTCTTTTTTAATTGTTGCAGTTTAAATTTGTTTTCATTGCGCCAATATTATTTTTCTCTAGAATGATGTTGGTATATTTATATATTTTTTAACAAAAGCTAGGCGTTTCCTCGTGTTGATGTTGCTAACACTAAATGTAGGCTCCCACTATGTTCGTGGAGCCGTTTTATTTAGTAAATAGAGGGTTCAATACTATTTACAACACTTGAATTTATTTACAAATATGTACATGTGTTAACAGTTTAATTTTCAATGTTCTTACAGGTGTTCTTATGGAGTTCTTGTGTTATTCTAACTTGTAAAGTCCTATGCCCCGCGATTTTATACATATTCCAAAATAGGTGGAAACCTTGTGTATCCAATCAAACCGCTGCCCATCCCTCGTGGGCCAGTCCTCAGATATTCAAAATCCCACCCACCGAGGGTGGTACAGGGGTGGGTGTCCGCGGTTTCAAGGGGCAGGTATGGTCCCAAAGTACGGTGCTTAACGGCTCAATAGTACGACAATTTGTTTTGTACCCTAAGGTACTTGCCAAATTGCTAATCAAGTAATTTAAAACTAATATTAACTAAATAAGGGGTCCGCTAATAAGTGTTGGGATTTCCAACACTAAACCTACCGGCACTTCATGCATACCTATTCCTACCATGACCGGTCAAATGACCAGTCTTTCTTTTTCTCTTTTACGAGGCAACGTACTTCTAATTTTTTTCATTATATGTATAGAAAGTAGCATTTTGATGTTTATTCGTAAGATATCCTTCTCTTTTATGTTAAAAAATTTTTTAATTTTCATCGGATAGAAGATAAAACGCTTTTGAAAACGAATTTTGTTCCAAGTCGATACCGTAGTTAATTGTAGAGAAAACAACTATTTAAGACAAAGTGCTGGCTAGTAATTATGCAAACATCCTGTATTTAAATTCATTTTCAATTAAATAAACAATTTATGGTGCAGTTTTATCGTACACTAGTCGTACGATCAGTAGGAATTGCTGAAACTTCTTTGGGTATGTAGCGTCAAAGTAAATATGAAAATAAACATAAAAGACAGCAAAAAATATAGTAGCTGGTATAGTCATTGGATAGAGGATGAAATGCCCTCTAAAATGAGCGTTCGAACAAGTCAATAGCTTTATTAGTACCGGAGATATAGCGATTTTAATTTCAAGTTGATGCGATGACTAGTTTCGGAGATAGGGTTTGTTTACGTTTCGTTGTTGCGCTCGCGAGGTCATTGACCTCGCGCGCGTGACAATAGTAAACAGTGCGCAGTAAATTCTTGGAAATACTACGCCGAAACTGGGTCACGCACGTGCGACAAAGAGGTCCGACGCCTAAGACGAAAACAGAGATAAAAAAATTACCATTTACATAAATTACGATATCCCCGAAACGGAAAGTCAGATCGACAAAAACCAATAGCTGTTTCAAAGAGGTGGGTTTACCACTGCTAATGATGCCTCATTTATAAATAAAACACTAGTAGTTTCACAACTGCACGCATCTAAATTTTTAGTATTTTTAATACGCGTTAATAGCCTTTTCTAAGACGGGAAGCGAGAGACAGCGGAATTTTAAAAATGACCTTTTACATAAATTACGATATCTCGGAAACGGAAAGTCGGATCGACAAAAACCGGAAACCATTTTAAAGGGGAAGGTTTACTGCTTCCAACGATGCCTCAGTTATGCAGAAAACATGAGTAGTTTCGAAACTGCACGCGTTTAAAGTTTAATTATTTTTAATACGCGTTGTTAGACTGTTCTAAGATAGTGGAAACTGTAGATTTTCTCCTTTCGTCTTTGCTATACATATATTTTCTATTTATAATAAAGCTAACCAGAATTTGGTACCAAATTTTGTCCAGTTTTTTACAAAAAAATATAAATCATTCAACCGGTCAGATGACCGGTCGTGGTAGGCAAGACAGACTACATATTTTTATCAGAAAACAAACAATAAGAATAGAAGTGAATATTGTAAAATTCATTGTACGTATACTATAAGAAAAGTCGTGAAGTTAAATGGCGCTAAAATAATAGTGCATGTTAGAAATTCTAAATGAAATGTTTAAAACGGTCATTTGATCGGTGGCGGAAGGTTTAGTATTAATGTGCGGCTTACGTTTGGATTTATAGAACCTTAACCCCGTTTCATGCAACCTTCGTTGTACTATTTTCAATGACGCACTTAATTTTAACATTTCAACAATATTTCGCGCTGAAATTCTTGGATTTTGTCGACATTTACGAGTAATTTGACGATCATCTTTCGCAGTGCCACAACGTTTACGTCCGCGGCCTCTTAAATATTTTGTATAAACTTTTTCGACCGCACTTTTAGAAAAACTGTACTTTTTTGCTACTAAACAGTAACTTAATTTATTTCGACAGTTCGCTATAATCAAATTACGAATTCCATTTGAAAATTCTTTTCTTACTGACATTTTGCTGTTTCCTTACAAATAATCTGCTTTATGCAAAGTTTACACATCAACCAAATAGTTCATTTGAGACTACTGCGTGAGAGTGAAAAGGATACTTCACGCTTGTTTACTTTTTTCGTGTTGTAATAACATTTTGAACGAGTGTCCACTTATTTCTGTCCCTCGACAATCAACCAATGTTTTCGTTAAGTATACTTTAAAGATATATTGCTTTATTATTCGCTAAATAATCTACGTATCACAAAGATATATTATACAGGATGTTTGGTTACCCATGGGAAAAATTTTAATGGGAGATTCTAGAGGTCAAAATAAGACGAAAATCAAGAATACCAATTTGTTGATTGTGGCTTTGTTAAAAAGTTATTAACGTTTAAAGTTCCGTCTGTAGAACGGCAATCCGTGCACAGCTGCTAGTGGTTCTCACTCACAAAACTGTGAGGCTGTCGATACGTCACTAAGTAGAGTTTCTCATGCTGAGTGAGAACCACAATCGCATGCACGCTGATTGCCCTTCTACAGGCGGAACTTTAAACGTTAATAACTTTTTAACAAAGCCTCAACCAACAAATTGATATTCTTGATTTTCGTCTTATTTTTGTCCCTAGAATCTCCCATTAAAATTTTTCTCAGGGGTGGCCGAATACCCTGTATATACAACTTGTGCATATTAGTTATAGTACTTTTATTTTTAATTCATACCTATTTTCTCTACCTGTCCACTTAATTTTGTTCACAACTTTACGTAAGGTATTCTTATGATTATTCATAATTTCCTCGTGTGTAGTTTTGTACCGGAAGTGAACAGTTAAAGAATCTCGTATTACTTGCGTTTTGTCACTAACCTGGATTGGGTAAGCAGATAGGCGACATCCTCCTTTCGAATTTAATCGATTGGCTCAATTTTATCAGTGCCAAGTCGTGAGCGTGTGAGTCTGGATTGTATTCTGGATACAGACTTAGAGATTCTACGCTAACTCTTGCCGATGATACATCTAAATTGCATCGATCGTGTTCTCCAAGGGTCACTTTTATCTCCGGTGCTGTTACGCTGTAAAAAAAAAAATGCATTTAAATTATTAGGATATTTCGACTCTTATTTTCCCTATGACGTAAGTCCTATAGAAACCACCAACCTTTGAATAACTACTTTCGTACATCGTATTACGCTTGAGATTGAAAGTTGCGTCGCATAGTGCGTTGAGTATATTTTTATACAAAATTCATAACTTCTAAGTTACTTGATTTTCGATTTAAGATCACTAATAGTTTTTTAAAGAGAATAAAAAGATGCATTAATTGATGAAAAAAATACAACTTCATTAGTTGAGCTGACTTTTTATTGAATAAACTGTATTTTTCTAAATTTTACTATTGCAATTTATCATCACATAATTTCTGATGAAATTTTTTTAGAAATGTACTTCTACAACTTTAATGAAAATTCCTGGAAAATCATAGCGAACGCATAGTGACGTCAATTATAGCACATTTTTTGGCAGGTCGTGACAGCTAATTTTTGTAGGATCTTTCGCATAACTTAATAACGTAAAAATTAGTGAGGAGGTTTGAGGAGTATTTTAGTAAAATTTAATCAAAGTTAATCAAATTCTTCTTATTATATTTGGCGTATCAAAAATGAAAAGAGAAACAGGAAAAAACAATCAAAAGAATGACTAATCGAATAAAACATAATCGAAATACGTACTTCTTGCAGCAGATTCCATTACAAACAATAAATTATCACTTGTATAATAAAAAAGCAATTATCTTTCATCAATGACCAATGACAAATAACCTGTTGGTTATCATGGGTTCTAAAACACATTTACAAATTCTATTTCTATTGATTTTTCAATTTTTCAATTTTGTTAATAGGTCAATGCATTGTGCGTGGCACAGTGTTCGAAAACGGCAATTTATTTGCGAAAAATTATATTCCACCTTAAAAGTGCATAAATCCTTGAAAACAAGTTTATGGACGATTATTAATACTGCTAACATTAATTTTGCTTAATAATTTTTATATTATTTTATGTTAAATGAAAATGAAATTATTTAATTAAAGAAAAAATAAAGAAATGTATTTTATTATAAAAGTTTCACTGCCGCATAACATTTTTAATTATATATTGTTTTTAAATAATGAAGAAAATAATAGAAGATAGGAACAACAAGAATGAGATTCGCTAACTTTAAAGTTATGTTATTAAAAAAATAGCAAACAGTAGCAGCTGATTTTCAGAGAAACCAAAGAAATGAACATAAACTACAAGTCTGTAGTGGAATTTTGACCAATACCTACCAATCTGATAACCTCTATTCCAAAAACTTACGATAACTTCATACTAAAATTGGTTCTTTTTGATTACCTATATTTAAAATTATAATAAATTTGTGATCAATTGATTTTATTCTAAAATAAAGCGTGTACTTCTTGTGCAACATTTGTGCAGAACAAAATGAAATTATTGTAATATCATTATTTCGTAGAAGGAGAAATATGAACTGCAAAAACAAGAAGAAATCATATTTAAGCAATTTCTAAGGATAAGTAATGTTTCAAGCGAAGATCCTCAAGGATTTAGAAACTTAATGACATCTAAAGCAAAATGATTGGAGATGGTTAAAAATTGGACTTTTTCGCGTCTAAATCGCCATTTTCGAATACTGTGTGTCGTGTCGAAAGGGTTGAAAGTCAACTTTTTTTTTATACCAAAGAGGAACGTTTATTTGTTTCTTTTGACAACGATATTGTACCAACCTAACCAGTTGGCTAGCTGCGGTTAAGACGTAGCGATCGTTTATCAGAACTCCACTGAGGAGTAACTGTGATTTTACATGGATGTTCGCCAGCCATGGGAATTCGTGTGCTTGCGTATATTCTCCACCTAGGAGTCGTCCTTCACCAGACCGATTAGGCCGCCCGCACACTATGAAACGATTTAGGAACAAAACGAAATAAAGAAAGTATCGTAGTGTTTTTCAATATTTTTGGGATCATGTTCCATCTCAACATTTTAAAGATTTTGATCGCTTATCATGAGACTGCGAATGTTTATGCATTTATGAACTTATTAAAATTCCACTGTGATAATGGTTAACTCTTTTTCTTTGTCCATTTAGGTTAAGTAGAGATTTAATATTGTACTTGGTACGAATAAATGAATATTTTTTTTATAAACAACGCCTCCCACAATCTAATGTACGAGTCATGTTACCTCGTTACGAGCAACGTTGCAAGTAATTAACTTTTTATATTCTAAATTACAATAATTACTTAGCTTATAATTTAAATATATCAACTCTTAATGTAGAGACTTTTAATATATATGTAGAGTGCTCCAAGTATTCCTGACGATATTGAAAGACAAATTTTTTTGTGTGATGGTATTATAAAGTGCAATTATAAAGGTCAAATGTAATCGAGGATACAATTTTATAAGGTTAAATGAATTTTTAAAAATTTAAGATAAGTTACTAAGAAATTTTTGTCTCGAAATTTACTTCGATGGTTTGCAAGCTAGTGTCCAGCGTGAATTCACAGGATGTGAATAACAGAGTTATTGACCCTTATCAATAGATTGCGGATTCATGTCATTATGGGAAATTTTAATTCTCAAAAAATTACAGAATGCACTTAATATGCAAAAATATAAGAACTACTTAAAGTAAGATACGAATTTTTATATTTAGAGATTGAGACAACCCTTTACAAAGTTCCTATTGCATTAATTCTATTAATAAAAATATGAATTTGTATAAAAATTCACAGTCTACTTATCACTATAGAAAATTAATCGAATCGTGCATAGCTATGTGTTTATTGAATTCTTAGAGTATTTACGTTTCGGTTACTTTCGGTAGACAACATTCTGTTATCCTATACAATTAAATAAAAGCAAGCAAAATTGTTACTAATTTTTACTTACTGCAATTTCCGCAACTTTTGAACCTGCCGAATAAGCTGTCTAAAATGCCACGCGTCCTTCTTACTACATCCTCCCCAGTGTTCTAGATAAACCAATACAAAAAGTCCTAAGAAATTGTAGTTTGAAAAAAATCTAAGCACTATCGGTGTTGGAGTATTAATTATTTTTCCTGATCTCGAATATCGAATATAGAGACTAGATGGACCAATACAAAAAGACCTAAGAAAATGTAGTTTGAAAAAAATCCAAGCAGTATCTGTGTTGGTGTATTTATATTTTTCCTGATCTTGAATATCAAATACAGAGAATAAGGTTGGTATTATTCTAATACAAATAGCACGATTCTAATTTCGGTTTCAGTCACCAACTGAATTTTGTAGGCAGTGATGAAATTTAGTAAAATTTGAAAATAGGAACGCTTACAGGGGAGTTGAGATCCTCGCAGCGAATCTGTTTCGCGGACAGCACGAAAACGCAAACGAGGAACTTGACGAAATCCTGCAGCTTCATGGCTTTTCTGTCGACTGTCGAAACGGTACTGGTCTCGGTAAAACAACTGGTTCGTATAGCGGGACTATCGTTGCCCGCATCCCGGAGGCTTCAAGGCTTTTTCTTGGGCTGTTAATACCATAAGGCAGAAGGAATTTCCAAACGACTAAAATTCTCTATAATTTACGTACTTTCGATAGTAAAACATATTGAATAGATTCCTGTATTGAGCCATGAACAGGTATTTTCGAGGTTCAACAGCCAAAGGTCTTTAATAGCGTTTCGTTTCCTCTTCATAGAACTTAATTTTCGAATTAAAGCCAACATAACAGAAAATTAATTTTTTTTTTAAATTCCTTTCCAAATGTTTAACGTATAATAATATTCATTGTTAGGCATCTTTATTAAGATAAAATGAGAGTTAGAAGTACTCATGACATGATTTAAAGCCAACATAATATGAAATTTGTTTTTTTTTTAGTTAAGTACCTTTCGAAATGTTTAACGTATAGTAATATTCATTGTTAGGCACCTTTATTAAGATAAAATGAGAGTTAGAAGTACTCGTGACATGATTTATATTACAAAAGATTTTATTGAATATATCTGTAGGTATTCCGGGGATGTATTACAAAATCATATTTATGTATTGAGCAAATTACATAGTTTGGCACGTAACATAAGTTTTATTTTTGTTGCATGAATGTTATTGTTTAAAAAAAAAGAAACTTGAGTATTTTAAACGTATACACAATTTGTAATAGCTTGCAATGAGCATTCAATTTTTAATAACACAAGGGTTTAAATCACTTCGAATTAAATATAAACGTCAACAAGATTTTGAAAGACTGATCAGGCTGAAGAATATAGAGGGCTTGGAAATTTCGAATTTCCTCGAAACAATAGAATCCATCAATGGCCTCACAAATAATATAAATATTTCAATCACGACTTCTATTACATTTTCAAGATTTTTCAAATTTCCAGGACCTCCAAATCCAAATTATTCGAGTGTTTTTAAAGTTTGCAGGAACTTTTAATGCCGATTTGTGCTCGAAGCGAATCGAAACCGTCCATCGTTAGTAATAGCGCTATAAAATATCAAACTATATTCGTCTTTGAAAAAAAATATCGTTCGGTATTAACGAGTAGTATTGTACAGACATTTCAGTGTTTTCAACCCTCGTCACGCGTAGCAACCGGTTTCAGTCCTCTTCGCAGAAACATCCCTCGCGCGAATGGTAGACGATCCAATCTATATACCGTGTGACTCTCGTATAAACACCAGGATATCCTGGTCGAGCACATCCGTTACCCCAGGACACTACGCCTATAAGCTCGTATTTCTTGTCTTCGCGTTCAGCTATCAGTGGTCCTCCGCTGTCCCCCTGAAAGAGAAATATGGAGACTGTTTCTATCAGCTATATCCTCATTTCTATCTCAAAACTATGAAATATTCGAAAACGATTCAATTGTACGTAGAATACAAGCATGTTAAGGGGGCAGGACAGTTTAACAAGTCTAATAATTAGCAATACTTTGGAGGAACAATAAAAGAAAAGTACATATCTGATTGACATAAGTTTTTGTGGTTTATTTTAGATGTTTAGTTTAGATGATTTTGTGATTAAATATAGCACTATAGAGGTAACATTATTAGATTTTAAGTGAAACTAATTGTTTTAATTACTTATTATATTAGGTGTACAAATGAATAATCCAATTTTTTCAGCCACATTCAATGTTTATTTAAAAAAAAAGTAAATTGAGTTGTTCAATCAAAGTATTCGCCGTTACTTTCTATAACTTTAAGCCATCTTTCAGACACCTGATGAATTCCATCTCGGAAAAATTTTACGTTTTTGAATCCGATAAAGTCGTCAAACCATTTCGGATCTCATCCACCGATTGGAAGTGCATATCGGATAAGGCGTGTTACATCGACCGGAACAGGTGATAATCAGTTGGAGCAATGTCTGGTGAATACGCTGGGTGCTGCAAGACGTCCCAGCCAAGACTCATTATGGTGTCTTTTGTATGGGAAGCAATATGTGGCCTGGCGTTGTCATGCAACAATTTCACTGGATGTTCTCCTTTGCCAGTATATGGACGTTTTCGTTTCAATGCTTGACTCAAGCAGATTAATTGACGTTGGCAGTAGTTCGCAGTTACTGTTTCACTCGGTTCCAACAACTCATAACAAACCACGCCCTTGATATCCCACTAAATGGAGAGAAGAACCTTTTTTCCGAAGCGATTGGGTTTTGCAACCGATGTTGATGCTTCGCCGGAATTTACCCATGACTTTCTGCGTTTCGGATTGTCATAGAGTATCCATTTCTCATCGCCCGTAACGATTTTCCACAGGAAAGACTTTCGACGCTGCTTAGTGGGAAGAGACAGACACGCTGCCACTCGTTGATTTTTGTTGGTTGCAGTGAGTTCATGCGGAACCCATTTTCCTTCTTTCTGAATCTTTCCCATCTCACATAGGCGTTTGGAAATCGTTTGCTGGGTTACTCCTAACTGTTCTGCAAGTTCTTTTTGTGTTTGTGCCGCATTCTCAGCGAGCAGTTGTTCCAAATCATTGTTGTCGCACTTCCGAGGGCCTCCAGGGCGTTGTTTGTCGATTGGACTCAAATCACCGCTTTTAAACCGCTTAAACCAAAATGCGCACGCATCATATGATACAATACCTTCCCCGAGAAAGGAACAAATCTATTTGCATGCTCTTGCAGCATTTTTCCCTTGTTGGAATTCGTAAAGAATGCAGTGTCGGATATGCACCTCATCTGTTGCCATTTTCGACTCTACTGAATTGAATACTTTTGAAGGTTATGTTGGGCTTTTCGTTAAACTATCTTTCGCTAAAATCTATTGACTTTAAACTTGGTTTTATAACTGTTTAAAATAATTTGGATTATTCATTTGTACACCTAATAGAATATCAAAATATGTATAGAATTTGTATTATATTTCTGTACAGGTAAGTAAGCATATTTCAATTATTTATATGTGTCATAAGCATGTTTTAAACCATAAACAAAGAATACAAAGTTTTTAACAATTTAAATTTTGGAGAAGCTTATAAAAAAATGTTGAAAAGTGTTAGACGTTCGACTTCATTTATATGAAAGCTTAGACCATTGTTAACAAGAGTATCTAAATTTCAAGTGCAGTTTGCTGCAGTTTTGAAATCTGTGAGGTTTTTAATAAATACATGTCCTACGTATTTTCACGTCGCGTCGCGTCTTGTATTGCTTGCGTGTTGCAGTCTGTTTCCCATCGATTTGAAAACATTTGAAAAGTTGTCTTTCGAAACAACATATTTATTTAAATAAAAATATCCATGGTATCTCATACCTCCCACTATTCATAAAATTTTGATACATGGGAAACAAATTCTCGAAGAGTGTGTTTTGCCGCTTGGATACTTGAGAGAAGACGCAGCAGAATCAAGGCATACATTTTATAGACAAGATAGAGAATTTTATACACGTAAAAATAATAGAGAGAACTATTTGCAAAATGTATTTCATAGGATCTTGGATACTTCAGATCTATTTATCTCAAATACATCTCTTAAAAACAGAATGGAACAACAGAAACGAAAAAAGCCAAACTTCCACTGGAAGTGTTATCTTTGTTACGTTCCCTATCATTCTATCAATCGCAATCGCAACCATCATCATCCAGTTCATCAACAGTTAACAGTGCTAGAATGAAAATGATGAAGAAAATGGAAACAATTTACCGATATTTGAGTATTTGAACAACGTGGAATTAGATTCAGATGAATTATAGGTAACAATTTATAATTTGCAGCTACATTTTTTCGTATTTTGTATCTTAGCTACTGATAAACACGTTATTACAGATACACTTAATCGAAATCTGTTGTAGAGACTTAGTTTATTAGTATAATAAATAATAATTTATAACTAGTAAATTAATATAATTAATAACCTAGTTTATTAATATAAACTAAGTCTATAATAATTTTACATTAATTTGGCCACATACATATAAGGGTCTTTTAATTCTTCTATCATAAAATTTAAATAATTCCATCCAGAATACGAAAATATTCCAGAATAGAAGGCAACTGCAATTTTACCGGGCTCCGTAATAGTGTTTTCAAAGGAATTTTCAAAATTTACTGTATGACCTATATCAAATGATTAATGCATACGGAATTAATTAATCAAACAAGATTTTAAAATTTCATACAAAAATACATCAACTTGTATTTTTATGATAATTTCTGTTTATAATAATTTAGCTACCAGTAATACAAATTATAAAAAGAAAGAGTGCAGTCTTAAAGAAGCCTTTATTCACGTTCTGATTTTCTAGTTTAAGTTCATTTCTAGAATATAAATACAAATATTATTAAAATTTGAAGATGATCTTAAACTAGGAGATCGAAATATGAATCCTGTTCAAAACTGCAAAATTATCTTCCTTTTTATTATACATACAGGATATTTGGCCAGCCCTGGGAAAAATTTTAATGAGAGATTCTACAGATAAAAATAAGATGAAAATCAAGAATATCAATTTGTTGATTGAGACTTTGTCAAAAAGTTATTAAAAAATTAAACTAACAAATTTCAAATCATTCACGGTAAAATTATTTTCGGTTGCAGGGGTCAATTACAATTATTTTTGGTGAATAAACATACCCTTGAAATTCTACGCATTTTCGAGAAAAAACTTCATTACTGAAAATATAATTTCTGACCAGAAATGCTTCCTCGAAATTTCATGCAAATGTTTAAAATATCATAACTTCTGAACGGATTCAAGGATTTTAAAGTTTCAAAATGCAAACAACGCGTATTTAGGTGTAAAATATGTAGAAATTCTAAGAAATTCTGAAAAGTTATTCCTTAACCCCGTAAAATGAGAAAAACCATATAAAAATGGTAAAATTTTCAAACAGCCATAACTGCTACAATAGTGAATGGATTGCATTGAAATATAGTATGGAAGTAGAGCTCATGGATACCTACAAAAAAGTACTAAACTAAATTTTGATAGGACGTCAAACAAATTGATTAAAGATGAAAAACGAATTTTTAAGAACATTCGACAAAGGGGTAGTTTAAATTTTTCAGCGAAAAGAAAAATTTCAAATCGTTCTAAAAAAATTATGTTTGGTTGTGGGGGTCAATTACAATCATTTTTAGTAAATACACATACCTCCGAAATCCTTCGCACCTTTGTGAAAAAAATTCGGGTAGGTGGACAATTTCGATAAAATTAAAAAATGTCAAATCGTTCTGGGAAAATTATTTTCGTTTGAGGGAGTTAATTGCAATCAGTTTTGGTGAATAGACACATCCCCGAAATCCTACGCATTTTCGAGAAAAAAATTCTTTACCGAAAATATACTGTGCGGCCTGAAATGTTTCTATAACTTTTTAACGAAGCCTCAATCAATAAATTAGTATCCTTGATTTTCGCCTTATTTTGGCCTCTAGAATCTCCCATTGAAATTTTTCCCAAGGGTGACCGAACACCCTGTATACCGCGTACTGATATCATCATTTTGAATTTGAAATTTTTGATTTCAGATTCGTTATCAGCAACCTCAAGAACCCTGAATTACCAAGTTTTAGAAAGATTCGATGGAATCTTGAATTTTTGCCACGTTTCCGACTCTTTCAGACCATCGGGTGTCCCGAAGAAATCATGAAAAAAATTTTTGATCGAGTATAATTAAGGTCCACCCTACGGTAGAACGTTGATACGTTACCTGACAAGAGTCCTTCTTGCCATCGGCGTATCCAGCGCACATCATGTTATCGGAGATCATGCGAGGGCTGTAGTTGGTATTGCGGCAATCCTGAAGGCTCATAACTGGTACCTCGACTTCCTGCAGGAGGCACGAAGGCTTTCCATCCTCGTGCAAGGTGCCCCAGCCGGATGCTATCGCCTTCGTCCCGACGTACTGGTTATCTGAATCATTAACGTGGCCCGTATGCAACCCAGAGAATACTCGAGAAACAGACAAAAGGAATACAAAAGAGCGGAATATCGCGTTGGAACGCGAACGAGCATCGCGAGCCGATAAAGCCCGAGCAACGCTTCGCGTCTGATCCACTTACGGTTTTCATAGAGAAGATATCGGTAACAGGTGACACGGATTATGCAATTTGATAACAATTGCTGGTGCAGTCGTCGTGTGCACGTGGAAGTCCTCGATTTTGCGAAAAAAATCTGTCATTATCGCGCGGTTGCAGTCGAGAAAGGTACCCGTATGTTGACTAATTTATGCAAGCGCGCGGTCGTGCAATCAATCGGGCAATGAATAATGCGACGATCGACTGAGTTGTGCAATGATGCATGATGAATCGCTGCAGCAATTGTTGATACGATCGCTCCATTGGGTATTGTTATTACGAACAATTCTTGCTTCGAATCAGAATAGCCGCGATATCGCCTGGATGTCGGAGCATCCAGTATGCAAATACGTATAGTTTCGTGACATAGAAATTGTAATTGTTTAAACAAGTATCCAGAATTTGTAATGAAATTCTAAACGCTTGCAATTTATCATGACATCGGATAGGGGAATACAACGAGTTACGATTGGAGAACATTTTATCCGCGATCGTTCATTTTTTAAAGCCATAATTTCAAGGTCACGCGAGATCATAACTGCAAGACAATAAAAGGATTCGAGGAATATTAAAAACGGGATTCCAGTGGAATTTTAGCGCTTGGGTCACGATTCCACTTACAACACGTAAAACATTCTCGTTCTATTTTTCATTTCTGGATCGTAAAATAAATGTTTGATTGGTATACGAAATATACTGTTCAAGTAACTCTGTGCCTCCATTGTAAGTATCTGGCATAATGCAATGTAACGATGGTGGACGAACTGTGGTTCTTTTAGACTCTTACTGCAGTACAAATTTAGTAAAAAAATTAATTTACATTTCAACGTGTTAACTTTTACGCGTTTCATTAGAAATAGAACGATTTTTCTATATTTGGCAAGCTTTTAACATCGCGAATAGTACGTTACGAGGGGCTATCCTGCCCTTCCAATAAAGAACGAAGTTTACGAGTGTCTCTGATAAGCGATATATGGCCGCTATCAAAGTTTGGTCACCGCGGCGATATAATATTCGTAAAAAGGATGAATATTTCTTCACGACGTTACGCAGTATTATTGTTCGCATGAGTTATTTATTGCTGAAGGGAGAAAAAGATATTTCACCTCGTACGGACGGCAGGCATATGGGTCTAATCGTGTCGCTTAGGGGCACCCTTTCGTTGAGTCGCAGCAGGGCAATGTCGTTGTCGAAATTGAGGAAGCTGAAGTCGCCCATCAGTACTCTGACCACGTATCTAGTTTCAAATCCCCTTTCGAGGCACCTGTCATGTTCGCCGAAGGTGACCTTGATCATGAACCACATGAACCTGAAAACGGGACTAGAAAAGCTGACCATGCTCGCCTCGAGAACAGGATCATGATTAGCAATTTAAATGGAGGTTTGGAAGGTGATGGTTTACTAGTTGTGTTGTTCTCTTTCGTGGCTTCTTTGTGGTGCATAACATTTCAGAATGTTTCTTATTGCAGTTGCAAAATCTATATACAGTGGGTGTAAAAAGTATTCGTACAGTGATTAATTACGACTAAAATGCTGAATAATAACTTTTATTAAATAATATTTTTTAAACAAACATGTTACATGTATTCTTCAAAGTCTGTAGAATAACAATATCAAATAAACAAAAGAAATATTTATATTGTTTATATAAATATCAAGAAAAATGAACAAATTGACAGAAATGAACGCGTAATAAGTATTCGTACAGTTCTGTTGCCATTATCAAGTGTACAAGTGATTTAAACATTTGTAATAAAAACAACAAATAATTGAAAAATTAATATTTATAATATTTAGTAGGGTTTCCCTTTGATTTTATTATTACGACTAGCCTTCTAGGTATTGAATTAACTAAATTAGATGTAATTTTATTAGTAGTAGTAGTAGTAGTATGTATTTAATGTTCCCCTCAGGTGTAATTTTATTAGTAATATTATTCCATACGTTGATTAAACCATTTTTTAAGTCTGTTTTAAATGAAATTGTATGTTTTCGAATTGCTCGTTCCAGATAATACCACAAATGCTCAATTGGATTAATATCTGGTGATTGTGGGAGTTTTTTAAATGTGCTGGCGTATTATATGCAATCTACATTCTTGTATTGTAAACAGTATACTTAGGATTATTATCTTGCACGAACACAAAATTATTTTTTATACCCATTTTTCCAGTACTTGAATGAACATGATTTTTAAAAATATTAATATAGATTTTGTGATCCATTATTCAGTCAATAAAATGCAATTCACCTACACCTGCGGCACTCATGCAGCCCCAAACACATATGGAACCACCACCATGTTTTATTGTCGACTTTAAATTCTGGGGTTTATACTCTTCATTTTTTTTCCACAAAAATGAAAAATATTAAATTTACTCTCATCTATGAACATGACCCTCTTCTAAAAGTTATCAGTGTTTTTACATAACTTTATGCTGACTGCAATCTCTACTTCCTATTCCTTTCATTCACTCTTCTTCTTCACTTTTCTTTCACTTCTTCTTCATTTCTTCAAGCTGTTCTTGACTTTGCAAGAAATGGCATACAGTACTGTTTAAAGAAGATACAGTGATTGTGATTTATGATTTGCTGCATTCATTTTCGAATTGTTTTTAATGAATCGAATAATACTACGACCACTATGTTCAATAATTTTTCGCGACCGTCCACTTCTCACACGATTTTGCAATGTTTTTCGTAATCTGTATCTGTCAATTCCTTCTATGGTAGATCTTGGCCTTTTTACAATACGCGATATTTCGGATAAATTTTTGCTTTAGTTATGCAAATTAATAATTATCTTTCGTTCTTCTACGGTAGTTTCCTTACTTTTTCGACCCATGTTACTACAGTAATGTTAATACTGTTCTGTATGTCTGTGCTACAATTACAGATAGCGTTTCTAAATCGACTAGCATAATTAAGCGATATTTGAAACTAGTTACCTTGTGTTTACACAACAAATTTGAATCATATTTATATAAATAATATAAATATTTCTTTTGTTTATTTAATATTCTTGTTCTATAGATTTGGAAATATACATATAACATGTTTGTTTAAAAAATATTGTTTATTAAACATTATTATTCAGCATTTTAGTCGTAATTAGTCACTGTACGAATACTTTTTACACCTACTGTAAATAAAATTGTAACTTAATTGTGTCCCATTTAAGTTGAGATTAAAAAAAATCTTGAAGACATGTGATTTAAAAAAAACAAACTTATACATATCCTTTAGTGTTTCGAGTGAGGAATCAAATGGCACTTTTATTTTATTAATGCGTGGACGTTTTAAAGGTTATTTCAAGATCATTTTGTCTTTTTTTTCATTTTGGAATCACATTATACGTAAAAAAATGCACAATTTTTTGTTGGTTCAATATTTTCTAAGATACGTAGTAAAACATTTTTTTAAATTTATTCTGATACCATATTTGGTACGCTTACATCTTCAAGTATTAAGATTCAAAGTGTTTTGATATTTCTTTCTGTCATGTGTAATAGAGATAAATATAGCTAATATGATTGTGTTTACAAACGTATCTGACAATGTGCTATCAAAACAGGACAACTTTGTGACTGAATTTTTAGTCAAAGTCTAGAGATACTGTATCGTCAGTTCAGTTTACGTAGCGAGTGCAATGGAATATTTAACAATTGCAGAAAATATTGAAATGATTCTTCTTTATGGCGAATCAGGACAAAACATTGAAGAAGCTATTAATTCGTATCCTTCGCTGTACGAGAAGAACTTTATTATCTGTTCATGAGACTTTTATTAAACGAATTAATAAGTGTCTAGAAGTTGAGGATAAAAATTTCGAGCTTTTATTATGGTGTTTTTCAATGAAATACAAAACCTTCCAGAAGAAAGTAACGTTGTCATTTTAATAGAAAAACCAAATGATCCTTAACATGGACATTAAAAATCAGCTAAATATCTTAAGAAATATTGAACTTACAAAAAAGTATTTCAAACAATAATTGTGCATTTTTTTACATAGAATATGGAAAAATATGGATTTATGATAAAAAAAGACAAGATCACTAGAAATACTAAAGGACATGTGTCTGTTTTTTTGAAATCACATGTCTTCCAGTCTTTTTACAATCTCAACTTAAATGGGACACCCTGTATAATTTCGTTCTTTCTGGACTAATCTACTGCACTGATTCTAATTAAACTATTTGTTTCGAATATATCTGGGAACAGAATAGGCTATTTATCTTTGTACGTTCATTCGCAATGAAATTTAGAACTTCAGCGAAGGGGAGAAAGGGTTGTCAAAATATTCTAAAAATGAATAGTTAGGTTTTGCGAGATGATGCTTACCCTTTGACGCAATGAGCCGCGGTGAGGACATATCGATCGTTTATCAAGGTACCACCGCAGTAAAATTTATTCAGGTACGAAAGCCTCGCCATCCATGGGAACTCGTTTACGTAAGTCGTTTGGCCGCCAACTATCCGACTCTCCTCGTTTCGCAGACCGCAGCCTAATTATTTGAACGACCGATTGTATTAACAGCTAAGCTTTTCTGATGGGAATACTATTAAGTACTATTAACAATCGTTAAATAAAATTATTTCATTGAGAAGCTAGTGATTCTGATATTGTTAAAGTAGGCGTGTTGAATATTTTAAAAGCATTTTTTAATTATTTCTCAGCCATATCAACACTAGTTTTACCGAAGAAAATATGTGTAAAATTGAAAACACAATAGTAATTTCCATAAAAATAAGCAAAAGGCCAATGGCATTGCCCTGATTGAAGACCTCTAATAGTACGTTACTTTGAAACTGTTGTTGACAAAACTATAATTGTACTTACTGCAATAACATGGTCCAGGCGCTTCTACAGTGGACGGTGGTTTGTTACCAAAGATCCCAAAAAAGTTTTTCACCTTTTCACCGAACTTTCCTGCCTGGGAGTTTGCAATATGATAACTCAAGTTCAAACATTTCGCGTAATACACAGTTCATTCCGTTTAAACTAATTTAAATAGCGTTTCACTGTGCTTGTTTAAAATCACCTCAATCTAATTTATTATTTATATTATTTTCTACTACAAATCATTAAAAAAAAATTCACATCGATCAACAGATGATATCCATTTTTACTTTGGGCTTGCACACCGTACAAAACAATTGCTGCGCACACTATGCACCGAAACTATCATTTTCAAAGATAACAAAAATCCAAATTGCAGTAAATTATTGTGTATAGGTAAATTACAAACTATAAGTATGTACAGACCATATCGGTAGTTAGATGATTAAGAAAAGAAGACAACGGTGAATTCTATTCTATCGATTAATTAGCGACCTACGGTGTGTATCGTTATTAGAATAATCTATAATCTTACTTGACAAGGGTCTGATGCCAGCAATATAGCAACTGATAATCCAAGGCACCACGAGAACCTCATTTTCCGCAATTGAACTAGATTCCCGCTTAATCGGTGTGAAGTTTGGCGCGTCGCGTCCCAAAGGAAGGATTATATCGATGAAGGATTTGCCGCGCGGGCACTGTCAGGAACGAGTTACAGACATGTCCCTGGCCGGGACTTACTATCGCCAGTGTCCCACGGCGACTGAGGGCGACTCAGGTCGAAGAGGTAATTGCTATTCCAGAAGAGAAAGACGGCAGAGCCGACTGGTCGGCGACTGGACAGTACCTGACCAGTTCACGTTCACGTTCAGGGTCGAATTACGGGTGACTGTTATTGACCGTCATCAGGGTCATGGTAGCGGTTGTACGATTTGCATCCATCGCGGCGGTTTCGTTTTTATTGCTCCTTGGTAGGGGTTTAAGTGTTTTTGTATGGATAAACGGTCCCAATAAATAAGTGGCCAAGTCACTATCTTACATTGGAGAGACGAGGAGGAACAGCATTTTCAAATGTTCGTTACACTCACGTTCAGAATTACGTTTTCGTTCTCTTTTAAGTTTGATAATCACGCGCAAAATGGTGTTAAAATTTAATATCGAACCAGTTTTGTTCTATCAGCGACCCATATTACTTATCAGTTTTTATATTAGATTTTCAAATGGTTTATGCTTTAGTTTGTCGGAAAATGGGGCAAAGAATGACGTGGTTATTTGGAGATAATTATATTTCGGATTTCAGTCAGTAATTTATTTAAAAGTATTCGAGAAGTTAAATATTTTGGATGCATTCGTGTCGGCCAACCTACTTCGACGCGCCCAAAAATCAGTCTTCGGTATGCATTATGCAGATTTCATGGGAGAGGACGTTTATGGCCACCCATCTGTATCTTGTTATGTACAAGACTGGTGCGTCATCAGGTACCGTTGAACCGCGAGCGTTTCACGCTAATGATCCTCCATCAGTGTGAGGTAGAAAGAGACGATTCGACCGATATACCCATTAAAGTCTGGTTTTTCCACTTTCGGCTAAATTACAAAGTATTTACGATAGCTGGAAAAAAGCTGACATTTTGTCTTAATTCTGCGATACAGGAAAATTCCTCGTCGAACAAGACGTATTAATATTGGATGGTGTTACGAAAATATTTTGTTAATAATTTTGCGCGCATATTACGTTTATTAGCGAGTATGTTAAACTCTGTAGTGTTTTATAGATATATCTTTGAAAAATAATCTGTTTCCAGTTCACTGAAAGGTGATTTCAACGCGTGGCGAACACGAGACTGTAAAGTGAGCATTTTATTAAGCGTTTTGAATATTTTTACAGGGACTATGTGTATTTAAAACCAATACGATTGATGTTATAAGTAGTATTTACCAACGAAGTTTGTAAATAATTTTAGCATTAACTTTATATAGTCAGTGAAATGTATTTCGTGGAACAGACAGTCATTATTGAGCATTAATTTCAAACGTACGCGATGCATCGATGCGTATTCTATCGTCCCGCTTTCAGCAGAATATTCGCTTCATTAACTTAATCTCGGTTTGACAGGAAACCGTTACCGCTAATTATTCCGGTAACGTTTGGCCGCCATTCACGCAACAAAGGCGTGTCGCGTGTACGCGGAACTGTACAATGTGTTCTATATATTCTAATTTTTTTTTTACGAAACATATAAAACAAAAAGTTCTTAGTAATTTGCGTTCGTCGAAGAATCAGAACGCGAAAAAATTCACGTTTACGCGAACTTTTTGATTTATTTATATGTATGCAGTGGCTTTGTAAGAGCATCAATGACTTTTCTACTACAAGGAACTTAAGTTCTTAATAGTTCTTATAAGCTAACAGACTATAAAACTATATACAGTATGTATAATCCTATAAAATTAATCACTTGGCAAAATGTACAACAATCTATTAATTATAGTAATATAATAAACAATTACAAATAAGTTTTAATGAATTTTGTGATTCATTAGCTCTATCAGTTCTGGTTAATTTACAGACTTTTTACACGGTCGTATTTAAGCAATATTAAATTATTTAACGCTTCTAGTTACTTAGGCTTCTTAAGTACCTATTTCTTGTTTATCTCTATATACAAATATAAAAACAAGTAAATCTTCCGACTCTGGATTATTAATTAATTTTTAGTTTCCACATAAGCATCCATCCTTCATATTTGTATTGATCCATTTCAGATACTTCGTTACCCTGGTATACACTCCAGGATATCCTGGTCTCCCGCATCCAACGCCCCAGGAAACAATTCCTGCATCGAAGGAACGAATAAAAATTAGAAGAAAGTCATTATAGGTCATGTTGTATCATGAAAGTACTGTAAAAATTAATGAAATTACTGATAAATAATTACCAACGATTTCTAGTCTGTCGCCTTCGTGTACGAGCAACGGACCACCGCTGTCGCCTTGACAAGAATCTTCGTTACCGCGACCAGCGCAAAGCATGTTATCCGTAATTCGATTGGCCCGATATTTCATCTTACGACATTGCATTAAACTTAATATCGGTACTTGTACTTCATGAACTATCCCCGCTAGCATTCCTCCCTCTGTCGTCCGACCCCAACCTACCACGGTTCCTTCTTTCCCAGCTGGATCCGTGCCTGTAAATATTATTGCAAATCTGTTAAGGAATTTGGTGAGTGCTTACTAGAAACGAAAAACTATTTCTTGCGATTCTTCCTATTTGTTGGCATATTCCATTGGCACTTCAATATTTTAAGAAGAGAAATAAATGAGATCTATTCTAACCGACTACAATCTTCTCCACAGAGTCCTGGTATGTATGTACATTAGGGTGGACCTTATTTTTCGACCATCGAATGTTTTTTAGGACGTCCCCTAGAATTGTGCCACTGTATGAATAAATGGTGTGTGCAAAATTTGGTACAAATTGAACAACGGAAAGTGGTACCACATCGAATTTTAAAATTTGTTATCCTTCTAATTTGTTTTTTTCCTTTACAATTCACAGTCTCTATACTGTTTTATATATCGTTGGATTCGTCTTTTTACGTTCTATTAAAATATCGAAAAAACATCATTGCATTAAAAAAAAAATGATGACTTTGAAATTTCAAAAATTGATCTTGAAAAAGAAATTTTATCTTCGAGATTACATTTGTTTCATCAAATAGTACAACTTCTGTTCGAAGAATTTTGTTATATATTCACAAATAGGGGTGATATATATAGAATTTAGATATTTGTATTTAAACTGTTTATATACAGGGTGTTTGGCTATCTCTGAGAAAAATTTTAGTGGGAGATTCTTGGGGCCAAAATAACATGAAATTTAAGGTAATTTGTTGATTGAGGCTTCGTTAAAAAGTTATAGAAACAGTTCCGGCCACACAGTATATTTTCGGTAAAGAATTTTTTCCTCGAAAGTGGATAGGATTTCGGGGGTATGCCCATTCACCAAAAATGATTATTATTGACACCTGCAACTAAAAATAATTTTTTTAGAACGATTTGAAATTTTTTACTTTAATTTTTTAATAATTTTTTAACAAAGTCTCAATCAATAAATTGATATTCTTGATTTTCGTCTTATTTTAGCTTCTAGAATGTCCCATTAAAATTTTTCCCAATGGTGGCCGAACACCCTCTATAGTAGAATGTATAATATAAAAAAGCAATTCTAAAGCAATAAAGCAATATCTAGGTGAGTTAAAAATGATATTATTCTTATTGTGTTAAAATATCTTTTTAATAAATTCTACTGAGTATGAGTTACATATCTTTCATTAAAGTATGTTTTGTCACATTAGGAAATTGTTTTCTGTGTTCTGAAATTATTTGTAATATATATTGTTTTTCTTTCTTATTGTTTTATAATAATTGATGGTATTCTTCCATAAGTTTAATTTCACGTTCAGCACATTGACAACTTTTAGTTGCCGAACTATGTTTGAATCATATTCACAGGATCTTTTCTTAAAAAAAGTTTTTACAGGGTCATTTTTTGAAATTTCAAAGTCATAATTTTTTTTCGATATTTTAATAGAACGTAAAAAGACGAATTCAACGATATGCAAAATAGTATAGAGACTGTAAATTGAAAAAGAAAAAACAAATTAGAAGACTTACAAATTTTAAAATTTCATGAGGTACCACTTCCCGTTGTTCATTTTGCACCAAATTTTGTACACACCATTTGTTCATACAGTGACACAATTCTAGAGGGCGTCAGAAAAAAATAATTGCGTAAAAAATTTTTACCAAGTATAACTAAGGTGCACCCTAATGAGCATGCGAGGAAAAGGGTGAGGAGACAGGGAAAAGCAGATGACATATAAAGCAGAATGAAAGCGTCACATTGTGTGAGGCTGAGATTTGGGGATGGAAGTGGAGATAAAGGCGTAGGGGAATTACAAGACATTTGAAAGCAAAGCTGTAGCAGAAGAATAGAAATAATATGGAGAGATATAGTCTGAAGTGTTCAGGTTGGGTAATGAGATTAGATGGGAGGGGTAGAAGAGGACAAAATTAAGTACAGAATATATGGAAGGTACGTGAGGAATGAAAGGTGTAAAAGAAAGATAGGGGTTAGGGTAGATGAAGGAGCCTGAGGTGTTGACTGGAGTGGCAGAGAGTGATTGGAGAGACGAGAAAGAAGGAGATGATAGAAAAAGTGGGAAGAACGAATGGGCAGATTAGGGCCATTGAGGGATAAACCTCTGTTTCTGCTTTTGTTTTTAGTCATCTATGGGCTTTTTGAGTTGTTGTATGGTCTTATTTGTTGCTTTAAAGAGCGAGGTTCCAAATTCTTCAACAAAGATAGAGGATATGAGACAGAGTAACAGAGACTGAACTTTGGTTTACCTGCTTTTAGTAGCCGGCAGTAAAAGCGTACACCCGAGAAGACGAATTCCCAAATGGGGAAGTGTATAAAGGGGACTTTTTCTTAGTGTTGCCTGCAGGCTGCGACCCTCGAGCGTTCGAACAGGGGTGCAGTGAAAGTACAATAGAACTCCATTTGTCGGAACTAATGTCGTCACGATACCTGATTTACCGATCACGTGCCTGGGCTCCTATTTGGTATAGGAATCAATAAACAATAGCAGAAGGAATAATCCTGTAGATCTGTTCAAACAAATGGAATTCTACGGTATCTGGCACCGGGGGAGGTTAAGCTGCTAAGCCAATTAGGGTATCAACACGTTGATTGCCACGTCAGTCGTATACATAGGTCAGTGGACTTTTCGTTAAGAAGGTAAACAAATTAATTCCCAATTTGTGATGGTAAAGGAGAACAAAATGCTCGGTCACGACATTCCTTCTATCCGAAGATTGACAATAAATACATAGTAATATATCTATAAAGAGTGAAGAGAGCAAAACTGTTTAAAAATTTTGTGTATTTATATATAACTAGCCTAGCATTTCAGGAATCATTAGAAGACCCCAATTCAAGTTTTATGTTCCAAATATAGTCTCTTGGTGCTAGAGGGTCGAGGATAGTGAGTGGGTTTATGTGGTAAATAAGATTAGATAAAGTGTGCTAACCCGAACATAGACACATAAATATTTAATAACTATTTCTTACCTGTTCGTGGCAAACACACAGGTCTAACATTTTTAGAAAATTTCACCGACTTCCGGAGCTTCAGCAGAGCGACGTCGTGATTGTAGGAGTTCATGTCGAAGTTCCTGTGACGAATTATTGCACTAACTGCTCTCATTATTGCTTGTCCGTCGGTAGTTACTTGCTGATCGTAGTCTCCGAGTACTACGCGGATCTTCGAACGTTTCAATCTGCAAAATGACGTTTAACTTCACCACCAGTCATTTTTCAAAAGTACTTTGTCTTAAAGAAAGTTTACCGTTTCATAAATGTAATTGGACAAAAAAAATTATGTCACGAGAGATTCAACTGTTTTCTCTATGAATTTGTTGTACCTTCGCTTAGAAAAGAGCTACGCGGCTCGAGGTCGTCTCAGTTTCTAGAATCGCTTCGTGTAATGGAAATTGTTATAACGAAAAGGGTCATTGTCAACGAAGAGCAACGACGCGAGACGTTTCCGGAGTCCCAACAGCGACGTCTTCGTGCACGTGAATGTAGAAAATCAGAAACTTACCTACGTACACAGTGAGCCGCAGTAAGAACGTAATCATTGTTAACAAGACTGGCTCCGCAATGAAAGCGGCCATCGTACACGAGTCGCGCTACCCAGGGATATTTGTAGGGGGTTGTGGGTCTTCCACCGACGATTCGATCCTCTTGATTGGACACGCCGCACTCTGGAAGGCAATTCCTCACTCGTTACTGCCTATTACAGTCTCATTATTGGTCGCTAGATGAGTCATAAGCATTCAGAAGCGCTTTCTACGAGGGACTGCTACATCCGCAGCTATGTAGCACGTAATCACACGCGTGGACTGGTGTTATTACACTGTCAAATGCGAATTGTATTGCGTGATGTAACAAGTTAGCTAAGTTACACGGAAGAAAGTTATTTTTCAATTACACTTTCGCTCCATTGTGAGTCGAACGCACTGGCAACCTGTATCAACAATCTTTTTAAACGAAACCCTCGAGGGAATTTCTTTAGACGATATTCTTGTTCTTCAGGCGTTTAAATGAAATTTGTTACGAAGATCGAAAGAAAAGTACTGTGATTTGCATACCCTGCGTGTCATAATTATAAAACCACCCTAAAAATTAGTTTCCACGATTTTTCAGCCCCTTTCGATGGTTTGATAAAAATATGTTTCCTATAAGAAATTGCAGTTGCTTAAATTTAAAAATAAATCGATTTTTGATACAAAATTAAGTTCACTGTTATATTTTTAAATGGAATTAGGTACTTGTAACTTCATAGTATTGTAGGTGATGTCGAGACGAATTTAACAACCTGCTATACTATGACCTTCAAATAACATTGAAAGAAAAATTGTCATGAATCGATTGCTACAATATTTGAAATTATTCTGCGATACATAACACCAGGGGTTCGTATTTAGACGTAAACAAATGAACGTAAACATTACGAATGCTCATTTATTCAACTTCAGAACTTAACACACAAAATAAAAGGAAAATTTATAAAAAAAAGTATAGAAATGTACAAAGAAAGTCTCTAATTGAAGCTACACGTAAGATTTGATTACAAAGAGTAGAACTTTGCGTTGCAGAAGGTGGAATGCAGTTCGAATATTTAATTTAATTACTAATTACATGCACCTCTTTAACATGCATGTTTTCAGTTTGGTTATGTATAAATTTTTATTTTATTTTTCATTATATTTTAATTCCATTTAAAAATATAACAATGACCTTAATTTTTTATCGAAAACATGACAAAATCTAATAAGTATGAAGAATTGACTAATTGAAATTTTTGAAAATAAAGGAGGTCCTACGCGTTACTAAATTATTGTTATAACTTAATTCAATTGTATTCTCAACGCAATATTTCTATAATTTGTTTAATAGGAATACACCGTTATTCCGGTTTTATAGGTATAAAATAAGAATAAACCAGCTTTCTGTAATTCTTCCTTTTTCTAGTGGATACAATTTATCCTTCTTTGACAGAATATCGTTTTTTAACACAATTTCAAATATGGTACACTTTGATTTTTATTATATTAATAGCAACATATATAAATACGAGTGATTTTATAGTTATGACGCGTATTCACGCGATCCATGTAGGGGAGACCGGGGCTAGAAGTTCCGGGGGTAAGTTTTTCCGACGGTTATATTTTTAAGATGAAAAAGATAGTGTTGTGTTTTCAATTATTTTGAAAACATAAGCTGATCCCGCCACGCCGTCAAACATTTTACAAGTGTCAGTGACAGCGAATTGTGTTATTTTAAACAAGAGGCAGTCACGTATTAAGTAAGTAAATATTTCGTAGTCATTATTTTTTTGTCGCATTCAATTATTTAATGGCAATATCGTTTATTGTTTAGTCGTTATAAATCAAATAACATTTAAAAACATGTTGTAATAACATTTAGTAGAATACATATATCTCCATCGAAATCATGTGTAAGGCAGCTAAATCCGTGCTGCAGGAAGGACAAAATGTAAAACCATCGTTAGAGATTTTAGCATTTATCATATGACTCTCTCCGGATTTATTAAAAAGTTACAAGTCAAAGAAGAAGCCATAGTAGGTTATAAGAAATAGGTTTGTTTAACAAGTTATGTTTTAGATAATAATTTTAGAAAATTGTTTTTATTTTATTACATTAATGGTTATATCAAAGATAACATATGTTTTTCTTTAAAAAATATATGTCGTAAACCACTAGAAAATTTAATTCATGTCACTTCATGCTATATAAATAAATAAAATTATGATGAAGAATGTCATCGAAAACTCAAACGTGCGACTGATTGGCGTTGACGTTTGGATGTGGCCTTTGAAAGTAATCGAGTTGGTTGTCTGAATATCAGAACGTTTGAAAAAAGAAATATACGAAAAGAAAAGAACAGAATAAAAAGGGTTTCCGGGTGATAAAGACGTGTGGTATAAAAGTGAAATAATTCCTACAAAGGACTCATTAGTTTTCGTTGACTATTCTTTCTTTTTAATAAAGTTTCTTTGAGTTAATAGTTAATCGTGAATTAGTTGAAAATTTTAAATAATATGAAACGAATTACGAGACAAGGGATTGGTGGCCCGAGAGGACCCGAAAGAAATAGCATACAAATAATTTCCAATGATGATGTTTCTCCGACATATATATTTGTGTTAACCCGCAGTTAATAAACAAACCTTACTAATAAAATTGTGTTTTACTTCATCAGAGAATGAAATGTTTCATTAGAAAGTAACACTTACTTCTTAGTAACAACTTACCCCAGAGCGATAACAACTTGCTCCACGATGGGGTAAGAAGTTCCGCTTCGACTAATCACGAAACAACGAATTTCTATGAAAAACTTATTGGAATATATTAAATTTGAGCTGAAAATCTTAAAATAAATTAGTCAGGAGTGAAAAAAGTAATTGCATTATTTCCTAGTCATTTTTTAAATTTTTTCAAAATCGGAACTTCTAGCTTCGGTCTCCCCTACTTTGAAAATGTCACAAATCCTATTTGAAATAATGAAAAGCCATTTGTTTTAGCCTTACCGCACGTGCAATTCCGCAACGCTTCATCGTCGTCTCCGCTGACAGTTATGTCAAGACCGAACAATTCGTCGAATAAAAACTTCCCTCTTCGATTCTGTGTCGAATTCGTTCTCTGGAAGAAACACATCGCAGCATGTCACACTTATACGGTACGTTCACTTTCCATTCCAAATAAGCCAGCAGAACGTCCGGAGACAGTTACCACGATCCGAATTATAGGTCAAGGCCTTGCTCGTTAAATTCGCATTTGCATCGACGAACTAGGAATCTTGTGTATTACGCGTATAAAATTGATTCGCTGAACTACACTTCCTAACGCTGTAAACAGTGGCGTAATAAAGAAAACGCAATGGAAAGCACTTCTAATTTCATTTACGTTTCGCGCGACCGATCTCTTCGTTGTTTCGTTAAATGGTTCAAAACGTTACTAGTATTTATCTTTTTATTACTTTCGATTGACTGATATTGATATTGCGATTCACCGTCGCTCTAAATTTTGAAAGTAAGATTACCAAGTTGCGTCAGTAAGTAATATAGAAAGCTTCCGATCTGCTTCCACGGTACACAGGGAAAGTTATGCTACTGGTAACGAAAGTGATCTAAGTCGATACCTTTAAATATTTTTTTGCAATGTCATTATGATAAATTAAATTTTTTAGAATTCTTTCTTAGATCACTCAATCCCTACCATATTTAAAGCTTCACTATTTGTGATTGCAATCAAATCATTCTGAAAATTTTTCAGCAAGATTTTGCAGTTAGTCAGCAGGAAATATAGAAAGCTTCCGATCTACTTCGAAAATACACAGAGAAAGTATATCAGTGATAATGAAAGTGGTTTAAGTGGATGCTTTCATATATTATTTAGACCACTGTTCTAAGTACGAATAAAAGCAATCGAAATGTAGAAATCACTACTCACGGTGTAATTCGTCGATCCCACCGAATCGTCCCTGAGGAATCTGATATCCAAACTGTTAACGTCGGTGAAGAGTAACAGGATCGTGGTCGAGATCCAAATTTTTCGAAGTATCCTTCGCGCTGTCATGTTCTGGTCGGTCGTTGACGTTCACGACGAAGTTTCCCGTCTTTCATCGATAAAACTTCCTAAGCACTCGATGGTTTCGCGCGGTTCTTCATGATCGCGCATTCTATCGCGTGTTCGCGCACCGTTCCACCGTTCCTCGTGGATCTTCTTCACTTTTCTGCTCCTGTACTTCGCGTCCAGAAGCTGCAGGAGATCGGCCAGGTGATGCAGACGCTTTCACCGTGCTTCTACGAAGACTCAGGACTGACCGACCAAGACCGAGCAAGGCGTTCTACGCTCGCGAAGAAAGTTCTTTCTCTATGTCCTGTTGCTCTTCCCATTCAGTACGCGCCTCTGATCGCACGTGATCCTCTCGATTCGAAATTGGCAAGATGGACGTGGTGGTGGATTCGTGCCACACCGCTATCACTGGTCATCTCGGGAATATCTTTTTTGGAATCGATCAGCCGTATCATCGTGCCCCTATAATCGTCGATCACAATTGAACAAAATTATAAAAACTTCGAGTCGTATCTTTGAAATAAACACTTTTACAGGACCCTTTCGAAGCGTCCAAGAGCCAACTAGTCCTCCCACGACGAGGTATCTCGTATCTTTTCGACTTTATTTGCCACAGTTTGTGAAATAAAAAAGTTTCCGGGCCGTTTCGAAAAATTTCTCTTTTACTGGCTGGCCAGATGGACGACAATCTGGACGTATTCGTCTTGAACGAATGAAATTGCGCGGTTCACGGAGCGGCAAGCAGCAAAAATATGTTCCATCGTGAAAAAATGTTATTAAAAAAGTTCTTCGTCGTACGAAACAGCGTCAGAGTTACGCGGTTATTTCGTGCGTGGCCTGACCGTCATGTGTTCTCCATGACACGCGACAGGAGGTCTTCTCACAAATTATTATTAGCTTTTCTTTTGCCTGACAGTTTGTGAGAATTTCGTCAGGATCGATTGTTCGTAACTTCTTAAAGTTTGCGTTCTAAACAATATCGACTACAATTGGTAATTAAAATATATTCCTGTAGAATCGACAAAAAAATTAATTTATAACGATAGAACTACAAATGAAATCTAGGCGAATCGGTAAACAAAAATTTGTTCGTCAGTGTTTCGTGACATAATGGAACGTTTAACGAAAGAAATAGAATCATAAAAGACATAACGTAACGTCTCCACTGTAAACTTCTCGGCTCTGAGCCCAATTCCATTGCTCCTACTCATTGATCGAAGAAACGGGTCAAAGAAATCGAAAAGCCGCTTTAACTTTCACGCGTAAGAAAGATCTTTCTCTGACAAATTACTATTACGATATTCTTAGGCTGGATAATTATTATGTTATGACATCTATGTTTAACGTTTCAACTCGCGTTTTGTAAATTTAATTTCCTTCGGCGTTGCACGAAGCAGAACCGTCGACGTGTTTTCCATGAAGAACGATAAGAATATACTTGTGATAAACTATTGTTAAGATCACGATTAATCGATGAGATTAATTTTTACGAAATTTAACGACAGTAATTAGTTTTAGACAGTTTTCCAAGCAGTATTTCCTTTTTGTTGGAGTAGTCATTAATATTTTACAGAGAATACGCTATAACAGTTCTGTTTATTTGATACAAATTATAAGTACTGCTATCGCTACTTTAATTCGGGAAGAATTAGGAGTCGTTGGTAACAGTCCAGAGGTTTCACTAACCCACATTCACCATTGAAAGCAAAACGTTTCTGACTACTGACCCGGTTTCCGTTATTGCCCGTTCATCTCGATCGAGGACTGTCGTTTATCTAGCATCTTTTCGTGATGTCCACTTTTTGTCCAACTCGTCTTTTCAGTGACCGTTACTTTTTATCGGCTTACTGGCGACCGGCTTTTTTTCGAAATTTTCCGAGCAAAAATAAGGTCGACGTGCCTTAAAGTGCTTGATCTTATTCTATGTCTGGGTTCTAAGATTAATTTTGGAGCAAACTCAACTGTTTCAACCTCTTTGATCGAGTTTTTACCAAGGTGTAAAAAATATATTTGCCAAAAATATAGCACATCACTTTCACCGTTAAATAATTCTTCAAACTTATTCTGTTTAGATAGAAATTTTCATCTTTGGTAACACCCAAGTACTACAGTTATGTATATTTCGGACGCCCTCGATTGTTCTTCTACTTTCTGAATTGTTGCGTTAGCACATGGTTCTAATAAATTTCAGATCCCAGTATTATTTTTAACATAAGTAATACTTTATTAAATTCAATAAACGTGGTTAACAAATGAACAATTTCAAGTAATATTCTCCTTGGTTGGGTCCTTTTAATACTCTTTTACCACTTTCACTTCTACGTTACTTCTACGTTTTACGCCTCTTTCAGCTCCTCTACCACATCTACTCTTTTACCATACGTGCCTCCATACATACATACACATCGTTGCCAACTTATAGGAAGATTATTCCCTATCATGAATAATAAAAATAATAATATAAATTCCATTAAAAATGCTAGAATACAATATTATTGGTAAACGTATTCTTTATTCAACAATTGCTTTATACAAGAAGTGCGGTCTCGGAGGAAATTGGAATTCTCCGTGTGTACACAAGACTAGATTACCTTAACTATGTGCAATGAATTAATAATTAAAATAAATTAATGATTCGTAACGATAACTCAACAATAAACGACCTGTAGTTATTTACAAGTATAATATATCCTTAATGCTATTATCGATTAACGAACGTGAAAATGTTGGTGAACTTGCGATGGAGGAAACTGTCGCGTGTACTTTATCTTTAATACTGATCGTACTGGTTCGTAAAAATATCTTATACGATTAAAGGTACTTGATTCGGTGTTCGAGAGGTGCGTGGTAATTTTCATAAACGACGAATTTGTGTCAGGCTGACCGAAGCATTTAGTTTCTAACAAGTAGAGATCAGTGTTTGGGCGTCGGACACACGCATTCGTCATCGAGATGATCTTTTAGCCATCCTAGATAATTAGTCAGTTTTGTATAAATTCCTGGATAGTTGGGTTCAGCGCAACCACGTCCCCACGAAATGATCCCTGCACGAATAAATAAGGTATGTACTCGTTTTTATAAATTGTTTCATTCTCAATAATAAATGTTTGTTTCAGCTTTACCTACTACCTCGAGGTGGCCAAACGTTCCTTTCACATGAAGAGGCCCGCCGCTGTCTCCCTGAAGAAAAGAATAAAATAAATGTCCTGTTCAGGATGACGAAGGTTTGATCCTGATATATTTTTCGTGGCTCGACTAAAAATTTACTTTCCATATTTGTACACCTTTCACCTATGGCCCTTAGAGAATTCTTGTTTCATAGAATCAAGAAGTTCTATCGACTACTCACGAAACAAGCGTCGAGTTTGCCGTCCAGAAAACCAGCGCAGAACATGTTCTCTGTGATACGGTTCTTATGATATCCTGCTTCGTCACACTCCTCCTGGGACAAAATTGGAAGGTTGACTTTTCGTAATTCGTTGCTTACTGGCTCCGTCTCGCCAGTTTGACCCCAACCAACCACCGTGGCCGTAGCTCCCGTATAGTCGATAGCTTCTACAAACAATATATCTGTCAAGTAACCAATTTCCAGCTTCGAAAGATTTGGCAAAGAACAATAGTTCCACCTTTAAGCAATTTAATGTACAACGAATTTCGATCGATACGCTCGAGAAACAGTAAAACAGATAAAAATGTAAAAATTTTTACACTGTGAACTTGTTCACTTTTGGATATTATTTATCGTTTTATGACGGAAGTGTACTCGATGCAAACAAAGGGCCATCGGAAGTATTGATTTTCGAATTAAAATTACGAGAGCACTTCTGTCAATTTTTATTCTTCGAAATTGTGATCTATTGATTAGAATCGAGTGGACTGTTATTTAAATTGTTTTATCATTTATCGTTTGATAGATTCCATAATTTAGAACAGAGTGCTTACTGTCTTCTGGCAAACACGCGGTTCTCACGATACCGTTCACATCCACGGGTCGATCCATTTCGATGATAGCGATGTCATTGTTGTAGGTGTACGAGTGAAAGTTCTCGTGAATAATGACTGATTTAATACGACGAACTATAGCTTGCTTGCCCAGTTTCGGACGGTTGTTATCGGCCAAGACAAGCTTGATGTTTCTCTTGTCAAACCTGAAACACGTCAACCTTGCAGTATCGAACGTTTCTTAAACTCTGATTTTTGTCGACTTCCTGTATAAAGTTCATAAATTCGCTTTCGTTGGCTCGGAATATTTCTCGTGTGGGTGTTAATACTCACTTTTCCACGCAGTGAGCCGCCGTGAGTACGTGCCTCCGTGTGATTAAGCTTCCGGCACAATAAAATCTACCTTGTTTACTCATGCTAACCATCCAGGGGTATTCATAAACGCTGGTCACGTTCCCACCAACGATTCTTATTTTCCTGCCCACCCCGCAAACTGTAACAAACGCGAACAAATTGGACTCGTGTTTTTGTCAAATTTAATTACGCACCTTTCACGTTTCGCAGGAAATATATAATTTTACAGAACCTGGAGAAACAAACAATTTATGGTGGAAATGGAAGTGAAACTGTGGCGTTGAATGAAAGGAACGAGAAATATACGAGCGAGTTTGAAGTTGGTATAATTAAAACTGTTAGCTACGATAGAATTAGAGTACATCTGTTAGGCTACGTTCGCGCGGCTGATTGCTTTTATTACGGTCGTCTTACCACAGTCGTCGCAGACGTTCGGCCTCTTTGAGGGAATCGAAGTAGCTGAATTGAAATCAATATAAGACATTTCTTCTATCGGCCTCAGGTCGTCGGTCTCGCCATTTGTAATGTTGTAGTGCACCTGAGCGTTTGACGTAGGCAGATACTTTAGGTCGTTTCGTGTTATCTGAAAGAAGAATGAAAATACTTGTAATGTGGCAAAACTTTTCCAAATTAGATATACAGGGTATTCCGCATTTTTCCGTACACACTTCAGCAGTGTGTTCTACAAGCAAAAATAAGACTAAAATATTATATGACAAAAAATCCATAAATGCTTTGTTATAAAATTATAACAAAAATATGAACTGTGAAACTTAGTTGAGGTTCATGATATTAAAATAAGCATTCGATATCGTGAGTTTTTTTGCAACTTATTAAATATAAACTTAAACAATAGTTCAAAATTTTATGACAACAAAAAGTTATCATTGAAGAAAGAATACTTCAGCACCAACGATAAATGATAGAAACTAAACTCTGATAAAAAAATGTTTAAAAATGTTTATGATTCACATAATTCTACGTTAAAAATATTTTTTCGTGCCTCAACTAGCAGTTGCTCTCCTTAAACAAAATTTTAGTAAGTTTGTTTGTTTAGTAAATAAAAAAAACATTAAATTTCATATTTTTGTTATAACTTCTTAACAAAGCATTTATGAATTTTTTGTTATATAACACTTTAGTTTTATTTTTACTTGTAGAACACGGTACTGAAGTGTGTACGGAAAAATGCGGACACCCTGTATGATAGTAATAATAACTTTCAGAAAATAACTCTAATTTAAAGCTATATCAGTGGTACCTGATTATTTAAAATAATAAAAAAAATGAAGGAATTAACCCTCTTCTATGTTGAAAGTCTTACAGTACAGATCAACTATATTTATACTCATCGCTATAGCTATACAGGGTGTTCGGCCACCTCTAGCAAAAATTTTAATGAGCGATAGTAGAGGCCAAAATAAGACAAAAATCAAGAATACCAATTTGTTGATGGAAGCTTCGTTAAAAAGTTATTAACGTTTAAAGTGCCGCCCTTACTGAATTTTTTTCTCGAAAATGCGCAAGATTTCGGGGGTATGTCTATTCACCAAAAATGACTGTAATTGAACCCTACAACCGAAAATAATTTTTCCACAACGATTTGCAATTTTTTAATTTTCTCGAATAATTTCACACCTTCTCTATTTTTTTTCTCGAAAGTGGGCAGAATTTCGTGGGTATGTCTAATGACAAAAACTGATTGTAATTGACCCTCGCAACCGAAAATAATTTTTCCACAACGATTTGCAATTTTTTTTCTCCGTTGAAAAATTTAGGCACCTAATTGGATTTTCAGTAAGGAATTTTTTTCTCGAAAGTGCGTACGATTTTGGAGGTATGTGTAATGATAAAAAATGATTGTAATTGATCCCCGCAACCGAAAATAATTTTTTTAGAACGATTTGAAAAATTTTTTTTCGCCGAAAAATTTCAGCACCTACTCGATTTTTTTTCTCGAATGTAGATAGGATTTCGGAGGTATGTGTACTCACCAAAAATGATTGTAGTTGACCCCCGCAACCGAAAATAATTTTTCCAGAACGATTTGAAATTTTTGAATTTAATTGTTAATAACTTTTTAACGAAGCTTCCATCAACAAATTAGTATTCTTGATTTTCGTCTTATTTTGGCCTCTACTATCGCTCATTAAAATTTTTGCTAGAGGTGGCCGAACACCCTGTATACATAGTTACTTTGGTGTTCCTAGACTGATATCCAAAAAATCTAATATCGGATGAATTTGTCCCCCAATTAATTTGTATAAAAGACATTAACTCACCACTCTTGGTAACGCGTAGGCGCAGCAGCACGTCCACAGGAAGAGGGCGAGTATGCATTGCATTGTCGCTCAGTTGAACGTATCGGTCCGTGTTGCAGCGGTATCTTGGTTGGCTGATGGCCGACAGGCGAGCAGTCAGGATTTCGGTGCCAGTGCACGTGGCTGTGCCGGGCGTGAAAAGTCTAAAAGTATCGCGATCGTTTTGCCGTTTTATAGTAAATTATAACTATCGAGGGAGGCATGCCCGCTGACGGTGGGGAACGTCAACCTTGAGTGGTGCGTTTGCATTGGCAGATGCTGCATGTGACAGCCTTTAAATCAACCTGCGTGTCCGTGCACGAGGCATTGTCTCACCTGTACAGACGCCCGCCGCGGACACAATTGCAAAATGCCGATCGTAAACGTGTACGAACACCGGGACACGTTTGTGCGCGAGCATCAACCACCAAGAAACGTCCAATGTCAACCCAGGCCACCTCCATCTTCTCCCTTCCCCACGTCGAATCCTTCCGTTCGCGTCCTTCCTTCCTTTCAGAGATCCAGCAGATTGGATCAATGTCACTTTCGTCAGCCCAAACGCTTCTCGCGATCGTCTTCTGCCCATTGTCTACCGGGGGACGATAGAAATGTTCGCGGAGATAGCAAGCGCGCCTGAATCATGCTAGTTGGGGCTTTTGCTCGCTGACAGTCGACCACTCTTCTAGCTTCATCCGTCACGCAGAACGATGTTAGAAACAGGCGATTTTTTTGAAGTTATTGGGAGCCAGAGTTTCCACAAAATTCTATTCGAATAACTGTACTGCCAGATGATTAACATTAGAACTACCGACAATTATAGTGTATTTATTTGTACCAAAGAATTTATTCATTCTCTTATAGAAAATTGTTTTTCATGGATTCAGTCAGGTAAATCTTATTAGAAATTATGAATGGGTCGTTTTGACTGCTTTGGTAGTTGTCAATACGAAATATTTAGAAAATGATCTGCTTTTCAACGTCAAAAACTATAGCAGCCTGGTTGGAACGTTTTACCACAACCATTGTATTCATCAGACCTTATTTCTTCTGATTTTTACTCGTTCCAGTACATGCTGAAAGATATGACATTGAAGACAGATACGAGATTTCCTGTTCACGCTCCTTTAATTTTTATGCGCGACAAATTGTAAAACGCGGGGAAATGTACAGAAAAAGAACAGTGGCTTGCTTCCCCTTGAGAACCGAAGAATCTGTTAAATAAATTTTTTAACCGGTCGAATGTATATCAAAATTGATATAAATCGTCCTTTTACTTTTCACCAAATCGAGGTAAATCGAATTGCTTTAAATTTAATTTCAGAAACTCGAGGAACCCTTCGATTCTGAAATATTCCCTTCCTTTATTAAATGAATTATGCATGCTCGGGATCATTCGTTTGACGGAGTACTGTAAACTCCAACGAAGGTCCTCTTGGATCCATGAAACAGTTCAGTCAGTAGCTTAGGCAGTAAATGTTTTACTAGAGCCGATTCCGAGAAGTTCGTGGCACTATGACAATATTACGTGGATTACTATTGCGATTGGAATCGGGTCAATGTAATAATGGCGTGTCTTCGGATTCGTAAGTCTCGGGCAAACATTTGACGTGAAACGATCTTTCTATTGCCTTTTACACGCCCTACCGCGGGGTTTTGTAATCGAGACTTCGCGTTCAGCTAATTATACATCGTGTTTTATTCAGAGTTACGCGCGAACGAGATGTAATAAGCCGATCGGATGGTTCTCGTTATCTTATGTAAATTTAGGCTACTGTGTCGGATAAATTTGCAGTTGATCAAGTTGATAGCCTGGCGAAGGTGATTGGCTCCTATTTGGTAACTTTGTTTGGAGTGATAGTCATACATCATTTAGTAGCTTATTATAACAATATATGCGTGTACAAAAATAATTCTTCTAAAAACTATATGTATCTTCATTAAAATAGAGAAAATTCAATTTATAGTTCCTTTTAAATTTCGCTGCGATTTGTTCACGGGTTATTGTCGTATCGTTGGTGCTTAATGTTTTGAATCGCAAAAGAAAATGGTATTTTAGGTCACGTTTCGCTTATACGTAATGAGGTTCTGTCATCTCGGCGATGGAATTCATTGCTTTGATAAGAAGCTGCGTCCCTCCTGCAATGCGTTGATGTAACGAAATGCATGTGTTACGGTGCTTTGTTCAGCGAAAATGCGACGTGTATGATTTAGAGAACAAATATTTGCATAGCTAAACACCGACGAAGGTGATGGTTCGTTCGATAGTGCAGTAAAATGCGAGGAAGAGAAAGAGGTCTGCTGATGCGCGCGAAAGTATTGGTTAATTTATGCGCGTCTTTGTTCCTTTTATTGGCTGCCTCGTTTTTCAATGTTTTATGTTAATTGGCGATACCGTTTATCCACGAATAAAATCAAATTCTGTTAACAAATTCTGCTTATAACTAAAACGCTTGTATTATCATTATAAAAAATTGTGGAAATTTACTGAAGATTATAAGAGATACATGCGTAGATATAAATTGTTCATTTTAATTAGTTTTTGATCGAAGGCTCGTATTAAATGGTATTAAATCTTATTAAACATTAGTTTCGTTAATTATGTAAGAGTGCTAAAAGAAAAGAGTGTGAATTTCTGTTTAAAGAAAGAAGTAAATTAGGTTGATTTGATAATTTCATCATACAGCTTACGAATAAAAATATTAGATGTTCTGGCATTGCGTCGAACTGCTTCGAACGTGTCTTGTCCGTGAAAAAAAGGCCTAAACTTACGATGACAATCTGACCCTGGCGATAAGTGTAAATAAGGCAAGGCTCCTGATAACGTTAGTCATACATCGAGACAATAAAGCAATGTCCCACCCGCATGAGGGTGCTATGACCCATATACCTTGACCCACTGTCATGGGCTACAGGTGAGATCCACTCGTCTGTCCTACATCATCTTATCTCAGTCTCTCAGTATTAACTGGAACTTTGATAAGTCGACTTACATGAAAACTCTGCCAACGAGTCGACGGGAATCTCTGTCATCCTCTTACCTCCAAGCTACCTTAAGAGGAATTCTTTTTTCAAATTATCAACGACACCAAAATAAATACTTTCAGAACGAATTTAATAATGATTTAAATACGTACAGTGGCTCTTTTTTATTTAAATGTATTTCAACATTTGCAGCTATTTCTGGGGCACTTTTCCTGGGATTTTTCTTAATATGTCGCAACACATATCGCTTATCATGATCGTTTAAGATCTTCTTATTTTTTTTTAATTTGTTTGATATGCAGTTTTCACTTTTGTATCTTTTAGGAATCTATTTTACTGTAGTATGACTTCTATTTATAACTTCACGTTGAGATTTACCTTCATTATAATGGAAAATTACTAATTTTCGTATCTCCATTGTTGTTTGTTTTCTTTGAGATTCCATTTTTCCAAATCGATAAATTAATGAAATAGTGTGATAAAACTATGTTCACCTAATGCTAACTAAGCAAAAAAATGTGAAAAACAGTTAAACACACACATGTTAGCAGAATCCCTGAATATTATAGATGGACGATATTTAGTATCAGTTAAATTTCATAGATGTCATTACATATATTCATTTTGCTTTATGTATATTTGGGTTACTTTTTATATGGAAACAAGTAACACTAAAGATGAAACATTATTACGTTAATTACAGAAATCTCATGTTCATGTAATTCATATTTTGGCCAAAATTAAGAAAGCGAATGTGGTGGACGATTTTCACTGTGAGCCACTGTAAAGAGAATTCGTATATAATTTTCACGTGTCCCTCAGACGATAGTAAAGGATTACAAGTTTGCTAGAATATTATTAACAAATTCCGCTCCAGTATTTGTTGTTTCTCAGCCGCGATGCAGAATTTCGCTGACCAAAAAGGAACACGATACGATCGCAAGGGGAATTACCTCGGGAAGAACGTTTACATCCTCAGTGAACCGGTATCGCGGGTACATGTACAAGATGTTGTGTCCACCGGTGATGTTTGGCTGTCGGAAATTTACATACGGTTAGCCTAAATTTTCACCTGGACTACTCGCCTGTCCACTATTTCGTATAAATATAGATGTGACGGCGAATCGAAGTCTTATGTGAAAGTGTACGCCGTCTTGGTAGGAAGTTGTATTGTCTCCGATTGGAACCGCTGCTCCTTTATTCCGTGCTCGGGTGTTCGATTAGCAGTATTCCTTTCGCGTGTCGAGGGAAAAAAATAGTGTCCAGTGATAATGTGCGTACGCTCCGTACTTTGCGTGGTCATCGTGATCACGATGTGTGCCGTTAATTGCGAGGAAGTAAGTAACTGTTTCGGGCAACAAAACGACGTTCCTCCGAGTAACACGCTTCTTCGATGTTTTTGTTTTTCGAGCTTGTCGATTTTATTCGAATAATAGATAACGAATAAATGTTTATTGTAGCCGGAATCTCTCGGTGTCGACGAACGAGGCATCTTGAATAGTACACAAACTAATTCGACGATTTCGAACGACAAAAATTTTTGGGAATGGCTGTATGGTTTTGTAACTGTCGGTGCGCCCATAACCGTAACGACATCCACGACTGAAATACCCAAACCAGAGAAGGAAGAATGTTTACCTTGTAGTAAGTTAGAATATCATATAATTAAATTGAAAGGTGTAAAAATGAATATTTGGAATAGTAAACAGTGTCTTTGAAAAGTATATTCTTAATATGTGCAATTAATCTCACAAACTAAATTACATATCATGGTATGATACAGAATGTGGTTTAACGAACACCGAGAAGCGTATAGTGGGTGGGACTGAGACACAAGTTAATCAATATCCATGGATGGCATTAATGATGTTTAGAGGACGATTTTACTGTGGTGGAACTGTTATAAACTCTCGTTACGTATTAACTGCAGCCCACTGCGTCGACAGGTGATCTATTCTTCTGTTTTAATATATTCTAAGAGACCATGTTCATTTTTTATTTTTCTTTTGGCTCCAATTTTGCGTAATGACATAATATTTTAAATCCACTGTACCGAATATAACGGTTAATATTATTGTTATTGGGGATTTGGAGTAAATTCTAGATAATAGTGAAATAACTTTTTCTAAATTGCGATCGCTAAATCCTAATTCTATTTCTAGTAATTTAAATAGTAGCAATAATATTATTATTTACAATATCGATATATTATTACATAAATAACTATAAACCTTTGGAGCAGATTTGATACGAATTTCATGTCGATTCGAATATTGGAGCACGATCGCAACTCCACATCGGAAACCGAGACGCAAACGTTTAAAGTTGAGAAAGTGATGAAACACAGTGGTTACTCGACGTACAACTATAATAACGACATAGCGCTGGTCAGACTGAATCAGCCCATACGATTTCAGGGAAAAATGAGGCCTGTTTGCCTTCCAGAACGAGGTAACGACGCACTAAATAAATTGCAGACATACAATTTTAATGGGAGATTCTAGAGGCTAGAATAAGATGAAAATCAAGAATACCAATTTGTTGATTGAGGCTTCGATAAAAAGTTATTAACATTTAAAGTTCCGCCTGTAGAACGGCAATTTGCGAATAGCTGAACATTGTTTGCATTTTGAATCATTAAAATCCATTAATCAGACCAGAAGTTTTGATTTTTCAAACATACGCATGAAATTTCGGGGAAACATTCTGGCCACACAATATATTTTCGATAAAGAATTGTTTTCTCGAAAGTACATAGGAATTCGGAGTTATGTGTATTTACCAAAAATGATTGTAATTGACCCCATTAACCAAAAATAATTTTTTTGGAACGATTTGAAACTTTTTAATTTAATTTTTTAATAAGGAATTCTGAAGCAAGAAATTGATATTCTTGATTTTCGTCTTATTTTGGCCTCTAGAATCTTTCATTAAAATTTTTCCTAGGGTTGGCTGAAGACCCTGTATACCAAATTTTCTAAATAAAATTGCTTCCTCCAGCAAAGACATTCGCTGGCCTGCAGGGTACGGTGACCGGATGGGGGGCACTCGAGGAGTCTGGACCCATATCCGAAACTCTGCAGGAAGTAATGGTGCCGATATTAACGAATACCGAGTGTCGAGCCAGTAAGTATCCATCGCGAAGGATCACGGACAACATGCTTTGTGCTGGTTACAAAGAGGGAAGCAAGGATTCGTGTCAGGTAATCAACGACTAATCTTCTTATCGCCGTTATCGATATATTTTTCCATCCGAATCTATTACAACATTGTATAGTTCATATACCACATACATACGTACACTATTTTGTACATTAACTCGTTTCTAATAAAAGTACAATTATTTCTTCTCGATTAGGGAGACAGTGGTGGTCCTCTGCACGTGGCCAACGAGGACACGTACAACATAGTCGGTATGTCATGTACTCTAACGCTTTGTCTTCGACGATCCTACTACGTTACGCAGCCATAATGTCACGTTTCCGTTTGCAGGTGTCGTGTCCTGGGGCGAAGGATGCGCGAAACCTGGTTACCCTGGTGTTTACACCAGGGTGAATCGTTATCTGTCGTGGATAACGCGCAACGCCGAGGGCGCCTGTTACTGTTGATTCAATTCAAATTCGAACGACGAATACACTTTCGCGGAACACAATACTCGTCGACCATTACAGATTACCTCGTACGAACAAATACAATTTTTAGAAGATGATGGGCCAAACATAGCCACGAATATTTCTAACGCTAGCTGGTAATATTTATGCTTTTCTAACGAACGCAGCGAAGCACGACGCGAGTTGCATATTTAATTTAACAACTTATCGTTATTTATTTATTTGCTACGTCTGAAGTATGAATTTTACGGCAGCTCTGGTGGCGTTCCAGAATTTCAAAGTGGCTCTTTTCCACTCGACTTTTAGGGTTTTCTAACACACGCCGACACGAACGTTACACTCGCGACGACACAATTGAAAGTTAAGGCACGTACCTAGCCTCGTTCGACTCGTAACACCGAACGTACAAGAAAGAAAGTCACGAGACTTTCTCTGTTCATTTCGACATGGAATTTCGGTGAAAACTCACGTACCTACTATGTCACACGCGGAGAGGCTCTGATTCGTCGAGTGAAATGTTCGTGTTCCTTTCGGCGTTTTTTTTTTTTTTCTTACGAATACTTTACGACGAGTACGATTCGACGTTTCGTTTCGACCTAGACGAGATATTCGCGATATCTTACGTGGTCACAAGCTTCCAATGATACTCAATTTTAATACTCCGAATGAAATTACTTTAATACGATAAACGACGCTGTTCGCGTGGTTGTAAACTCGTGGCACGATAATAATAATGACAACAATGACAATATTTTACTTATTACGAAAGGAGAAACATACACGAGATCGATACATCGATGGAAGGAGGAGGGAATATAAAAATAGAAAGGAAGCATTATCGGAGACAAGCTACAGGGTGTTATTTGCAATACTCAGTGTCGGTATTTTTGAGTTTACAAATAGGAATAAGGGGAAAACAGGGGTTTTGATGGATAAGTAGGTGGTCCTCTGTTGCGATCTATCTTAAACTGAAACATTTTTATGCTCTTGATATTAACAGAAAATTTTTAGTAGCCCATAACAAACGTGTCTGCTTTATCTGTTCACAAAAACGTGTCTTATTACTGATGTTTTAAACATTCGATGTGTGATCCTCTTCAGAGTAAAATTACTCGGGCGATTATATTTTCTTCTAATTTGTAGTTGTATGATAGTACTTCAGTTTCGTGTAATATGTCTTTCATTGGGCTCGATCTCATTGTCCCAGTTATTATTGTTTTTATTTTGAAGAGGACCACACATCAAGTGGTCGAGACATCAGTGTATTTATCAGCAAAAAAAAACACTATTTTCGGTTACGTTATCAATAAACGAAGACTTAAGGTATGATTCCACTGAGGCAACACTATGCGACTTGTAACATGCCACATGTCGTTCGGTAACATTATGCGACCTGTAGCATGCTACTTGTCATTAACTGACGACATTGCTCGACATGTTCAATCTTGTCGATTCGACAAAACAATATCAAATAATCCCGCATTTCTTTATTTCGAAAAGGAAACAAATGAATGTGTAGCAAATACACATGTCAAGTGTTTACGTAACGTCGATTTCATGTTGCATAAATGTTGCCTTAATAAAATTGTGTTTCGTCGCATGCGTCATTGCCGCATGTTACATGTTGCCTCAGTGGAATCACGCCTTTACATACGTTTGTCGTGTATCAACATTCAGATAAACACACACAGTCGTTTTTCAAATGTGATATGTCTACAATATCGTCTCGCCATAAAACATGTGACATCGTGAAACTTATCTATAAATGTAACTAATATGCGCGTCTGAGAACGCTTGTCAAAGAGAACGATCTTGTACCTAATCTCGAAAGCCTATGAACATACTCGATCGTTGAAACATAGAGTTATTTAATGGTTACTTAAATCTAAATCCTCGCAACGTTCTGTTACGCGTTAAACGTCAGTGATTAGAAGTTCTTCGGGCGGAGTGGCTTCTTCCACCGTAATCTCAATGTTCGTTTCCGCTTTGTCGAACAGCCAATACGTCTCCATATTGCCCTTTCCCTGCGTGGAACGAAAAATAAAGAATCACGCGCCTCCATACCAAGGATCTCTAAGCTGAACTTTTTGTGATACGAACCTTGACCCAAACTAGTCCGCGTGACTCAATGCGACAGTGGTCTTCGACCAACAGTGCTTTAGTGTCAGACGAGATGTGTACCTTTCCTGGCTGTCATAAAATCGATAGAGCACAGATTTTACGAAATTTACTTACACTTGTGGACACGATAGATAAAGCAATGATCGGGAGTTTTTTTCAATCGTTAAATGAAAATATTGTTGAACTCGGACGGTCGCATAGATTTTCTCAGTTCTTTGTTAACTATTATTTCTAACCAATATATGTATATTATATTTAATAATTTGGATTGTTACTTCGTGAAATTTTAGCGCTGAAAAATGTCGTTTCATTTTCGACCACTAAGTTTTATGGTCAACTTCGGTAGCAAAAATATGTAATAATGTCCTTGTATTTGTCTAATGTTTTCTCTTTAATTATGTGGCGTCGCCTCTCATGCTCGCCACCAGAGGGGTCGCGTTCTCACAAGCGTTCGACCGACCCCTCGGTTGCTATACAGGGTGTTCGGCCACCTCTAGCAAAAATTTTAATGAGCGATAGTAGAGGCCAAAATAAGACGAAAATCAAGAATACCAATTTGTTGATGGAAGCTTCGTTAAAAAGTTATTAACGTTTAAAGTGCTGCCCTTACTGAATTTTTTTCTCGAAAATGCGCAACATTTCGGGGGTATGTCTATTCACCAAAACTGACTGTAATTGAACCCTACAATCGAAAATAATTTTTCCACAACGATTTGCAATTTTTTAATTTTCTCGAATAATTTCACACCTTCTCTATTTTTTTTCTCGAAAGTGGGCAGGATTTCGTGGGTATGTTTAATGACAAAAACTGATTGTAATTGACCCCCGCAACCGAAAATAATTTTTCCACAACGATTTGCAATTTTTTTTCTCCGTTGAAAAATTTAGGCACCTAATTTGATTTTCAGTAAGGAATTTTTTTCTCGAAAGTGCGTACAATTTTGGAGGTATGTGTAATGATAAAAAATGATTGTAATTGATCCCCGCAACCGAAAATAATTTTTTTAGAACGATTTGAAAAATTTTTTTCGCCGAAAAATTTCAGCACCTACTCGATTTTTTTTCTCGAAAGTAGATAGGATTTCGGAGGTATGTGTACTCACCAAAAATGATTGTAGTTGACCCCCGCAACCGAAAATAATTTTTCCAGAACGATTTGAAATTTTTGAATTTAATTGTTAATAACTTTTTAACGAAGCTTCCATCAACAAATTAGTATTCTTGATTTTCGTCTTATTTTGGCCTCTACTATCGCTCATTAAAATTTTTGCTAGAGGTGGCCGAACACCCTATATAGTATACATTTCTCGAACGACTTCCCAATATCCCAGTCGTCTAAGGCAGGGCCTGCTAGAAAGCTTTACTGGCAAGTCCACTAGCAGGTCCGGTCGAAACGCGCCCCCTCCTTTCCTTTTTTCTGTCCTACGATTCTCACTAGTTCCTAACTACAGCAGAACCAGCGCCACAATTATGAAATAAATTTGAAGATAACCCGTGAAATGACATTTTTGGACGCTAATACACGACGTTTGTTGTTTTATATTTATTCGAAGATAATTGGTAATAAAGAAGCGAATAACTTTTAAACTGACTCTGTAAAGAAACTGAAACTGATTCTGTAAAGACGAATTTTGATGAAAGAATAGGATCACTGACACATATGATTTTCCAATAAAAGTGTCAATTCTAATTTAGTTTCGCCAGAACTATCGTACTTTTATATCGTTATGTTCCATTTGTTATTTTCTCACACTCGAGTTCCTTTTGATATTTGCTGTTAGATTTATGTCGTACAAGCGAACTTACCAGACTGGTCGTCTGCATTCTGGAAGCAGTATTCACCGTGTCGCCGAAGAAGCAATATCTAGGTACTTTGATGCCAACAACACCTGCCACAGCTGGTCCAGAATGAATTCCTAAGAAAGTAGAACACGCTTGCATGCAATTGAGTTCTCGTCGAATTCCCCGGGAAATGTTAGGAACAGTTACGAATCTAAGCAAACTAGTCCGAAGAAAATGACCGCGGACGTGATCGGGAACATAGAGATACTCGAGAAAAGGATGATGTTTCGAATAAATAACGCGCGAAGATTACCTATACGAATCTGTATATCAAGACCAGACGGCAATTTGAGAGATTGAACGTGCTTTATTAGCTGCAAAGAAACGTCTGCGACGTTTTGCGCATGATTTTCAGTCCTATCGGGTGCTCCGCTGGCTGCCATATAAACTCGACCAACTGTTTCTACCTGTTGAAAGACGCAAAGGTAGAACATTGTGACGTTTTCCTTCCATTCGGCGAGTGATTTTATCTCCGTGGCGTCGTTAAATTGTTCTTCCTATTTGTCATAATGGACTCACTTTGTACACGTTGAACTCGTCCATCAGGGAATCGAAACACGAGAAAACGGCGTTCATCGACGAGACGATGTCCATTGCTCCCTCGATAGTCGAGTAATCGAAGTCGCAAAGCTCGCAGAACAAGACGGTGATGGACTCGAACGACTATGAAAAAGAAAAAGCGTTATTCTGTAGTGCCTTTCAGAGCATTACTTTACATTAAAAATAAAAATATTAACTCTCGACCGTTATCACGAGGTATTTTAACACTCCAGCGATTATTCTCGTAACTTCGAGCCATCTTTATAACCGTATCAAAGGTAGTTGTGGGTCACTGAGCATTCAATACGCTTGGAGCTTCTCGAATTTAGTTACTCGAAGTTCTTAGAATATTAATGCTTGATATTAGGCTACAGTTATATTACCATTGACTATGTTTATCGTGTATTGGGAATAGTTGTCGGACAAATGAGCAGAAACGATTAAAAATAAAACTGTAACCTTGTCCCGAATTCTGGCGTCAGAACTTGATTAAAAAATTCTTTCTGTTACGGAGAGTGAAGGATTGGCTAATACTTCATCGTTTGATACCTCGCAAGTACTCAAAGGGCTCGCACCGGCTCGTAATCGATCAGCAACTGTCTGGGGAATCATAGAATACAGAAGTTCGTCGCTCTTATTTTTCCAACGGTCCAAAAGCGCGTAGCTATTTTCCAGTTCGGTCGATCTCTGCTCCGCCCTCTCGAACATCATCTCCAATCTGAGCGCAAGAATACCAGGGGAAAATATCGAGGAAAGTTTAATTATGCTGGGAAAACTAAAAAATAATGTACCTTCCGCAATGCTGCCATCCCGCGAGGACCAACTCTCGACTCAAACCGTGAGGATTTAGATCGTTCAGATACAGGCCCATGTTAAGAAGTTCGTCTAAACTGTTGATTCTGTCGAATTTCCGTTATTTTCATCTTTTTACATCGTTCGACAGAGTGCAATATTATCGTTGTTTCGTATACTCACAAGGGACTACATAGGAATATTATTGCTTTGATGTCGTCGATGTACCTCATTTGACCTTTTAACAAGATACATCTGGCTCCTTGGCTTCCTCGTCTATCTAATCCTGTGCTTGTACCAGCGCTATTATCCGAATTCGACGTTGTATTGTTATCGTTTACCCTGATTAGTTCCAGCTCAAACATCACCGAATGCAAATACATCACCTGTGCACGCGTGTGGAAATCGTTACTTTGCTCGAGACGTCGATCGAGTGATTTATTAGAAAAATTTATTAGAGAAAATTGATGAAAAGCTAAATTACTATTCTTGAGAATGTCTCAACAAGCAATTTTATTCTACGTTTCGACTCTTCGAATCTGAATATAAAAATTAGTTTAAACTAACGTGAAATATTTACGTGTACAAATTGTTAATACGAATGAATGTTATTTGACTGTTGCTTAAAAGCTAGACTGCTGTTCTTGGGAATATTAAGTCTCAACAAGCAATTTTATTCTACGTTTCGACTCTTCGAATCTGAACATAAAAATTACTTTAAACTAACGAGAAATAGTTACGTGTACAAATTGTTAATACGAATGAACGTTACTGAACTGTTGCTTTGTAAACTCGGTGTCAAGATAAGGTGACAAATGGAGCAATTTTTTCTAGTATCTGATATTAAATGTGCTCTTACGTTTCCCCAGCTGAAGGAAATCCCTTTAGGCCTACGTAGTTTAAAGACTTCCGTGACGTGTTTGTTCAGGATGGACGAGCTGCCACCCCACGCTTGCAATAGTTTATCACCAACTCCCAGTAAGCGCATATCTTTATTTATCACGACCCCAAATGGAAATAGCCGTAAGAGAAACGTGCAGGACACTGGTGCTAATTCTCGACCCAGCGGAGTTTTCATTCTGTTGTTCTTCGCGATCTAGCAATTTCGATCATTACAATGTGAATTATTAAATTCACGTAAAATCATTATAGCGTTTCGTAAATACAGAAAATGTTTAATAGCGTCGTACGATTTCTTACATATTCACGATTGTCAAAATCGATCCTAAATTTAACCATCACGCTCCTGGTCCCTGGGATATTAGTCGAAGATTCTAATACGCTAATATTCAAATCCGTTTCATAAAGCTCTTTAGCTATATGGAATAACTGACCTGTTGAAAATGTGGTAATCTATGTTATATTATTAATTATTTTCAGGTATGTTTAGAAATTTATACTTTATTTATTATTTATATGAAATGACAGAAAATGTATAATTTGACGAAGACATAACAGGAAATCTTTTATTCATTTCGAAAATATAAATGGAAAGATGAATTAGTTCTCGATCGATCCGATATCAAATACCATCTCGAGATCAAACCAAAAGATTCATTTTATGTGTAACAGCTTGCAGCCGACTATAAGACAAAATTTTATCGAATTTATTTTATCGAAATATTTTCATTTTTTTCTGGAGGAAAAAGATATCTTACCCATAAGATAATGCGTAAAACCTTGCCTAGTGCTTCGATACACTAACACTACACCCTGCGCGTCGATGTGGGTAGTATACATGGAAGGGCTTTTCATTTTTGGATACGTGAATCTCATTTGCATGTGAATATTGTCGACACTTTGCAAAAAGTCGCAGAAGTAACGACCGGTAGCTTTCACTGTGCAGGCGTACCTATTAGAAAAATTGTAATTATCGCTGGATTTCGTTTCCAAGGAATTTTAATTTCCATTTTAAAATATTAAAATTAATTCGTCTATTTAATTTATAACAGATTTAAAAATGTCTGACACACGTTTATTTCGAATGTTGATTTAAAAACTGTGTGTTTTGCGTTCGTTTCTATTATTATGGAAAAGATTTATCTGGTTTTTCAGCTCGAGTGTCTCAAATCGACTCGCGTAGGTCATGTTCCGCACTTTACGCTGAGATAATCACCTCTCTCGAGACACGGAAAACTGATAAGATCTGGCATCGCCCCGTCCTTATCGCACTAACTATACTAAGTAATTGAGGTGTGGCGGCCAAGGCGCCACATACGCCTTAGCCGTTCGAAGCCGCTACAATGTATGGTTGCACACGAGACGATGGTTGCACACGAGACGATGGTTGCACACGAGACGATGGTTGCACACGAGACGACCAGAGCCGCGTGAGCCGAAAAGCCGTTGTCGTCGTCTCTGACCGTCTTTTGTTTTTGAAGGCCTCTTGGTACGGTGGCGATGATCGTACCAGAGAGTCGAGCGTAACCCGCACCACGAGTCACGTCGTTGTACGACAGCAACAATAAAATTGTGCGGAACGGAACAGGGCGGAGTCATTACCTTCCCGATCCCACATTGGTGACCCCGACGTGATCTCGCCGCGCAAGTAAAGTTTTTTTAAGAAAATTTGGACATTTTTTGTATACGGACAATATTAGTTAGTGTAGAGAAATAAGTGTATAGTGTTAAGGATATAAGAAAAGGACACGGTCTGACAAATAGTAAGCGCGGTGTGTGTGTGCGGTGAAACTATTTTTTTTTTGTGACCAAGACTGGTAAAATGACTGACCCTAACGTTAACGCAGGGACATCCGCGGGTGTGCCGTTGGCAGTTGATCGCGTCGCTGTACGGATACCCGAGTTTTGTAGTAGAGAGAAGTTTTGAGGTATCCAATGTAACGTCGGAGACCACGAAATTCGGGTACATTCTCGGCGCGTTAAGTGCGCGACACGCCGCGGAAGTAAGAGACATTATCATGAATCCTCCGGCCACGGATCCGTACACGACGCTCAAAAATGAGTTTATTCGCCGGCTTAGTGCTTCGCAGGAACAGAAAACGCGACGGTTATTGGAACACGAGGAAATCGGGGACAGAAAACCGTCCCAATTTCTTCGTCACCTGCGCGGATTGGCCGGTACGGCTTTTTCGGACGGTGTATTGCGGACGCTTTGGATGGGCCGGCTACCTGCTAATATGCAGGTGATTTTATCCACGCAGCGGGACACCCCGCTGGATAAGGTAGCAGAGTTGGCAGACGCTGTTGCGGATACGATGACACCGCGGGTACACGTCACGGAGGCCGCGATTACGGGCGTATCTGCATCCTGCCAAATACCCCCGCCGGGCCCGAGCATCGAGGCCATGTTAAACATTAAGATGTCACAATTGGCTCTTTCCTTGAGGCAGGAAATTTCTGCCATCCGTGAATCCTTGGTGGACCAGGGGCAATCTTCCCGTCGCAGGTGGACCCACCGAAATCATCCAAACTCGCGCTACCGCAGACGATCTCTATCGCGATCGCGAGAGCGGCCCGCGGGAGGACAAATGGACCATCAAGGGAAATGCTGGTACCATTGGCGGTTCGGTCCGGCCGCGCAGAGGTGCGTTGCACCGTGCAATTGGAACGCCACGGATCAGGGAAACGACCTGGGGAGTCGTTGATGGCGGCCAGCGACACAAATCCAGCATCACGCCGCCTCTTCATCTTAGACAACAGCTCGAAGACGGAATTTTTAGTGGATACCGGGGCCGATTTGTGCGTTTTTCCGCGCCGCCTGCTAGGCGGATTGCGAGAAAGATCGGAGTACCAGCTGGCGGCGGCGAATGGGAGTGTAATTAACACCTACGGGACAGTGTCGTTAAACCTGCACCTCGGCCTACGACGGGATTTCGTGTGGCGATTCGTGGTTGCGGATGTTACAAAACCCATAATCGGGGTAGACTTTCTCGATCACTTCGATCTTATGGTGGACATCCGCAATCGTCGCCTCGTCGATCGGACCACGTCGTTAACGGTCCGCGGAACACGAGCCGAGGATGAAACGCCGTCGGTGAAGACAGTAGCAGGGACTACCGTTTACCACCAGCTCCTGATGCAGATGCCGGAACTTACACGGCCTAGCGGCACCCCGATGAGGACTACGCACCAAACGGTGCATTACATCGAGACAACCCCTGGAGCACCCGTTTCCAGCAAGCCGCGGCGGCTTGCACCGGACCGGCTCAGGGCTGCCCAGAAGGAGTTCGACGCGATGGTGAAGATGGGCATCGCTTGTCCTTCGAAGAGCGCGTGGTCAGCACCCCTTCATATGGTTCCGAAGAAGGGCGAAGAAGCTTGGAGGCCTTGCGGTGACTATAGAGCGTTAAACGCACGGACAATTCCCGACCGATACCCCGTGCGTCACATTGAGGATTTTGCGCAACAACTGAGTGGCAAAAAGGTATTTTCCACAATAGATCTCGTCCGAGCTTATAATCAGATTCCGGTTGCGTCGGAAGACGTCGGAAAAACGGCCATTACAACGCCGTTCGGGCTTTTTGAATTCCCGTACATGTCGTTCGGGTTACGAAATGCCGCGCAAACATTTCAGCGCTTTATCGACGAAATTTTACGCGGTTTCGATTTTTGTTACGCGTATATAGACGACATTTTGGTCGCCTCAGAATCCCAAGCCGATCACCTGCGCCATTTAGAATTATTATTTAAACGATTAAAAGATTATGGCATTGTTGTTAATCCGAATAAATGCACGTTCGGACAGGAAGAAGTTAAATTTCTAGGCTATCGGGTAAATGAAAGCGGCACTCAACCTTTGCCCGGCAAGGTACAAGCCATAAAGTCATTTCCCCTTCCGAAAAACGCGAAGGATTTGAGGCAGTACTTGGGAATGCTTAATTTTTACCGCCGTTTTATCCCAGATGCCGCTCGCTTTCAAGCACCCTTGAACGACCTTCTAGCCGGCAATTTAAAGGGCAAGACCTCGATAGCCTGGACTTCGGAAGCGCGTCAGGCTTTTGAAAATACCAAAAATAGTTTAGCAAACGCAACCCTGCTTTCTCATCCTGCGGTCAACGCTCCATTGTCGGTTACCTGCGATGCTTCTGATTACACCGTAGGAGCTGTTTTACATCAGTGCGTCGGCAACGAACGACAACCATTAGCATTCTTTTCTAAGAAATTAGGATCTGCCGAAAAGAAGTATTCAGCTTACGACCGGGAACTACTTTCTATCTATTTAGCAATAAAACATTTCAAACATATGCTCGAAGGCAGACATTTCACGATTTTTACAGACCATAAACCCATAACTTTCGCTTTCAAACAGAAATTAGATAAATGCTCTCCTCGACAATTCCGATACCTAGATTACATTGCGCAATTCTCTACAGATATTCAACATATTTCCGGTAAAGACAACGTCGTTGCCGATGCACTGTCCAGAGTGGAAACGGTTAACCACTCGATTAATTTCGAAGAATTGGCAAAATCGCAAGCCCAGGATGAGGAGTTGCAGCGGTTGTTGAATAGCGAATCTAGCCTGCAATTACGCAAAGTCTCGTTGCCTGGCACGTCTTCCGAAATTTTTTGCGATATTTCGACTAAGAATGTAAGACCTTATGTCACCCCTCCTTTCCGACGTGCAGTTTTTAATATGTTACATGTATTATCACATCCAGGTATTAACGCGACGATCAAGCTCATAACGCAACGTTATGTTTGGCCGTCGATTAAAAGAGATGTTCGCACGTGGACACGTTGCTGTATACCGTGCCAAAGATCAAAAATTTCCCGTCATGTGACTGCACCATTGGCTACATTTGTTAAACCTTCTGCGCGATTCGAACACATTCATTTAGACATAGTAATTTTACCGGTGTCCGAAGGTTTCAGGTATTGTCTGACCTGTGTAGACAGATATACGCGGTGGCCGGAAGCCTTCCCCATGGTCGATCAGGAGGCCCAAACCGTAGCTCGAACCTTTTATGACGGTTGGGTAGCGCGGTTTGGTGCTCCCGTACGGATTACCACCGATCAGGGTAGGCAGTTCGAATCCAAATTATTTTTTGCGCTGAACAATTTAATTGGATCCACACGTCTTCGCACAACGGCGTATCACCCAGCGGCCAATGGGATGGTAGAGCGTTTTCACCGACAGCTCAAGTCGGCTATAAGGTGCCACGGATCCGACAAGTGGACAGAAATACTTCCGACGGTTCTACTCGGTATTCGTTCCGCCTGGAAAGAAGACCTCGGCGCTACCTCAGCGGAATTAGTTTATGGCGAGCCATTAAGATTACCGGGAGAGTTCTTGTCTTCGCATTCAGCGGAAGGCACAGAAAATGCTTCCGATTTTACTAATAGACTACGCAACCATTTTTCTAAATTGAGTCCCTCTAATGCATCACGCCATTCCGTTAATCGTACATTCGTTTTCAAAGATCTTAGCAGTTCAACACATGTTTTCATCCGAACAGATTCAGCCAAAACTATTTTACAACCCGCTTATGAAGGTCCATACGCCGTAGTGCGCCGAGGCGAAAAAACATTTACAATAAACATTAGAGGTAAGGAAATAAATATATCAATTGAAAGGCTAAAGCCTGCTTATATGCTAGCAGAAAACAGACCGGATCCCGTGAGCATAGAAAATCAGCCGGTCACACAAACAAACGTACCTGACAATGCGCCGGTTATACAGCAACGTGTTACGCGTTCAGGTAGACGCGTACGTTTTCCCGATCGATTTCAAATTACGCGGTAGTACTTAAGGCTTGCGCATTATTATAATAAGTATCATATACCATTTATTTTTATCCATCACTTTTATGTACTTTCATGTATTTTTAGGTATTACGTATTATATATTAAACTCCATGTAAATTCCTTTTTTTTTCAACTCTGTTCAAATACTGTAATGTAAATCTTAGTTAGGATAACGTATTTTATATAATAGAGTAAATGGTAGTGGTAATGTAGTCGGTCAATTTTTCGTAATTGTGCCAATTACTGGCAGGGGGGTAGTGTGGCGGCCAAGGCGCCACATACGCCTTAGCCGTTCGAAGCCGCTACAATGTATGGTTGCACACGAGACGATGGTTGCACACGAGACGATGGTTGCACACGAGACGATGGTTGCACACGAGACGACCAGAGCCGCGTGAGCCGAAAAGCCGTTGTCGTCGTCTCTGACCGTCTTTTGTTTTTGAAGGCCTCTTGGTACGGTGGCGATGATCGTACCAGAGAGTCGAGCGTAACCCGCACCACGAGTCACGTCGTTGTACGACAGCAACAATAAAATTGTGCGGAACGGAACAGGGCGGAGTCATTACCTTCCCGATCCCACAGAGGCAATCGAACAAACCGTCTGTAATAACCCGTTGCGTGCATTGCAAATTAGAAAGAAAAGTGACATGGGTCGTTAAGCTTAATTAAAGCAATATTCTCATCGATTGTTCGAAAATTGCTAAGAGTCCCAACAGAGCATTAAATTGTACGCATTGAAATATTAATTAATGGAATCGGTTAATGGAACCGCAGTAATCGTTGCTGGAAATAATTTGTCGTGCATCGCATAGTTCTCTGGTGTGTAACGGTAATTAAATGGTTTAATTAATGCGATCCTAAATGCAATCTCGTGGCATGGATTAAGTCCAGTCACATGTTCTGACGCATGCGATCATGCAACGAACGATTTGCTTTGCGAGAGGATTTCGATATCTATCACTTACCCTAAGTTGCTGAAAAATCTAACGAAACATTTGCCAAAGAATTGCATCACATCGTCCACGGAGTTTCCACTGAGCGTGGCCAAAGCAGCAGCCAAATTGGTCATAAGTTCGTCAGGGTATATTTGTCGCGTGTTGAAAACCATGTGCTTGCAATCGGCCTTTTCCAAAACCTGACGCCACATGTCTTCGCCATACTCTACCTGCAACAAGACAATTATTTTAAAATTATTAATTCAAAATAAATACGTCAGACTTTTTGAGTCAACTGTGGTTTTAATGAAAATTATAGAAAGTTCCACTTTCATTGTGCTGTGCTCCACGAAGATCTCGCCATTGAACGAGTAATCGATTTTCGATGGAATAGCTTAGAAACAGAGAGCGAAGAGGATATAAAAGCATAGAACGCGTAACCATTTCTATTATGCTCGAGGGAATATTTTTTTTCCGACCCCTATTGTTTCTTTTTCACGAAAACGAAGAGACAGGGTGTTGTACACCAGACATTTAACATTATTCGCACGTAATGTTTGCGGACTTTGATGCTAATAGAGAAATCTGACACGCAATTAATAGCAAAATTATTTCGTTTGAAATTCTCGGTTTGCTTATTCGACTGAAAATAAATTACGTAACTCTGGTCGATGTTAATTAATGTATCTTTATGTGTGCCGACCTCAGATATATGTAGTACAACTTAATTATTCATGCAATTTCAATTATTGATGTTTTGATAAAATACGCTCCTGCTAGCATCATGAATATGTTAATGCTCATTATTATTTAAACATTTCTTCATAATACACGAATAATATATAACGTAATAATACAAATACTTTTTTAAAAGGGGTGTAGAATAAAGAGAGGGAAAAGGTATACATTTTTATACCATTACTTGCTTTTTTATAGAGGAGAGTTCCCACCAGGAGAGTAAAAGGTTACAAAAAAACTTTGGGTCTTATACTACCATTGGGAACATTTCTCTTTCTTCCCCCTTTTTCTTTCACAGTTCTTCTTAAAAAAGTTGTAGAGGAAATAACTTTTGTATTTTTATTATGTACCACATTTCAGAGTACATATCTTACATACATATACATATACGTCTTATGTACTAAGGTAACGATAAGACAATCTTGAAAACTCTATTATTTCTTTTCTGTAGTTTCACGACGTGATTACTTACTTTACAACGTAGTAAGTGTACGATAAGCTATTTGTTCCCCTAGATTCATGATAAGTTGATTCCCACGATCAATCCAATTTCTGCCCCTCCGTAGGATAATCAATGTTTCTTCTGCCATAATGACTACGATCACGAAAATGAATACGGTTTCCACCCTAATGGAACCTCACGAGATTCAATATACCAAATGGACACGCAAATTTCTCGAAGCAAAACCAACAAATTTAATAATCGAATTTCAGCTGGCTTTCGACAACGTGTCTGAAACAATACTTGACTGTGTAAGCGCTATAAAATAGTGTATCCACTATTAATATAAGTAATAGGAACGAAATTAAATTATTCAGTCCAGATTGTACCGAAGCTTACGTTTTTAACGATAATTACCCTTTCATTAGAGTCCACTTAAAAGAAACGTTGAACGTTGTATACTACAAAATACACTTCTTTTCGTAGCTACCCGTGAAAATGTCTTTTTATTGTGGAGGAAAACATGATATTTTTCATGACAACGAAGGACACATGTTTCTCGTAAGATAAATGAAATAAGGACGACAGTTTGGCAGTTTAAAGAAGCATGCGTTGCGACAGATATGCTGCGAGGGTTGTTCAATAAGTCCTTAGAAAAAGATAGAAAAACAAATTATTTTAGGTAGATTTTTTTTATTTTTCAACATAATCTCCTTTTAGCTCTATACACTTTTCCAAACGTTTCTCCAACTTTTTTAAGCCATCTAAAAAGTAAGATTTCGAAAGGTCCTCAAAATAAGCATCTGTTTGGGCGGTGACCTCCTCGTTCGACATGAACCGTTGTCCACCGAGCCATTTTTTAAAATTTAGAAATAAAAAGAAGCCACTGGGGGCCAAATTCGGTGAATACGGTGGATGTTGTAATAATTCGAACTTTAATTCCATGATTTTGATCATCGAAACTGCACAGGTGTGCACCTGTGCATTGTCTTAATGGAAGAGGATCTTTTTCTTTTTCAAATGAGGACGTTTTTTCTTGATTTCTTCGCTCAACCGGTGCAACAACGACGCATAATATTCTCCAGTTATTGTTTCTCCTTTTTCCAAGTAATCGGTGTCGATGATTCCGCGTGTATCCCAAAAAACTGTGGCCATCACCTTGCCGGATGATTTCACCGTCTTCGCCTTCTTCAGAGCACGTTCGCTTTCAAAAACCCACTGTTTTGTCTGTTCCTTTGTCTCTGGAGTGTAGTGGCGTATCGACGTTTCATCCACAGTTATTTATCGACACAGAAACTCGTCAGGATAGTGACGAAAAAGCGTCAAAACAGCCTTAGAGTCGATCACACGATTGGGTTTATTCTCCACTGAAACCAAACGCGGCACTCATCTCGCCAAGATTTTTTTCATACCTAATTTTTCGTGCAAAATTGAAAATACTGTACCTTGCAATATGCTTGTGGCCTCAACTATTTCGCGCACTTTGATTCATCGATCACTCAAAACCATATCATGGATTTTGTCAATCATTTCGGGAGTAGTCACTTCCACTGAACGTCCCGAAATGGGGATACATTTGTGGATGTACGGCCACGTTTAAACTCATTTATCCAATTGTAAATTGTTGCAAACACAGGAGCAGATGTACCATGAACTTCATCCAACTCAGCTTTGATCTCTTTCGGTGTTAAGTCTTTTAAACACAAGTGTTTAATCACCGCTCGAAACTCACTTTTTTCCATTTTTCGAAATATGCAAAAGTTTCTTGCTTCAATGGACAATAAAAAGGAAATCGTGTAGTGGATATAGCTGAGAACTTGACAGCTGTCTAGTGAGTCATGATGGTTACTAAAAACAAAAGTTTTCAATGCTACGAGCACCAGCTCTTGGATTTTCTAAGGACTTATTGAACGACCTTCGTATTTCTAATCGAACGTTTTATCCCTTGTGAAGAGTTCAATTATTCCAGAATTGATCAAGAATGCCAATTCTGATTATGCATATGCTAATAGTGTGTATATGTTCAACATTTGAATTTATGTAAATTCCGTTCGCTAGGATCGCCTGACTACGAGAAATTTGAAAATCTGTTGCTAGAAACGTTGATCGAAGAGCATCGTAGCAGCGATTAATAGAATTATTGACAACTACACATAAACAGAGTATTAGGAAACGAATCAACAGGTGTCCTTAAACGCCGGAAGAACAATGCTATTTTTAAAACTTTTGCAATTAAGGTGCTGTACCGAAAGGAAGTCTGAAGTCCATACATATTCAGGTACCTCGTTTATTACGTACCTTCAAACCATTTCCTCCGACGAGTACGTGACACTTTTTTTTAACGATTGATTATTTGGAGCCGATACGATAAATCAATACATCGCACAGTTCACATACTCGTCGATACATTCTGCATAGATTCGCCTCGTTTCGACTACGAATTCAACGGTAACCGTGAATTTCTTCTGCGCTGCATCAATCGAGAAGCAACGATATTTCTGTGAATTTTATGGTGGCTCGAAGAGAATTCACCGACTCGCGAAGAATTCAGGACATTTATTTCCAACATCGATATTTAAATAAGCTGAATTTATCAAGACGATCAAGAACAGACAAGAATCTTCGATGCGAAACTGAGACAGAATATTGGGGGAATCATCGCGTTGTGGATCAATTTCTGGCTTCGGAAAAATTCGTTTCAATTTATTTAATTCTTCCATTTAGATTCTACTTTAGATAGACATTCCAATTAGATCGATTTTATATTTAACACGAAACCAGCATGGATTTTACAATTTTCAATTTTAATAGCATTAGTGATCCAGGTAAACAATTTCGGTAGAAATGATATACTGTTAATTGAGGAGAAAACGCTCCGAGAAATTTAATAATATACAGCGTTATTTTATTGGTAACGAATATTACTTCTATATTTCAACTTTTCAATCTTTCGTTCGTTATTTCGAATACGAACAAATCACCGATCAGCGTACTTTTTCATGCCAAAAGGCGATACATTTTCTCTCTGTTAGAGTTATATATTATTCAAATTAACACACGTTATTATTAACGATATGCATTGTTATTAACGGCAAGGTTGTTAAACCTCTAAGAATATAAAACCGAGAGTCAATAATTAATTAATTTTAACATATTCGGTATTCACGTGCATAAAACTCAGCAAGTGAAAGTACAGCTCTCGTTTAAAGAAACTTTTCTCATCAGCTCAATTGACGTGAATTGGACTGATCAAAATCGAGACACTGCACGTGCTTAACATTTCGTTCGTTTCTGTTCTTTTCCCACTGTCTTTCAGCAACGAAAAATTGTGTTTCATCGTGTACAATGGCTCGTGAAGAAATACGTGCGCACACACATGAAAATGAAATCATGGCACAAAACAGAGGGGTCAGAACAATATACGAGAAACGAGAAGAAATGAATGTAAACGAAATTTAGGTGGTTTTATTTTCTTCATAATATTTTTTTTCTCTATCTTCCGACATGATCCAATAATATTTTAATTGTTTTTCCGCTCTAATTAGTTTCCATTATTGCATTAAATCGATCACTGAACTACCCGTATTGTCATCGTAAATAAATTTCGCGCTTTTATGCCGAAGTATTGCTATTTTAGAAATGTATTTTCTATAATTTTATACTCTTCTACGTTTATTCTTGCAGAATTCTATCCGAAAGAAAAAAAGCATCGTCGGATGGGGTAAAGATCGTCGACGAAGCAAATAAAGTCACTAAATTTCGTTCGTATTAGTTCGACGACGGCTGGAAAATTCACATCACAACAACGAAGAAGTTGACAAGGGCTGGTTGAAAATTCGCACTGTGCATTTACCAACCTGCACGAAGTGCTGCACACTTTCCAACAGCATGCCGTACATCGTTCCTGGTGTTTTTTCGCGGCGTTCCTTCACCGATAGATGCGACGGCAATAATCGGTTGTCGGGAAAATCGGTTTCACCGCGATCTCGCTGTCGTCTGGTCGCGGAACGTGTCGCATCGTCGCGGAGGACGCGCTGTTTCGACTTTGAAGTCAGGCGTTTCGCGCCATTAAGGCGACAGCGTTGCGCGTCATTTCGGCGGTTCCTTGTCCCTTTGACGTGAAGAGAGAGAGACTGATCTCGGTTTGACCGCGCGCCGAAGTTTGAGTTTCAGCTTTGACGCGGGGGTGGTCTCGACCTAGGAAGAAGGGTGGTTGCAATATACGCGCCGGACTGCGCGCGCAGCCCTCCGCGCACTTCACCACACTTTTGACACACGACTAGCGATGTGGAGATCGCACGATCTCTTACAAAAACCTTCCATCTCACATTGGGTTGTTCGGAAAGTAATTTCGTTTTTCTCCTTCGTGCAGAGGAACAGATTTTGTTGGCTCCCACAAGATTCGTGGAGCCGAGTTATTTAGTAAATAGATAAGTCCAATAACTGTTTACAAATACTTTAGGTTTATTAACAAATATAATTATATACACGTGTTAACAATTATACATATACAGGATGTTTGGGCACTCCTGGGAAAAATTTTAATGCGAGATTCTAGAGGCCAAAATAACACGAAAATCAAGAATACTAATTTGTTGATGGAGGCTTCGTTAAAAAGTTATTATTATTGAAATATATTGTCAAGGTCACTGTTATGAAGATTTTTTCTCTATACATGTTATCGCCGCTCGCCCTTCGTTTTCGAGGTATTCGCAAAAATAGTATTATGTTTGAATTAGCCTCGGGTTGAGTTTGAGATAAAATATTAAACTTTTTTCTTAATTATTATTATTATAATTATTATTGTTATTATCGTCATTATTAACAGAAATTGGAAACATGTCTGCCATTATATAAAAAAATGCAAATATTCTTGTATTAAAATCATGACGACCAACGACAAATAATGTACAATGTGTCAAACTAATATCGGATAATATCAATAAAGAAAATTGAAATAGAAGATGAATGCGTGACGGTATAAGAAAATCTAACCTGAACCTTATTGATTATATTAATTACTAGGTAGAATAGTTTGGGTCAGATTCTTTTATGCCAGCCGCCGCTAGGTGGCTAGCTACTGAAATCGAGTTTTTAAGTACATTCGTTATACGCAACCACTGCCGGTCGCCTCGATGTATCTATAGAAACAATAAACAATCAGCGATTCAACGCTTACACACGCGCTGCCACAGTCACGTACGTATAGACAGAATTCATTGTAATAGCAGCGATCTATTTTGAAGGAAAATCTCGGAAACTAAGGCCAAGCGGCGATTATATGTATAAAGAAAAAATCTTCATAACAGTAACCTTGACAACATATTTCAAGGTCATCGAAATTAGAGAGGAATCGCTAAAGTAAATAATTACCATAATTTTTCCAGAACGATTTGAAATTTGTTAATTTTGACGAAAAATTTCACACCTCGAAATTTTTTCTCGAAAGTGGGTAGGATTTCGAGGGTATGCCTAATGACCAAAAATGATTGTAATTGACCCTTGCAACCGAAAATAATTTTTCCAAAATGATTTAAAATTTTTTTCCCCGAAATACTTAGGCAACTACCCCCTGTCGATTTTTCTTAAAAATTCGTTTTTCATTTTTAATAAATTTGTTTGACGTCCTACGGAAATTTTGTTTAGTACTTTTTTGTAGGTATCCATGAACTCTACTTCCATACTAAATTTGATTGAAATATATTCACTATTGTAGGAGTTATGGCTGTTTGAAAATTGAACCATTCTTGTGAGGTTTTTCTCACTTTACGAAGTGAAGCAGCAACTTTTCGAATATTTTTGGAATTTCTACATATTTTGCATCAAAATACGCGTCGTTTGCATTTTCATAAATTAAAATCGTCCAATCCGTTCAGGAGTTATGATGTTCTAAAGATTTACATTATCGCGCAAACATTTCTGGCTAGAAAGTATATTTTCGGAAAGGAATTTTTTTCTCGAAAATAGTTACAAATCCAGAGGTATGTCTATTCACCAAAAATGATTATGTAATTGATCCTAGTAGCCAAAAATAACTTTTTATAATGATTTGAAATTTTTTCATTTCGTCAAAAAATTTGTCCACTTAGTTAATTTTTTTCTCGAAAATGGTTAGGATTTCGGGGGTATGTCTATTCACTAAAAATGATTGTACTTGACCCTTGCAACCGAAAATAATTTTTTCAGAATGATTGGAAATTTTTTAATTCAATTTTGTAATAACTTTTTAATAAAGCCTCAGTCAAGAAATTGATATTCTTGATTTTCATCTTATTTTGGCCTCTAGAATGTTCCATTAAAATTTTTTATATCAAAATATGAAAGAATATCGAATTCCAAGTAAAAAAATATTTTACTTTATTAGCCCTAAACCTAATAGCTAACGAGTAATTTCATTTCATTTCATTTCTTGCTAATTTTCTTCGCGTAATATCAAACAATGAGTAATAATAATAATGAGTAATAACAACTAATGAGTAATTTCACTGTATTTCTTGATAAGTTTCACTGTTCTACAGAAATCTCCGATAAGATTGAGTCTCCAATTTGATATTATGTGAAGGAAATTGTCAAGAAATAAAATGAAATCACTCGTTAGCTATTAGGTTTAGGGCTAATAAAGATCTATTCTTTTGTTACTCAGAATTCAATATTCTTTCATATTTTGATATAACAAATATAATATTCTATTTAAAAAATCAAAGTTGACCTTCAAATCTCCGAAATGCCTCCACCTATAAAAAAAAAATATACTACATAATGTATCCCTTTAAAGCATGCAACTTTTGTTATAAAATGTTTTTGTGCAACGCATATTGTGGATATTATAGAACTGCACAAGTTGCGTGGACCACCCTGTATATAAAATTGAAAATTTTAGAATGGTTTTACAGTTATGACGCTCAGTGTACATTTTAACCTTCTTCGCAAGAGAATTAAAATAATAAAGCTTTTGATTTGTTTGCATTTGTTGCATTTGTAAAGCAAAATGTCGAAAGTAGATCAATTGTAAAGTAGTTGTACATCCTTGTTTTTTAAACGCGTTTTACTTGCTTCAACAAAATTGCAAAATCAAATATCTTGTACCAATATTTCAGATTCACCCTTTTTTCAATACACTGACCAACGCAATAGCGGTTCAGTTTTTGAATTTTTCTATTTTTGAACGTTTTTTATACTCGGTCTTTTTGCATGGTACGAATCCACTGCGTAAAAAAGAGATGCAAGTGTATTTGTGATCGTTTTTATGAACACATCGTCTCCATCAATGTCAGAAAAATCAATGGTGTTTTCACCTCTCATTGTTTCGCGATTTTGGAATTGAATTATATGCTAAATTTGATCTCTTCATTTAACGAATACATTCGCGGAAGCAATGTAGAGGAAGTCGATATTGACATCATCGACCAAATGAACTATTCCACAATCTAAATAAATTTAATCCTGACTTCTAATCTAACATAATACGAATGAAAGGATTCATACGAGGAAAAAGGAAAGAATCAAACAACGAGCTGCATGTTTGAAGGAGGTGTAGGTATCTATAGAACGCATATTGACTGGGAGAGAGTTATAATAGTAGACAGACACATAGGGAAAGGAGGCTTGAATAGCAGTACATCGGGTATACCATGTACAGATTTAGACAGAACCTAGTGATTGAAACATTATCTTGCGAGGAGAGATTGGAGAATAGTAAATTAAACAGGTAAAACGAATCGTACGATGAAATCATTTATCTTGTTGGATATTTGAATTGCTTCCTTATAGAATAATAAAAATAAACGCACATTTGCTTGAGGTTTTGGAGTCCCTAACAATTTGCAGTTGAGAGCATACATTATCGTTTGTTTCGATAAAAACCGAACGTCCAATCATTATGCGTTACGTTTACCTTTGTAGTAGTTACTCTTGGACGTGAGGTATCGGCTTTATGGCTTACATTAGAAGAGATTAAGATTAGATTACCAAGCATTTAATACACATGGGGTAGTGTGACCGAATGCAGTAAATCGTTTCATTAAATTATACGTGCGTGGGGTATGGAAAACCTTGGGGTGACTTGATAGGACTCACGAATTAAGTGTAGAAGTTAATAAAACAGGATCTTAGATTAATTAAAATCATTTGTATGTATCTAAGCTGTTATTTCACTTCGTTTCTTTATGTGTGCTACGAAGAAGTTCTAATATTCTACACTAATCGTCTCTTTAATTTATCAAAAATACGATGAAAAAGTATTTTAAACTTATCAAAGCTAATAAATGAGTTGTTTCTTACGATAGAAGCAAATTGCTTGGCTTACTCTATATTGAAAAGTTGAAACATGAAACCAACCACCGAGTGCAGGATTACTGGACGTGTTGGAGTCGCGAACAGTTAGATTATAGACCGTACTATATTTCAATAATGATTTTTCTTTCGTCAGTGAAAGCAGAGTACATATACTCGAGTGGTATGAAGACCAAAGAAAGACATTTTAATAATCTTGAAAGAATCTTATTTTTTCCTCTTAATTAACGACTATCTTTCATCCACTATAAGTGGCTTACTTCAATAATTAAATCTAGTCAAAATTCAAATGAAAGCCATTCACCTAATACGTAACCGGGATGCAATTTAAACTTAACATATTCATCATAGTCCACTGTGCATCTAGTATAGCTAACACACTTGACTCTAACGTGTCTAACCTACTTACCCTTCTTTATCCAGTATACCCAACCGAAACCTAACATCTGATCTAATTGAACTAATCTAGGATTGGAAAGCTTTTCTCAGAATTGCTTTTCCTGTTATGTACTTCGTTTGCGAATCGAGTGTTACACTGTTTCTTTCGTAGAAACGAGAGCTGTTTTTCAGAAATTTAGTAGTAGAGTCGCGTGTGTAAATTAATTTTTTTTTGATTCAGAGCACTTCCGAACAGGAATGTTCGTAATAAAATAACGTATAGGATTTGTACGAAAGTTAATACGAAATATTCGAAACAGTTCAAAAGTACATCTGATAATATGTGTCACAAATAAGATGGATACCTCGTCGTAGAAGATATACTGTTATCTCCGTTGTATACGTGCAAATGTTGTTAATGTATCCTATTAGTCGAAACACGCATGGAATTGCAATGCGATTTCGAGGGATGGAATTTAACCTACGAAGAATGTCTGTCACATATTTAGCGTAGTGTTTCAGTAGGATGAAGTATATAATGTATATATAGGTCGAATTTCGATTCTGTATTCTGTGCGTAAACAATCATCAAAACTTATGAAGATGTTTAATGGGATTGTGGTCCGGCGACTGGAGTTTTCAAGACACGTGGTGCTTTACGCAATAACCATTTTCTAAGTAAACGTGATTTATGATTGGGATTATTATCCTGTTGAAAATGCTAACGAGCCAATTAGCTATATAGACTCACTTCATAATACTGCTATTACCATAACTATGACCATGCTTTACCGTAGGTTCAATATTTCGAAGCTATTTTTAATATTTATGTTTTCTTTGGTGCTCGCTGCGATTGATCAGAATTAACAAATGAATACGCAGCCGGGATTCACTTCACTCTATTGTTTCGGTTATGTTTTCCGGATAGGTGGCATCCTTATGAAATTCGTACTACGCATATTTTTCTTTTCAATTTTGAACTATGTGACAAATTAGACAAAAAAAAATCACATAATGTTATAAATAAGGAATAGTAAAAATACGAGAATCTTATGAAAATTTATTACAATCAATACCTCGACTCCAATGAAAATACATTTTATATGCTTGCAAAATATTAATATAAACGATGTACATTCTTCTGTATTGATTTTTACTACCAAATTATGTAGCAAAATTTATTAGTAAATTTGATTAAATTTACTAAAACGAAGAAACACTAAATTCCATGCCGGTACACGAGTTTCAATTGTCTAGTAACATTTTCGTATTTCATAGAGAAAAACCGTTGGAGCCGCTAGGTGCAGAATATTAAGCGACAGTCATCGCATATAAACGCGGACAGTCATCCGCAGTAACCTCCGAGCTGTTAGCGACAGATATTTCTCGTATACCTACAGATTGTGCTCGGAAGAGCGTATTTCTCTCGTTGCTATACGTATATAACGCGGGGTGCGTGCGATCACGCGAGAACTTAATACCAGTCCAGTGTCGGCAAGTGCGCGCGCGAGCGTATAGTGAAAACGTAAACATGGCCGCGGAGAGCAGCGAAGGTTTGCCAATATCTCCGTCCGAGAAATCGTTCACAGGCAGCTTGGTGTCCGAGGAAAATGAGAAAACGGTATCGCGATCGCCGTCGACGTACTCCATACGGGAAGACAAGTGGCCGGATCTGGTTGTTTCGAGGCCTAGAAAACTGGACGCCTGGTGGTCGCCGAGACGTGAGTACATACATAGCGCGATAGGTGCATGCTTTCGATCTGTTTTCAGCGGGCTTTTCAAACGCTCCAAGCGTCAATTCACTATCCGCGCGTGATTCTTTCATCGTGCTCGACACGTAACTGCGCGCACACGTCGACTGTCGTTCCTTGTATCGAGAAACGCCTACTTACAAGTTACTATGACGCCACGTCATCAATGGCAATATTACGCGAGTTCAGCAACGCGTCGTAGACGGTTTGTTTACCTTTGTCGCGCTGAATTGCTATGCGATTCGATTCACTGCGTAACTGTGATAAACGATTCGCGATTACGGTCTATCAACTGCGTATGTAATATTTAAAGGCTTCCTGCGAGGTTATTTTTAGGGCAATTAATAATACGTTATCTTGAATTCGAATGTTATGGAGTTAAACGAATTTAAATACATTTCTTTTAGTTTATATTCTCGCGGTGAGAATAAAATCTGTTTTCGATCGTACAAATCGAAACAGAACTGCACGTGACCTGTCTCATTCAAAATTCGCAGCAGATTGAAATTATGTAAATGTAAACACAGGATAAAGCCCTGGTAAATGTTGTTTACATACCGGGTGCTTAATTGTTTTTATCACCTTATCCGTTACTTTCAATGGTGCGGAAATATATTAAGGGAAATTTGTTCGTTTCGAAACTATAATTGACCTCTTCTTTTTTTAATTTCGAGGTTATGTAAATTTTATGAATTCATTGAATTCGTCTTTCTGTAAACTGTAAAAATAAAAGTTGCAAAGTACTGTTATAAAGTTGACGACTTAGTAACGGAAATAAAAGCGGTCAAAATAAACGAGACACACTGTATATCCACGTGTCTTGCGACCGAGCTCTATGTTACCGACATTGCCAGGTCACCGTCGAGTGGCAGCACTTGCCAGTCGCTACCCGGGTCATGTATATTGATTATCGTAGGTGGAGGTAAGGTCGGCGGGAGAATCAATATTACTTTTCACCGGCGAGCTCGCCATTTTCGTCGTGATATTTTTCGTGTACGAACGGCGCACGAATTACGTGGGTTCGCCCGACAGTGGATAAAGTTTTACGATGCTTCGTTAATAAAAAACATCGGCCCAGTGCAACTACAGGCTACGATGTAGCTAAAATCGAGTGCAAACGATCATTTTTTTCGCTTACGCCAACGTTTCTTTTCGTCGCTTCTACCGCAGTGTCTATATTTCAATTTCTACGTGCTCGAATGTATCAGCGATTCGCCAACATCCGCAACGAACTAGCCTCGACGTAAGCAACCTCTTGAAGATAAATTCAGGACTTGGATCGTTGATAAGAAATAAGGGCGGACCAACAATTCGCTATATGCTAACCAAATTATCGGATGTATCATCAGTTGATCGGAGTCATTAAGAACAGAACGGATGTAGCGTTCGCTGATGTGATTTGCCCGAGGAAGAAGATTCAAGAGGAAAAACCAATAGTTAAGGGATATTTTTCCAAGGAAATTCAACGTCCTTTATTTCTACGTTGAGCGGTACCAAAGGTTTTGGTGACCCCAGATAAGGAGATCGTCAGTTTTGGTTGTCATCCGGAAGGATCCATTACTACGTACGGTCTTCTATGCGGCAAGAATCCCAAAACGGTCTGAAGTTCAGGCCACCGGGTGACCACGGTGGTGTGCATCACGGTGGGGTCATGCTCGAGGACGACATGGCTGGCGCTCAGGATACGATATATCTGTGCAATTTCCGGGTATCGGTAGACGGCGAGTGGCTGTGCCTGAAAGAGCTTCAGGATGTCGAGTTCTCGTTGCAAGACTCGATGCAGCGGTCGCCGTCGCCGCCGCTAGCTCTCAATGGTATAAATCATCCTCATCATCACCATCATCACCACCGTCAGCAACAACTTCCCGATCAACGAGAGCTTCGCGATATAACTCTGCCAACTCCACCGCCATTGCAGCACGTCTCCAGCTTGTGTCTGTACTCGACGTTCTCGCACTAATCGCTTCACTTTACTTTCATCGACTCGTATCAATCGGGACTATGGCTGGAAGCTTTTTGCGCTGTCCTGTCTTGATCTATCCGCGGCCTGTTTGGCCTAACTTTGCTCCCGATTTTAACGCAGCGGCCAAGCTGATCGAGTTTCCGTTTCGTTGGCTTTTACCGTTTCTAATCTTGTTAGGCGAGACTGTCGTGAGTCGAGTCTACGAGAGGACGTTGAATTTTAAAGGTTCTAAGGTCGGAGACATCGTTAACGATGCACTTCATGCTCGTAATTTCAATATCTGCAAACACGGGGGACGATGCATTATATTGACGATTCGTATACTGTGTGGGAGTAATATAGTGAGGTATTTGAGGCACGTAAAGCAATCGAGACTGCCACTGGAACGTGTTTCTCATTGCAGCGTCACGTAGACGCATATTTCCCTTGATATTAAAAAATAGGGGCAAATTATGTGGTAGAAATAATTTTTTTATAGGTGGATTGGTGGGAGAAATTTCAAGGTCAAGCTAATTTTTTTTAAATAGAATATTTTTTTGCTAATAATATGATAGCATTTGTTGAGACAAATTCAACGACCTACTACATGATATCATTCCATGCTATAGAGCTATAAATTATTGAGACACAAGGCAGTCAAATCAACGCGAATTGTGAGTTGTTGGTTAAAATACAATTAATATGAGAAATTATCAATTATTCCAAATGTCATAAATGATAGTTTTTAATTTTTACTTATCACTAGTTTGTAGTAATAAGAAATAATTAATGACGTTGTATGTACCTTATCCTTCAATCCACCATCGTTGAGTATGCTAAGTGTAATTAAAAACACTAAAAAACTAATATAAAAATGCTAATATTATAAATTGAAACGTTCTTTCTTTCGACTTCTTAACTTTTCAAATATAGTTCTTAAAGTGACTATTCGAAACCGAAAGTATATACTTGAAGGTCTAAATGGAGATAAAGAGCTCGCTTTTTGTATACTATAGTAATTTCTGTTGATCTGATTCGTAATGATATCATGTAGTAAATCGTTGAATTTGTCTCAATAAATGCTATCATATTACGAACAAAAAAAATATATGGTTCCATTTTAAAAAATTAGCTTGATCTTGAAATCTCCCCCACCACTCTACCTATACAAAAATTTGCCCTTTTAAATAAAACAACTTTTGTAAGAACACTTTTTTGATACTTTCAATACCTCATGAGATATTCCACTATTCGCACTTAAACGTAACACTCTGTATAAATAATAGTCTACTTTAGAGTTAGCTTTTTCATCAGCTGTTCATTGCCTGTATTGCAGGTATCAAAATTACAAAATTTAACGTTGTTCTCTATTTCAGTTTTATCAAGGCTGTGAAAGTTAATTGATATCAGGGCATCCCATAAGTAATCTAGTTTCTTTTATTCTCTTTTCGTACAATTAACAAATGTCTCGATCATACTTTCGATATACGTTATCCTTGTCTCTTTCCTGGGCAGTTTTTGAAACATTTCCTGGTACGTTTAGTCTCTCATTGTTCTGATGAAAAGAAGTTGCTTCGAGCGGTTTTCCTCGCAGTACGATTTCTTATTTATCGTTCCCTAACAATAGTACATCGTACATTAAACGTCTCATGTTTGATTAAACAAACAAGGAATCTTTTCATCGGTGTAGTTTTTCCCATTGTGAGACTGGCCATTGTCGTCGGTGTTTAACAATGGATTTAGGAAGGCCGGGTTTCAGTTTCCATATTTAAAGTTACAGGACTCGTAAATATTATTTGTCAACAATTTATGTTGAATTTCATTAACTCTTAAGTGGACTCCCAATTTCAACTGAATTAATTTACTTAATGTTAATGTTTACCAAATGTGGTAAGTGGAAATTAACTTTTCTTTAAAGCATTTAAAAAATAATGGATTAATGGAGGATTACATAAATTTTCAAATGATTACATTGACATATATTAAATAATTGTGAATTATTTTACTTAACGTTGATTTTTACCAAACTGGGAAATGGAAATCAACTTTCCTTTAAAGCATTTAAAGAAATAATGAACTAATGGAGGATTAGATAAATTTTCAAATAATTACATTGACATATTTTAAATGATTGTTAGTTTAAACTTGCAGATGACCTAATAATCCACTTAAGGGTTAATGTAATGGTACGAATCTATATTCTGATTAAAAGAAAAATCGTATTTTAATGAAATCGTCATAACAGGTTTCGATAAAAATTTGATTAATCAATGCCCCGTAAATCTAGTGTTAATTATACTACGTGACGTCTCACTCGTTGATGATTAATAACTGATAGTTCGTGCAGAACTCATGTTTACACGTTCTTCCATCATTTTTAAAGGGATGTTGGATCGTAGAATGAGGTAAGCTCAGCTTTCGGGCAAGTTCTACGGCCCTTAAGATTGGATTTTACTCAACAGCAGCTCGTGAAATGTCTTCAGCCATTTCTGCGAATTTCCTGGCACGAGTCTCCTCTTCAATACTCCAATTCCTTGTAATTAAGCCATCTGTGAACTGGCTTACGCTAACGATATCGCCTGCCGTATGTTTTCCTCCGCTACAAGTTGCATGATCACTTTTATTTAAACTCGTATTGCGCTGCTCCGTTTTAAATTCGTAAAGTAAATAAAGTTTTTGACTTGTGCTCGTCAGAGTCTGGTGTCGCATTGATCGAAAGCGCCTATTTGCGCTAGTATATCAAATATCAAGGTGTATATTGCGTTCAGTTTTATTGCTTCAGCGTACTCGAAAAAAGTAGCATTATTTATGGGATGACCTCGTATTAATGAAAGTGATCTAATTTAATAGGACTCTATTGCAGCCTAGAGTTATTTTCTTTTATTGAACGTTTGTAACACCAAGAAACGCTAAAACTAATTTCCACGTAAACACCTCGACTATCTGATGTTCTGAACTATTATGTCTTATTATGGACTTCGAATCAATGTATTTTTCTGAAACTTGGGATTTACTTTATTTTTTCGTTTACCTATCGGGTTGTCTCTGCACTCTATCAGCACAGTTTTTCTTTTTTAACGATTTTATGTTGCGCTTCATTCGCATTTCTAAATTCATCCCCATACTGCCGGGAAGACTGTTCTCGATATTACAGTAAGATGAACTCGAATCATGACTGTCATAACACGTCGCAGGGAGATCAATTGTATTATTTTGGTCATCCAACTGGAACAAGAACCTGTTGTTTTTGCAGCACGGGACCCAGTCATCATCGAAAGGAGTAATCTCGTTAATATTTCAAAGCTGATCGTGAAGGAGTTGATCGAAACGTCTTTGAAATATGGTCGAATGCTGGATTCCGATCACATGCCGTTGCAACATTTTTTTATCGTCCTCGAACACGTGCTTAGGCACGGTCTGCGACCAAAGAAGGTAAATGGTACCTTCGAAGCGTCGGAGCGTCGATTTAAGTACGAGAAAATGGCACTAACTGCCTTCAATTTCAGGGTCTCCTTGGACCCAAGAAGGAGCTCTGGGATATTCTTCAGCTCGTTGAAAAATATTGTTCCGAAGCGCAGGACATTACGTCCAGCATTCGTGACCTACCTACCGTTAGGTATAATATTCTATTTTTGCCTTTAACCATTGTCAAATAATTATAGTAGCTTTAAACATGCAGGGTGTTCGGTCAATTCTGGGAAAAATTCTAATGGTAGACTCTCGAGGTCAAAATAAGACGAAAATCAAGAATATCAATTTCTTGATTGAGGCTTCGTTAAAAAGTTATTAAAAAATTAAATTAAAAAATTGCAAATCATTCTGGAAAAATTATTTTCGGTTATGGAGATCAATTACAATCATTTTTGGTGAATAGATACATCCCAAAAATCCTACGCATTTTCGAGAAAAAAATTTGAGTAGATGGACAAAGTCGACAAAATTAAAAAATTTAAAATCGTTCTAAAAAAATTATTTTTAGTAGAAGGGATCAATTACAATCATTTTTGGTGAATAGTCACATCCCCGAAATTCTACGCACTTTCGAGAAAAAAATTTGAGTAGATGGACAAAGTCGACAAAATTAAAAAATTTAAAATCGTTCTAAAAAAATTATTTTTAGTAGAAGGGATTAATTACAATCATTTTTGGTGAATAGGCATACTCGCGAGTTCCTATGCACTTTCGAGAAAAAAATTCTTTTCCGAAAATATAATGTGAGGTTAGAAATGTTGCCCTCAAAATGCGTATATTTAAAACACAATAACTTCTGAACGAATTGGAGGATTTTAAAGTTTCAAAATACAAATGACACGTATTTTAATCAAGAATATGTAGAAATTCGAAAAATATTCGAAAAGTTGATCCTTGGCCGCGTAAAGAGAGAAAAACCTCATAAAAATAGTCCAATCTTCGAACAGCCATAATTTCTACAATAATGAATATATTTCAATGAAACTTTGGGAGGAAGTAGAGTTTATGGATACGTACAAACAAGTATTAGATAACGTTTCTGTAGAGCGTCAAACAAAATTACTGAAAATCAAAATCGAATTTTCAAGAAAAATTGACAGGTGGTAGGTGCCTAACTTTTTCGGCGAAATTGAAAAGTTTCAAATCATTTTGGAAAAATTATTTTCGGTTGTGGGAGTCAATTACAATTATTTTTGGTGAATAGACACACCCCCGAAATCCTACGCATTTTCGAGACAAAATTTCGAGTAGTTGGACAAACTTGTCGACAAAATTAAAAAATTTCATATCGCTCTGGAAAAATTATTTTTGGTTGCGGGGGTCAATTACAATCGCTTTTGGTAAATGAAAATAATACACATACCATCGAATTTTTACTTACTTTCAACTATTCAATCAAAAAATTAGTATTCTTGATTTGTGTGTTATTTTGGACTTTAGAATCTTCCATTAAAATTTTTCCGAGGGGTAGCCGAACACCCTGTATAGTCTAATGCATAAGTGTACTTCTTTAAAATTAAGAGTATCACCTATTAGCACCAAGTATTATAGAGTGAGTCCCAAAACGAGTAAGAAGGGATTATTGAAATTTGGTTCTTAAATTGTTCATTGGCCGATTCTACTTCAGATTCGATCAGGAGAACACACGATTGACCGCGTTGGCATTTTCCAGGACCGCCATGGGTAGAGCACGAGCATGGTTGCGTATGGCACTGATGCAAAAAAAGCTTGCGGATTACTTGAAAGTTCTGATCGATCACAAGGAAGACATACTGTCCGAGTATTTCGAGCCCGACGCTCTAATGATGAGCGAGGAAGCAATTGTTATAATGGGTTTGTTGGTGGGTCTGAACGTGATCGACTGCAACTTTTGCGTGAAGGTCAGTACCTCGATCACGTGACGATCATCGATAAGGAGAAACTGATTGCGACTATTGTGATAGGAAGAAGACCTCGATTGCCAACAGGGCGTAATCGACTTTTCGCTGTACTTGCGTAACAGCAATCATATACCTGGTGAATCCCCGGACGACGAGGTGGAGAACGACAACATGACCACTGTTCTCGATCAGAAGAACTACATCGAGGAATTGAATCGACATCTAAAGTAATAATACTCTGTTTATTCGGAACGTCGACGATCCGACGATCCAGCCTCTCTATTTACCATCGATTTCAGCGCGACCGTGACAAATCTTCAAGCCAAAGTGGAATCCTTGACAACGACGAACGCGCTCATGAAGGAGGATCTATCGATCGCTAAGAATAACATACTGTCGCTGCACGAGGAGAACAGACAGTTAAAGAAAGAACTGGGAATCGAGATCAAAGACACGAACGAGGTACGAATTTCGTTTCAGATTTTCGTTGCCTCTTGCAATGGCCGCGGAGGCTCGTTGAACGGGGATTGTTTTTTGGTTTCAGAACGGGAAACCGCCTATTAAAATCACTGAAACAACAGCGGAGATCGAGGAGTTGAGGAGTAGAGTGGAGAGCGAAAAGAAAATGCGTCAGGACGTAGAGAAGGAGTTAGAGCTACAGGTGGAGGATCGTTTACAATAGAATGGTTAATATCGAAGTCGACGGTTTGAACAAATTGGTTTTCTTCGAACAGATCAGTATGAAATCCGAGATGGAAGTGGCTATGAAACTGCTGGAGAAAGATATCCACGAGAAACAAGACACGATCATATCGTTGCGGCGGCAGCTCGATGAGATCAAATTAATTAATTTGGAAATGTACAAAAAACTACAGGTGACGACCAAGCACTCCTTTTTCTTGCGTCAATCGTACCGCGGTGTGCTTCGTAATACCAGAACGACCAAAAAATTATCGAAATGCAGTTTTCTTCGAAAACGATTAACGAAAATTCGGAATCATGCTCGACGATTACGAGGCATATCCTCGTTGCGATTACGATACCTTATTGCACAATGTTAATTCGTATCTTGTTATCGCTGCATGCCAAAGAAATGATTTCACGGTAATTCTTTTCTTCTTTGTTTTAATTTGATCGACCTTTACAGATTTTTTTAGCGAACCTTTATTCCGCTTAGAATGTTCTGTACCTTAGAGATATCATCTGCCACTAGGGGTTCCGTTAGGTTTAGAAAATTCTTTGTTTCTGGACGTGTTTCCATTATAGGAGTGTGAGCACGAATTAACGCAGAAAGGCGAAATGGTGAGCCGGCTTCACGCGAAGACAAATCAAATCGGCAAGATACTGCATAACCTGGAGAAGTACAACCATTTGATGAAGGACGGGGACAATATGCGTAGCCCAACTACGCCGAGTAGTGTCTCTAAATCAATTCTTAATAAAACTAGCCCGACTTCGCCGCGTGGTTGCCCGTCAGCAGACAATGTTCACAACACTGACCATCAGCAGCTTTTTTCTAATAATAAACAGCAGCCTATCAGTAATCAACAAAAATTTGCTAATAAACAGCCACCCACTAATAGTTTCCAACGACCGAGTAACGGTCAACGACAACCTAATAATCAACCTAACAATCAATCCAGTAATCAACAAGATCCTCCCAATGATAACGGACGAAAGAAGGCTGACAGTCAGCAACAACAAGGCCCTAACGACAAGAAACTAACAGACTCTGATCCTGCTTCTGATCAAAGTAAATGCAACGGCGAGATTCCTGTGGAAGCTTCAGCAACGCAGGAACAGTCGGATTTATAAAATGGTTTCTCCTTTCGAGAATGTGTTTTATATTATACACCCTGGAACTTCGTTCAATGTCTTGACTAATTGAAAGCGTGCGAAATGCTACAGTTTCTTTTATACCCAATGAGCTTCTGAAACGTCCAATCACGTTTCGAAGCATATCTATGCAAATACCGGTAATCGTGTACTTGCACTTAGCGTGACAATTACGTTACTTTATTCTTATTACTAATATTTCGTTATGGTTTCGTAGAACCGATAGAGTCGACAGATAGATTACAGAATAAATCTTGAAGCGTCGTTGGACTTTTCAGAAATATTTTCACCTGACACTAAACAATTATATCAAATTATTACTTAGAACTCGCACGAAACAGAATTTCATATATTTGAAATGCATAGAAAATTACTGAAAATTAATTGAACTATCGGGCAGTTAATTATCTAATAATTCATGCATCGGTAAGCTTTGAATAAAGTGTCTATCAAGGTGTGATTTGATCGAGACACTCTATATAATTAGCTGTGCTCTGTTACTGCATAATTGCGCTGTTAATGAAATTGCTATTATATACACAGAACTATTGATGACAATAATGTCGGTAGAGGTTTTTATTGTACTATGCTGTTCGTAAACTTAAATTGCTATGTGTTTTATTCTTCCATTAAGTTTCGATTACGTTCGTAATTCTGTATAGAGTGTCTTTGGTACTTGATTCGAGTACGTGGGATTAATGCTGTACTTAAAAGGAAATATTAGTTGTCCTGTCATACTTGCAACGATCATTCTCTACCGCAGGATTTATTGTTGAATATCGCCATGTTACGAGAGTGAATAGATTCGTTTATACGTATTGCAGTTTCCCTTTACACATCCACGAGACAAAGGCAAGAGTAGAATGATGCAGGTAGACGGGTGATCAATATTTTTTCGGAAACTTTATCAACTGAGTTTCGATGAAAATCAGGACCCAAGCGATCGGGAACTCACGTTGCATGCCTTTTCGATTAATTTTATTATGATACAATTTATCGTGTCGTTCTAATCTTTTTGGAAGGCTATTTTACACTTAACACTATTATACTATCGCAGGCTGATGTGCAATTGTAAACTGTATATGTAAATCATATTTATAAACATTGTGCGATTTCAGGGCTATTCTTAGTCGGGAAAACACAACAATCTTTTCTGCTTTTTACTGAAAAAAGATTTATTTCAGGAGTGTGAAGGCTCACTTAAGCATAAGACAGAACTGATCACTAAATTGGAGGCTAAGACGCTATCGATGACTGAGGCCATCCAAAAATTGGATGAAAAGTATGTTTATTTGTCTTTCATTAGTGTTAGTTACTTCATAAGCACGACTGATCCATCAGTCTTAGGTTACATTCAAAGCGTTCGCTAACCTTATTATGCATCACATCTTTCGCTTATCTACATTTCATCTCGCTCTTCGAACATACCTATGGGTTTCATGACTTCGTTCCACGATTGTAACATTTCGTTATCGCATAAAAACCTTCATGTCCTACCTTTAGAATCATCGTGTGGGCGACGAAGAATTTTCGTTGCCCAAAGAGCTTTCATTTCATTAAAATTGTCGCAGAGGAAAAGGGGCATTCCTTCTTGCTTCCATAAATAATTAAAAATTTAAAAATTTCGTTATGTGATACTAATATTTAAATTTTATATTTTACATCAAACGAAATTACACTGTTTGAAGGATGGTTTCTCCAACGATTGCATCACGTTTCTTTACAATCTAGCAGCAGAGTAGCTTTTGGATCATCGAAGGTCTTGCAAAATCGTTGCTTCGCCAATGCTCTTAAGCTCACAAAGTCTTCTACTTTGCATTTTATCGTTTCTTTTTTTCTCGTGCCTCGAGGAAACAGCGTAGCTACACAAACGGACGAAACCTGTTGGCACCAAAAATATTTCGCGTTAAACGTTTACGTACAAATATAATCGTTACGATAAGGAATTTTCTATAGCCGTCTATCGAGCATTTTTCCGCAGTGGTATCGAGGGAAACGATGCACGCCTGACGGTTGTAGCTAAAGGTTATTTATTTTTTACTTAGGCATCGCGAAACGCGATCGGATTTAGCGTAGATTTAGCCCGAGACACGCAATAGAGAGAAAAAAAAAATAACAGATTGACTTGTCGTTAACGGGGATGTTGGCAAACCTTCACTCAAAGGCTATTCGAATAATATATTACGTCTATGTATAAAATATTAATGTTATAGAGATATTCACGTTTCGCGCAATAATTGGTAGATTTATACCTCGTCAAATAATGAACCGCTAGGATCAAATATATAACGATGCTAGCGGACCTAAGACACAAAGATGTCAAGGCTGTCGAATTGATTGGGCTCTTGAGTGAAATGTAAATTTTTTTCTTTTACTTGTTTTTCTATTTTTTTTTTTCATCGATTGTACGTCAATTACATGTGATTCGTGATTTCCTGTCGATCAGTATTTCAGAAACTGACTTGCGATCATTTCTATCATTCACGTCGTTCTTCAGATTTTGTGTCAGTCGGTTCAACCGTATTTCGTTTTTTCCCCCTGTTTGATTTTGTAGCCAGATAATTGTTTTGTGATCATTCTTCATCGTTACGTGTACCGCTTGTGCGTTTCGAAACGGTACGGTCGTTCATGTTCACCAAGAGACTTAACAGAGCAAACGTGCCATACTGTCTTTACGAATATAATTATGTGTAAGCATCGAGCAATGGTCGTTATAATGCACCGATACACTACATGTGCTTGTATCAACACAGCGAAAATAAATTTATGACAGAAAATAGTTTGCATTTGATTACCCTCAGATCATCATCGTTTGGGCCAAGGGTGGAGAAACTTTTAGCATTAGACGTATCTGTATTGTGTATTGTGTATTGTGTGGCGAATGAAAAATCAGCCTCAATTATTTTACACCTGCCCACATTCCCTTTTGTTACGTTTTTGAGATATTGGGGTAATACGTATATTAAACCAGTGTTTCTCAAACTTTTTAAAATTAAACTCAATTTATATTTTTTAAATAGTAAATCGAAATTAAGATATTTAAATCTACTGGCTAGTTTTAAAAAGTCTGACCCTACATTAAAGTAGTATTCGATTAGAGAACTTCTATTTCATATTTTTTAAATAGTAGAATGAACTTAAAATATTTAAATCTACTGGTTAGTTTTACAAAGTCTGCCTCTACGTTAAAATAGTATTCCATTACAGAACTTTTATTGAATTTCATTTCATTTCATATTTTTTAAATAGTAGAACGAATTTAAAATATTTAAATCTACTGGTTAGTTTTACAAAGTCTGCTTCTACGTTAAAATAGTATTCGATTAAAGAACTTTTATTGAATTTCATTTCATTTCATATTTTTTAAATAGTAGAATGAACTTAAAATATTTAAAATCTACTGGCTAGTTTTACGAATTCTGCCCCTACGTTAAAATAGTATTCGATTAGAGAACTTTTATTAAATTTCAGTTTCAATGCGGTATCGCAAGATAACTCGGCGAGACTTGTTGGTTGGAAGATAACGTGCGCTTTGCAGCACGAGAGAAATTTAATCCAGTTATTATTATTCTTTCAAATAGAACAGTACTTTCTGAACCTAATTTTTCATTAATGAAATTGGTTTATATCTGAGTGCAAAATGAAATTATCCATGTTGCAATTAAAGGAAGTTAGTCAAATTATTATTAGTTCCGTTCTGAATACGACTATAAATCAAACTTAAGCGAAAACATCGATTTTCTTGTGCTCTAGTTTGGCTGATTTTGCTTTCTCCATATGATACAAAATATTTATTTAAATTCGTGTTTTGTTTAAAAATATGCTTAAATGTTTCATCATCACATTTTTGTAATCACTTGATGACCATCATGTTAATTGATCATTTTTTTATGTTTCATTTTGAAACCTGTGACAAATTAATCATCTTTCAAGTATCTTATTCTATATTTTTTATACGCGAAATAAAGTGAACAATTAAAATAGAAAAACACATATGATTCCATTTGAAAAAATATATATATATAGAAGGGTAATAATATAAAATTTATAAACAATGAACATATTAAATTAATAAAATGCCGTAGGTTCTCCATTCTTGGTATAGACGTAAGACGAATGTATGTTCTTCATTTGTTAAACCCATTTTCGAATTAAGAAAAATGTATGATCTAAATCTTTTCGTTTGTTTATGACTCACACTTCTAAATTTAATCGTACGATTACTAAAATTTAATTTCTACGGAATGTTTAATATACATAACTTTAAATATAAGTGGATATTCAAGTCCTTATATCTATTTTCGTTTTGCTTTTACTTCTGACGAAATATCGAGTCTCTGATAACGAACAAGGTAAGTTAAGTTTTCGCAGTAATAACGATCGGATGATGAATTCAAAGAAAAATAAACGAGCGAAGGGATCTAAGATCTTGCCGAATTTGCTCAAGGATTAGAGCATAGAGCCATTAAAAAAACATTCCGGTCGTTTCTTCGGCCGGATAATGATATTCAGCCATGAATAATCATGGACAGACTTTCGACGGGATTTCGAACTAAGTTGCAGATCTTTGCTTTCGTAACTTCCTTCGACTATAAAGCTTAATATTTCTGCAAGCTCGAGCAGAAAAACTGCAGTGAAACGAATTTTGCTTAAACGAGTGATCGTGTCGGTTATTATAATAATTTACCGACCGTTTGAATATAATCTGGACAGGACAGTGTCGCAAAATTGTACGAAAGTTTCATTGTAGTTGCATTCGAATGCTGTAAGAAATTGGGTCATTAAAATTAAATCGTCAAATGATCGCAAGACAGTGCCTGAAATACATTATTTTCACATGGAATTGGAATAGACTGGAGTCTTATGATTACATTTATAACCATGAATATATCTAGAAACGCTACTAAAAATAAATGTAACCAAAACTTGGTGTCCCAATATGTTATATGAATACAGTATACTACAATATCTTAATAAAAACTGAAATACATCAATGGTGGATTATTTCTCAATAACAAATTTAAAATAATAATAGCAGTTTTACATTCGTGTATAAAAGAGTATCCATTACCTTCCAATCGATAGGTACTTTTTCCATTCATCTTCATTTTCGACATTCATTAATTGTAATTCAATCGCTTCATCGCTTAATTATTCTCGCAAATCAGCATCGATTCAGTAAATCTAATTCAGTCTCATCTGTCAATCGAAGATCATACGTGAGGTAAAGGTGTCGATAGTTGATCATGTACCAGTAGTTGACACATTGTTTTCAGTTATATCTTGCGTTTTTATTTGGAAAGTACTGGTGTTTATAATTTTATTCGCTTCCCCGTTCTTCCTCTAACAGCGTATGGGTTTAAATACTGAGTCAGAAAAGGGTTAAGCGCAGCTCGACAAGTTAAATAAGGGCCCTAGACACTGTTCGATCCTTTTCAACCTTCCATGGTCTTGCTTCTTCTAAATAATATTAAGCGTCACATGCTATCTTATTAAACTTGTTGAGCTGCGCTAGAATTTTCGATGTTGGCTGGTGTCAGCTACTGAAACTATCCTAAGACTAATCCTAAGAATTGAAAAAGATATACAGTGAATCCTCAGAAAGAAGTATTATATTGCAGGGACCAAAGAAGATGAGCTCTGGCAGGAATCTGCTAGTAGTATTAGGACAATTTAATCAGCCTTCGAAAACTTATTCGATATGGTACACATTATTCTTAACTCTGATCTTTCTTTCTCCCTGCAATAATTTATAACCGTTCTTAAATAGAAAGCACTCTGAACGAATTAACCGAACAAGTCGAGGATTTGCTGTATATATAGGTTCCCACGGCAATGTTCTCTTAAATGGTCAACTATCGGCGCACTTACCCGGAACCATTTTCGTTCTTTCGCCATTTATCGAGCACGTGACAGTGTTGTAACATCATCCACTAAAAAAGAGACACGTTCACGAAACGCTCGGGTTCCTCCAACTGTTTTTCACGAAACGTGAGAGAACGACCTTTGTTTGATGGTTAAGTGCCAGCGGTTTGACTTAATCAGGTGCAAGGAAATGGACGGCGTGAAATCCGGGGCGGAAGAGAGGGTGAGGATTTTGGGGGCTGAAGCAGCAGCGAGGGAGGCGAGGACGATCGGGGTTGAGAGAGAATTGCGAGTCGAACGTGAATGGAGGACCTCCTTGCAGGAAGCATCGATTTCCAACGTAGAGAAGATCTCTCAATTACACCAGGAGATTGATCAGTTGCGGCGGGTGTCCGAGGTACGTTAATCCGTTAAATGTACGTACAAGGTGTTTCCATAGCACACGGGAATCTCGATACTTGTGTGGGAAAACCGTTTCTTGCGTCGTGTTGTTAAGAGTACTTCCCCGGTGATTTTCATCAATTTTTCAAAAGAAAATTCTTGCAAAATGTGGTAACAAAAAGTTATTGGGTTTTATTACAGTTTTGACTTTTCAAAGATAAATTTTTCAATTAGTTTTATGGAAAAGTATTCTTAAGTGGTCGTTTAGCAACAAGTGCTTTTTTTAAGATGGAAGACTTGTAGTAAGAGAGAAAGGATCGTGAGAAAAGTAAAGCACGTGTTTTAGACAAAGATTATTAGTAGTATTATTAGTATAAATTTTTGCACATTTTTCAATGATGTATTTCTTCCTAGTACAGTGCAACTCCATTTATTGGAACGAAATTTTACTCAATGCTCTATTAACTGAACTGTTCCACGATTGAATCCACTTATCTGTATGTGAACTCCGGTTATTTGAACGAAAAATCAATAGGTAGCGATGAGAATTAGTGAACTATTATATGGACTATTCAGTTATATGAATTGTTTGTCTATCGATGATTTCAGTTGAATGGAGTTCTATATTCATTGTACTATTCATCGTTGTAAATTCATTGTACTAAGGAAAAATACATAATCGAGACTTCAGAAGACTTTTCTAGAATTTTTTATTCTATCAAATGCACGATCGAGTAGTTTCGAGCTGTAGTTAGGCAAAAGTATCATTCTCCCTTTAAATACAGGACACTTCTAAAATACTATTCATACCATTTTATTCGACTAATGGCTACCGTTCCTCAGAATGATAGATATTCATATTTTAGTCACGTAAAGTAAAAGTTTGTTCGTAATAACTGAGCCGATCAGTGAAATAGCAGGAGTGAATCAATTACAGGGGCTTCCTATTGAATTCAATTTTGTACACTTTCCTGTAAAAAGACTCAACTCTCTATTGCATGAATTTTATTTTCTCGTTCAAACAGGAAACCGTACCATGGTAATTTGTACGTTCAGAAATTAACACGGAAATTAAATAATAAGAGGTTGGATCTACGAAGCTGTTAGACATCTCCATTGTACTAAATTGGTGTATTTAAAATTTCAAATATTTTCAATAAGAAAGACGAAACAATTCACTCTTGCGTCTTTCCATCTTGAAAATGATCAAGCTTTGGCTAGTTATTTTCGAATTACTTAACCTCTTCAAGGATACTGACACACATGTATACGTTTGGTATTTAAATTATTTTAAACAATATATCATAATAGTTACTACTACACGAAATTTCTATAAGAACACTATGATTTTCTACAAAATATTCCTTCATTTTATAAATGTCTGGTACTGGTAAGAGAAAATCTTTCATCAACCACCGCATCGTTGCTACAATAAATGTAAATAAACTCGTGTGATCGCGTATTATATAAAAATGGGAAACAATATTAAAGAGCTAGACAGTGGAATAAAATACGAATGCAATAAAAGTTAAAAAACAACATTACAGAAACTAATTACTAGTATGAAAAACAGAATATTTGATATAATTAAGAAGAAGGGCGGTAGTACCAGTTACTAATTTTTCAATTTAATTCTCTGAGACAAATTTAAAAGACTATTCTTATACATATTTCCCCATATTTCCGTGTCTTAAACTGTAATATCTTGTTTACGATAAAAATAAACTATTTCCTCCAGATGTATACAGGGTGTTCAGTCACCCCTGGGACAAATTTTAATGGGAGATTCTACATGCCACAATAAGACGAAAATCAAGAATACTAATTTGTTGATGGAGGTTTCGTTAAAAAGTTATTGACGTTTAAAGTTCCGCCCGTACTGAATTTTTTTCTAAAAAGTGGATAGAACCTGTCGATATTTCTTAAAAATTCGTTTTTGATTTGTAATAAATTTGTTTGGCGTTGCACAGAAAAGTTGTTTAATACTTTTTTGTAGGTACCCAAGGGCTCTACTGCAGAAAAAAGTTTCATTGAAATATGTTCACTATTGTAGGAGTTATGGCCGTTTGAATATTGGGCCATTTTTATAGGGTTTTTTTCACTTTACGGGGTTAAGGAACAACTTTTCGGGTATTTTTTGAATTTCTACATATTCTGCATCAGGATGTACGTTGTTTGCCGTTTAAAACATTAAAATCGTTCAGTCTGTTCAGGAGTTATGACATTTTAATGATTCGCATGAAATTTCAAGGAAGCATTTCTGGCCTCACATTAGATTTTCGGTAAAGAATTTTTTTTCTCGAAAATGCGTAGGATTTCGGGATATGTCTATTCACAAAAAATGCTTGTAATTGACCCCCTTAACTAAATATAATTTTTTTAGAATGAATTGAAATTTTTTAATTTCGTCTAAAAATTTCAGCACCTACATGAATTTTTTTTATCGAAAGTGGGTAGGATTTCGGGGGTATGTGTATTCACCAAAAATGATTGTAATTGAGTCCCGCAACCAAAAATAATTTTTTCAGAATGATTTAAAATTTTTTAATTTAATTTTTTAATAACTTTTTAAGGACGTCTCAATCAAGAAATTAATATGCTTGATTTTCGTCTTATTTTGGCCTCTAGAATCTCCCATTAAAATTTTTCCCAGGAATGGCCGAGCAGCCTGTATATTGCTTTTCTAGTTTCTATTACACCTTATTTATTTCCTAGCATTCCTTAAATTCTTACTAAAAATCATAGTGTTCTTATAGAAATTTTGTTATTGCCTTTATCAGTATATTATTATTTTTGTTTGCCAAGCGTTGAACACGAGAGTTTATTTATATTTATTGTACCCCAGTAACGATGCGGTGGATGGCGAAAATTTTTCTCATACCAGATATTTATAAAATAAAGGAATATTTTGTAGAAAATCGTAGTGTTCTTATAGAAATTTCATGTAGTAGTAACTATTATGATGTATTGTTTAAAATAATTAAAATTCCAAATGTATACATGTGTGTCAGTATCCTTGAAGAGATTAAGTAATTCAAAAATAACTAACCAAAGCTTGATTATTTTCAAGATGCAAAGACGCAAGAAAAATTTGTAATTTTAAATACACCAATTTAGTACAGTAGAGATGTGTAACAGCTTCGTAGCTCGAACCACTTATTACTCAATTCCCTTGCTAATCTCTAAACGTACAAATTACCATGGTACGGTTTCCTGTTTGAACGTGAAAATAAAATTCATGAGATAGAGAGTTGAGTCTTGAGTTACGAATGAATGTTTTTAGTTATATTTTCCAATGACATGAGAAAATTGATGAATGCCGTGGGTGAGTATAAATTTGCATGTTTGTTTATTAGGAGCAAAATAATTTGGTCTTGAAAAGGGTAAAGGTATTAATGATAAACGAAGAATTAGCGAGTCGAGTTCCAAGTTCTCGCTAACTAGGATTCAGTGTGATGCGCGAGCGATTACGTATCTTCATCAGTGTCGCGACGAATCGATTTTCCGGCACGGATAATTAGGAGACAGCCTTTTCAGACACTCTCTTTCGCTCAAAACTCCGTCAATCTTCCAAAAGCCCCGCCGCTTGGAAAATCGAATCCTCGTCACTAATTGCCGGTGCATCTCGATTCGCAATCGCATTGTCTCCGCCTTAAGAGTCCCCGATAACAACTAGTATCGAAGTACAAACGGAAGAACGTACTTCCAGGCAAGTTTCCAGACGTTGTACATGTAATTCCCAGCCTGGCCCCGGTGTTCCAGAAATACATGGCGCTGCAGGAGGAGCACTACGCGCTGAAGGATATCTGTACAGAGCAGGAACGAACTCTGGAGGAACTTGGGGGACAATTGAGCACGGCCAAATTGGCGGCCGTCGAATTACGGGAGGCCGCTGACAACGCTCAACAGCAGCACCAGAAGCAAGAGGGTGCGACGACCTGGGCGAACGATCGCCTGGTCACCCATTGCAAGGGCTGCAACCGTGAGTTCAACATCACTCGTCGTAAGGTAATCAAACTTTTTAATTGCCCCCACGCCTTCCATCTCGGCTCTGGTCGCCTCTTTCGACCCAACCTTGTCCAGAGACTCTCGGATGAAAGTCCGCCGCGGCCCGCTTAATCGTTCAATTATCCTTGCCACCCTGGAAATTACTGGTTCTACGGTCCAGATTTTCCCTGTCCGGGCGTCCGGGTCGGCCAGAGGGTAACCTCGTACGCGTTCAACGATGCTGACGGCGGCGTCGAGAGGTTTTATCGCGGCGTTGGTACACGCCTCCTTCGACCTCGTCTACCTAACCCCGGCAGATCGAAATCGCGTGCGCCGGTGAGAACTTTGATGCACGACAGTTCTGTTATTACAGATAACGGGGTGTATCGTTGTTAGGGCTGGCCAATTACAACAGGGTTTGCTTCTCGTTTGTACGCGTTTCCTCCTTCGCGTATCTCCAGGAATAATTGAAAAGATCCCCGGTTCGATTACACGTTACCACGCAAACCCCAAGTACCAACGGTTGACAACTTTCGTAAAGGAACGACGATAATAACAGCAACCTTACGCAAAACCCTCAACTCAAAACCATGAACGGTTCGAGCAGCTACTGTGCGTACGCGAGAAGTTGGCTAGTGGATTGGCCCATCCCCACTTTCGTCATTTCGACCAATAGCGACGATACTAAACTGGAGCGGGGAACCGATTAGACCCGCGTTCCTTTCGCTAGCCAACTTCTCGCGAACGCACAGTATTACTATGTCGAGTTTTCTTTCGGAAAACGTGCAATACCAAAACCCATTTTCCTGGTGCAACGTATCGACCATTTCGTGCACCAAACGCATATAAAATTTTAAATAGAACCTGTTCCAGTTGCGTGACGCGTCATAATATGTACGTTAAAAATGTACGGAAGCGCGTAGGCGAAGCAATCGACGAGCAATTAGCGTTTTTCGACTTTTCACGTCGAAGTGGTCACGCAACGAAAGCGTCGGGAATCAAAATGATGTCTTTATAACAACGAGCTATCGAGAGGAGCGTGCGTCGGTTCGATCGCGAGCAGGAAAAAGTTGCGAAAGTTTCCGGCTTTTTTTCTCCCGTGGCTGAATCACGCGGAGGCACGATATAAGCACTTAAAGTATTCAGCCAGATCAGATCGTTTCGAGGCGCAGTTGCGTGCATCGATAAGGAAGGTCTGCGGAGAGTGTATTCGTGCATTCGTCATACGGATATATTCCGCGGGAAAATTTATGTGCCCATGGATCTTATCAAAATTTCGTGGACGTGCACGATAGACACGATTTACTGGAGCTTCTTGACGCCCGGCTCGCTAATGGCACCGCCGAGCCTTTACCTTCATAAACGTGAAAAAACGACGGGAGTTGATTCGTTTCGAGCAATTTGTTGCCACTGTTCAACCCCGGTGCAAGGAAAGTTGTTTCAAGCAGGGATGGGATCGATTCGATTACCATTTGAAAACGTTCAATCAGGGACCATGGTAATCGTTTGAAGGCTTTCGGAGGCCAATGGAGCGGAAGAAAAATGTTGGTTTGCGACAGGATAACGAGTATGTTGCGTTCGATGGCTTATCTGGAACTCGTTATGGGATACACGTATTTATTTATTATTCAAAATTATCGGGAAGTCTTCGGGGAAAAGTGGAATGACAATTCTAACAGATTCTGAGTTAAGGGGGTCTTAGACTATAAAACGCGTTTTTTCATGTTCTTTTTGGTATTTTTTTATAAAAAAACTATGCAAGATCTTGCATCGGCGTTTCACATATACAGGGTGATTGTAATTTAATTACATTATTCCTTAAATGAAGATTAACGTCGTAATCATGTAATAATACATCGTCGGAGAAACGTCTAACATAATTTTTCAGTGGTACCCTTTGGTATCGTCTTAATTATAATTTCTTTACCCGTTGGTTTCGCATTACGTACATCTTGCTCACAACGTCCACTCCAGGAGTCTAATAGCAATACAGACGTTGTTTTAGTATTGGGGAAAAAGACCTCTTCCAACCAGATTTTAAAATGTGTGCTGTAATATTTTTCTATAGTCGGTACTAAAAGGGTAGAACAAAATTGATAATTATAAAAGTGGCACTATTTTCAAATTGAAATATGGTTTTTTTTCTTGTTTTTAACTTTAGCAGGCTAAAAAAAAAAAATAGAAAGAATAATGATTTTGACTTCATTCTAGTATGGGCTTCAGCGACACATGTATTAAAGGTACACGTCAAATTTGTATGAAATCGATTGAGTAGATTTTGAGATATCATGGTAGCCAATTTAGAAAAGATAGTTTTGAAAAAAACGCATCTAAACACAAGGATCAGACCGCCCAAACAGGCATAGCTCGACCAAACAATACGTATACCTTCATTAATTTTAGGAGTTTAGTGATATGCTTTCGCACATGTATTTCTAAAACTATATTCTTTAAGAAAATGCACAAAAAAAGAATTGAATTTTTTGGCAGTTTACAGGAGAAGACCCCCTTAATGAAGTTTCTTTTAATTGGATTAATGTAATTGCTGTAATTTTAAAATATAATAAAAAATGTGAGCGAGTAATAAAATGGAACGTCCATGGTGAAACGTTTGAACACCTGCTGGGATGGAGTAATATCCTATCATAAAATACGAAATATCTCGTAAAGTATTGCGATTGGAATGGTCGTACCTCAACACTTCTGTATGCAGAGTGATGAGAAGAATTGATTTATGTAACAAAAATGCATGGTTCAGTTTAAAAAGCAAGTGCAAGTGGATATCGCACCTGCACCGTTTCATGAAGTATGGAAATTATGTCCTCGAAAGATGGCCCTGCCTGGAGGATTTAACATTCTCTTGTATGAATTTTTTCTATGCTTGCTTGTTCCAGTCTCTAGAATCATATTGTAGACTAATTTATATTAACATTAATCCTACCGACACTTCATGTATACCTATTCCTAATAAGACTGATCAAATGAATAATCATTTTCAATTAAATAAATAATTAATAATCCAGTTTTATAGCACACCATTAATAGGAATTGTTGAAACTTCTTTGGGTAGATATCGTAAAAGTAAATTGCAAAATAAACATAAAAGACAGCTTAAATAATAATAATTGATATATTTTTCGGATAGAGGATGAAATGCTCTTTAAAACGAGTGCTCATTCAAGTCAATAGTGTAATTAGTTCCGGAGATATAATGATTTTTGTTTCAAGTCGATCGCGTGGTTAATTCACGAGATACAAGTGTTCGAAGCGTTAGTTTACTTTTCATTGTTTCCGTCGCGAAATCAATGAACTTTCACTACGGCCTTGGCAAGGTTGTTGACCGCACGTGCTCGTAGTAAATAGTAAACATTACGTCACTCGGTCACGATTGTCACGACTCACATGCGCGAGAGAGAGGTGCGACGCGTAAGACGGAGAAAGAGATAGTGAAATTTAAAAAATGATTCTTTCATATAAATTACAATATCTCCAAAACGGAAAGTTGGATCGCCATAAAACACAAATTATTTTAAAGGGGAGGCTTTGCCACTTTTAATAGTGGATCAGTCATGGAGAAAACACTAGTAGTTTTGGAACTGCACGCGTTTTAAGTTTTAGTACTTTTAAGGGGGAAAACTACTGTGGCGGTTGAAAATAAAGGCAATTTTCAAGAATTTTTTGGGCGTATCTATGAAACTTTGTCAGATCAATTTTTAATGTTTTCGAAAGTACATTTCTTGAACTATTTCTTGTAAAAGTTTCGTATAAAAATATTAATTATTATAGCCATAATAGGAACCAGCATGAGAGGCCTCCAAAAATTTCTTAGAAACGGGCGGACTTGTAATTTTTCACTGCAAGTTGTGAAATAAAGAATCATGCAATTTTCTTAAACTATAAGACAATAGCTTCAGTTGCACGTACGGATTTTTAAAAATAATTATTTATTATAAAATGGTTGAGTTTTGACGGAAAAATTAGAAAAAACTGTGACAAAATCAATACTTTTTTTAACACCACGTCGAAACTAAATATTCGATCGAAAATTCCTTAATATTCGTTGTTAGACTGTTCTAAGATAATGAAAACTGAAGATTCTGTCTTTTCATCTTTGCTATGTATTTCCTATTTATTAAATGAAATTTTAAAAACTGTCATTTTACTGGTCGTGGTATGTTTAGTGTCAATTAAATGACAAAATTTAACAGTTAAATTCATTTAATGTTAGGAGGATTCAGTATAGTGAAATCTGTTACTGGATAGTTCTACAAATCAGTATTTTACGACTTCATCGTTCCCATCATTTTCCTAGTGTCTTATAGACGACATTAATAATTTTAAGTGGTACTACTGTTTGATGGGTAAGATCTACAGAGAATTGTAGGTAAAAATACGATATTTTCTACAGTTTCTATTCTCATCTGACGTTTTAATTAAAATTGCAAGATCTTAATTCCTTTCTGAAGTTTATTTCTATAAAGTGACCCAAACTTAAGTGTAAGTATTACCAACGGTTCGAAGGCTTCATGCCACTTGTCTCATAAAGGATATCAAAACGGTTAGAAGTTATATTCTTTTTATAGCGGGCACGTCAGTGGAGGTTCCTGGCAAATCCGCGCTTTAAAAGTCGATTTACTCGAACTGGATCGATGGTTACACTAGAACTTATGGGAAATGGGGATTTCGATGGCAGTCGTCTAACATCTGAGAGGATACACTACAACAGCCAGGATGATTAACGATTCTACTTGGATTACATTATGAAAGATTGAAAGATGATCCAATGTTTTATCTTGATTACTGCATACGTTCATCTGACCCACAGACACACAAACATTACCGATCTGTTATACCAATTACCAAGCAAATCTGAAAACATTCTCTAGTTTCGTCGAATCTCGATGATTCTGAACCACTCTGCAGCGCTAAATGTTTTCGAAAGACAATCAGAGTTGTCTCATCAGAGACGAATTGCACGTAGATTACATTATGAAAGATTGAAAGATGTTCCAACGTTTCAT